CCTTTACTAAGAACGATATTTAACTATATTTACCACAAATTCTAAACAAGAATTGGTCGCTTGTTGTCATTTGTATAAATATATTTCTCCGTCTACAAAAAGCCTTAGTATTTATTAAAAGCATAATTTTTACTCAGTTGTGCGTTTCTAGTTACATCCTTCTAAGTTTTTGTTAGAAAAATTAAAATGCAACAACATAGTTGACGTTTAAAAGATTAGGAAATAAATACCAAAGATTTGTATCCAAGAAGTTCACTGTCATTTTGAACACAAGACACGTACAAAAGCGAGCGCTGCCAGCAATTATATCGTTTACGAATTTACGTAGGTGGGTTGGGGTTTAACAAGGATATAAACATGGAATATTAATAAATTTCCGGGTGCGTAATATTTAACATAGAGACCAGATTTTTTTAATTTTTTATACAATAAAAAGGCAACAAGCTATTGGTTGATATGTTCACTGGATACATGCGTTGTCGGCCTTTAAGAAAAAGGTACACTCGCTTCTTAAAGGACCTAAAGTTTGGTACTACCGCTAGGGTCACATCATTCCTCAACGCAGTTCATAAAATTCATCCAAAGTTCTGTTAGATTTACATATATTAAAAAAACATTCTATTGAGTACGGGCTCCTAATTTTGTAATTTTATTCTTCCTATCTCATTCGTCTGTCCTATTCAAATTTAAAAACTATAAAATTATACCACGAAAATCATGTTTCTATAAAAAATGTCTTCGTTCATTGTCAAGATCAAACTGACATTGGTTTTCGTCGAAACCGGAATCAATGTCGTGACTCAACGCGATCCTAACTGAATAATAAGTGTAACACTCAAGGGAAATTCTAATGTATTGCTAACTAGAGTCATATAGGATTTTCTTGATAATTTATACGTGTAAACTAAACAAAAATAACCTCGCCTCCTACATACATACATAAAATCTGATTCATATAATTTTCAAAAGATTATGCCTACACAAGGAATTTCTTGCCAGACAATATCTCACCTAAATAAACAATCCGTGCGTTTTTTGTATATCGAAATCGAAAAACATTTAAATTAAGTAAACTATTAACTAGCCATGTCTAAATCAGTTCTGAACCGATTCAAAAGTGCAGGTCACAAACACTAGAACTGTTGAGCTGTAGCCCAACTCAATTAGTAGCTCACAGCTTATCGCGATGTACCAACTCTGTGATTCAACGAGCCATGAGCTGCCTGATGATTAGAAGTTCGCCAGCTAAAAGTAAATCATATCACTATGCCGGTACATATTGAATTGAGCTGCGAACCGGATCACTGATCTGCTCTACACATGAGCTGATTTACAAGTCATAAATATCAGTTGAATTACCCATGTCTATTATTAACTATAGGATGGTTAAAATTTTTGTAATATCAGATAACAGAGAAATCTAATACGTGATTACATTCACAGTCCAACTGTAATTGTATTTTGATTCAAAAAATGTCTATACAATGATCATTATCACAAATACAGATTGTATAGATGACCTAATTATTTCACAACACAAAATTATAGGACGTGTAGCATTCAGTCTTTATTGAACTTTATTATATGTCAGTCGCCATGACAGTTAATGGTAAAACACTCTGTAGCGTAATACAAAGCTTTCCAGTACTTTTAATTCTCGCACAGAACGGTAATAAATGTCTTACAACACCCTTTATATACAAACCACCGAGTCCAACTCATCCTCCAGAATATTACGAGGCGTACGACGCATTAATACAAAGTCTATTCCATCATGGTTGTCACGATTATACACCGTACAGTTATGGAAGAAAATATACAGAAGACTACGCAATAAAACCCTGTAATCCAACAATCGGACATTACCCTTTACCCGGGTATTCGGTACATGAATCGAATCACGGATATTCCGGGTATCCAGTTTATCCGGCACATGAGCATACACCCGGGTATGTTTATAAAAGTATGCATGTAGTAAACTCAAGTTCTAACCCTGAATATAAATATGCTAACAACCATATCAGTAATGTCAAACAGAAATATAAAATTGTCATTCGGAAACCTGGACGAGGACTAAGAAGATCACAGAAGTTACAATGTAAGTTGATATTTTGTTTTTATCAGCCGAAACTGATACATATAGTGATCTCTTTCATCCTTCATATAAAAATTGAGATAACTATATGTTTATTGTGTTTTAGTGGTATTTAATAAATCATAAATCATTGAATAAATCAAAAACTACTGAACCGATTTAAAAAATTCTTATAGAAAGCGTTTTTATTAGCGAGAAACATAACATATAATTTTTATTTGTGTGAAATGTTACTAGTATGTGACATGATGAAGCAAGATACTTGACAATTAGGGTTTTTTGCTTTTTTTAATGCAAAATACCAACTTTTAAGTGTCGTATACTGCGTTGAATTATTTATAATTATTTCTAGTATAATCATGGATCCACCAGTCAATCAGCTGCACCTGATAACTTCCAGATAATTGTATAGACAGTGGAAACGCACTTTAACAAAAGTCACTGGCGCCTACACTACCACTTTCCTGTCCTGTTTATAATTATATTCAATATTACACACTCGTTCTTCGAAGGCTGTTAACAATATTTATATTATTAATTAATCATATTTTTAATTACACGACTTAGAACCGGATAAGACAACAGGATATGAAAACAAAACCTTGGGAAGGACATAACGACGTCTTTGAACTAGGGAAATTTTATCTTAATAAATATTAACAATAATTCCCGAAGTTTGAATAGATGGATGTATGTTGTTCCCTTGTTGTTGGTGCGTCGGTGGCTCAGTGGTCAAGCACTTGACTTGCAATCTGCAGGTCCTGGGTTCGAATCCCGCCATGTACCAATTTGTTTTTCGATTTCCGATTTACATATGTATTATAAATTTATCCGACGTTCATACGGTGAAGGAAAACATCGTGATGCAACCTACACATATCTGAGAAGAAATTCAAAAGATATGTCAACCAACCCGCACTTGGCCAGCGTGGTTGACTATCGCCTTAATCACCCTTCACTTAGGGTAGGCTCCAAGCCCCTCGGTGGGGACGTATAGTGAGCTGATGATGATGATGTTGTTCCCTAACTGCATAATACCTAAAGAGATCTAGTTGAAATTTGAAACAGGGATGGACTCAATTTTTTTTTATTCAATGTGAAGACGCGGGCGTTAACTAGTTAAAAGTAAATTGTGAGGACATAAGTAGAAGGGCATTATCAACTATCGTATGAATGCCCTTTCTAAGTATGACTCAATGTATCCTTATGCCCGTGCATTGACCTACATTAAAATGTAACTCTACAATAATTGCTTTACTTTCATTAATTATATGAGAGGTTTCAGAAGTTGCTTAATATTTTACATACACTAATAAATGAGTAAAGTTGTTTCTTTAAATCTCATTAGCGTTTGTTAAAACCTATCGTTAAATTACGGGCTGAATAACGTTACGAGGAATTATAATTAAAAAAATATTAGTATATCTGATAGTAAATAGAAATTTCCATTTAATTTCAGCATAGCTACCATCTCAATAAAAATTTAATGCCGATAGATTATAATCTGACCAGGTAGAAACCGTAACTTACAAAAAGCGTGCAATGACCCGCGATTCTGTTCGCGTGAATTCAAAAAAAATATCGAATAACCTATGTGTCTCTGCAGATTCTGTTCTACATGTATACCAAATTTCATTGAAATCCGTAAAGCCGTTCTGTAGATACATACAAACAAACATCCATCCATCTAAACTTCTCGCATTTATAATATTATATTAGTAAGATTAGTTTTACAAGGCAACATTTAATTACGTATTAGAACACTAGTGGACATGTACTAATTATTCCATTGTACGCATAAATATAGGAAATGAGTAGACAAGTTTATTTTTTAATTAATTCAATAATGATTAAGACATCAATTAAAATCTACATAATTCATTTATTTATTGAAGCATTGACGTGTAGAAAATACTATAAACCAGTTACAATGTGTTTCATAAATTTTTGTTCGTGCTTTATTTTTTGTATATTTTTAATTTATAATCTGTGTATTATCTTTCTATCGCATTATGACAGAAAAATTTTCTCTATTAAGTTACAAAGATGATATTAAAAAAAAACATTTTGCTTTGCATTAAATTAGTTAAAAAATTACTATTAACTAAATAGTCATCATTTAATATGTCTAGGCCTAAATTATTAATATATTTAATTTAAGTAATCTTATTTTATCTTTTCCTAAACTATAACCAAAACCAATCGTTATTAATAAATCCTGGCATGTCATACAGATAATAAAAAGTATGTGTATTACATCTAAATTACACATAATAAGTAATATATGCTTACATATATTAAATACATAAGTTATATACATGTGATGGTATTTGGAATTTACCGAAAGATGTACATATGCGCAGGAAATCCCATGACCGATGCGACAATCACATGCCATGAATTAAATGTTGATTAGTTTTCGGAAGTCCGTCCCTGGTAGCCGGATGGAAATAATTCAGTAGTGAGAAATCACTATATACAATGACTCTTGTCTGACTTTATTTTGTAGCGTTTAATTTATAAATTTAGAATTATTCGGGATTCTTATCACGTTTGGGCTTTTTGAAATTAGAATTAAATTAATCTACTTTAGTTTTAATTATGTTTCCTGTTAGAAAACTATAAAACCAGTCACATTTTCTTATTGTTACTTAAAATGTGTGTAAAATTTGAATGGTTCATAATTGTTGTAATTATCAATTCTTCAAATTAAAAATTAGTAAACAATTCAAGAAAAATAAACGTTAATAAACATCAAATTAAAATCCTGGCTGCATATGTTGTAGCTTTTGTTTTTATTTAATAAAAAAAACGCAAGGCGACGCCGTACGCGGCCAGTAGTATCGAATGACGTTTCGATTCACCTCGGACACAGCTTTATAATCATATGTTGGTCAAGATCGCGACGACTTGACCGGTGGACGCGAGCGCGGCCGTTTTTCGGCCAACTTATTTCTCTCACCTTAGCCTTCGTCAGTATTACTTCAACCGTGTGTTAGTGTGGTGTTAATTCAGCAATGGCTAAAGACGTGTTTGTTATCGTGTGTGTTGCACTGTGTTTACAGCTTGCGTTATGTCAGTTTGGTGAGTAAATATGGCGGGAAAAATTGACAGTTTTTTATCTGTGCTGTTTTGGCGGCAAAACTTTTGTTGTAATTTTTATACCTTAAAGTGGTATATTTTACTACAAAAATAAAGTTTAATATTAACCCTACAAGTTATAATTAAAAACAATCATTTAAACTTTTTCCGTATTGTTACAATTCGATTAAAATTGTCCAAAAAAAATTTAAGTGCTTGTTGTTTTATATAAATTTATTTCATATATTTATTCCATCTGGTAACGCATTAAAATTCATAATTTACATATTCATACGTCGAATAAAATCTTAACCAGGAAATAATCAAAATTTATTTGATCGTTTGGATTTGCTAACGTCATATTATTTCTTGATACAAAATGAAGAGATATTTAAAATGATTAAAAGTTAAAAAATAAATAGTTTATTTTCTTTAGTTTTTATCCGGTTAGTGATGAAAATTAGAACATATTTTAAAATAAATATAATATAAAGTAATTATCAATATTAAATTATTACGTAACTCGTTTTGGATTTTAGGTTATAAAATATTTTTTCATCGTTATAGGAAATATTTTGCGTTTTTAAATCAAAGTATGCAAATAAATTAATGTAATTAATGAATATCCATGAAGTACGTAGAGTAGATTATGTAAACCTCCCACAAGATGACAAACTGTTCAAGGTTATAAAATGGAGACCACCAGACTGACTGTGGTGTAGTTTGTGGTCTATGGTACAATGTTTTATGGCCAAAAAGAATAATTCTATGCATTTGAATATTTTTTTAAGCTTAAATACTTTTTAGTTAAAAAGCAACAAAAAAAATGTTGTGAATTTCTTAGATAAACATTCGATTTTGCGATATTTAAATAAAGAAAACTAAAATTAATTTGATTAATATTAATATACTATTAGAATACTCATTAGTTTATTTTAAACTGAAGTTTTTTTGCGTAGTTTTAATCGATTTGTTTTAAAAGCAGCTGAAGTGTCGACAATTCGCTGTTTGATATCGAGAATGTCGCCTTTGACTTCCTGATAGCTCGCGTAATGCAGGTCAATGTCTTTACCAAACTAAAACATACTGACAATGTATAAAAACAAAAAAGAAAATTAAAAAAAAAACAAACGTCAATATTTTTTTAACTATATGACATTTAAAAAGCCTAAAATAATTATAGAATAGTACTATAATTAAAATTAAACAAAAGATTTCTATAGGACGTAATTTTATTACAAAAATCTCAACGGCTAATAAAATCTATTTAATAAACAAAACCATAAATATTATGTAATGATTTTATCTCATGTGGCAATCAAAAGAGATTATTAATTAAGCATTAATAAGTCAATCCTTTTCATTTAAAACAATCTTAGTTACATCAATAAAATAAGCAATTGATTAATAAACCGGTTTTGTATAAAAGTAACTTAAGTATTGCTATCGGTTGAGTTAAAGCCAAAACGAATTATAACAAATTAACATTTATTGAAACAATTCATCACATATTCGTTATTATTTGAAAACGTTTATATTTACGAAACATAAAATATATACAATACAATTTAAACGAAATAAAAATTATTTCAAAAGAAAAAATATACGACTATTTTTCTTTTAAATAAATACGTATAAAATATTGTATAGCGATTACTAAATTACTCAGATTGTATATTTATTATTAATTCCATCTTAGGATTTTTCCCTCAACGCGATGATCGTCGATTCAATGTATTTGGAGCTGTACAGAATATTCTAGAAAATCCACGGAGAACCTTACAAAATGTACTCAACTTCGGACCAGATAGAAATCCAAACAGACCAGGTATAAATGGCCAATATTACGAACAATATGGACGACCAAACTATCCAAACTATCCTAATGAATATTACTATAGAAATATAAGATATCCTAATAGAGATTTTAATAATGGAAGGGATATAGTATTCGAACCTACAAACAATCCTTTCCAAAATAATTATCCAAATCAAGGATTCAATACCAGACCTAACGAAGAATACGTAAATGTACCTAATTTTGGAAACAACAATCATAATTCAATCCCTTCCACAGATTCAAATGGGCAAAATAATTTCGATATTAATATAAATATTCCACAATTTGACTCCGAACAAAATAACGGAATATCGACTAATCCACCTGGTATCGATGAGAATAATGTAACAACTGCACCTCAGTTTGAATCTTATAATGGAATACCAGATTTACCAGGCGTACCAGGTGCACCAGGTGTACCAGGTGCACCAGGTGTACCAGGTGTTGAGAATAATAATGGAATACCAACAGTCCCGCCACCTGGTGTCGAAATAAACGGATCTGAAAATAACAATGGAATCCCAGAAGTACCACCTGGTCCTGTTGTTGAAGAGAATAATGTAACACCTTCACCTCAATTTGAATCTGGAAATGTAAACAATGGTATCCCAGATGTCCCACCACCTGGACTTGAAAATAATAATAGTATACCAACTTCCCCACCATCAGGTTTCACAGATAGGAACCTGGGAAATTCTGGAACTGAGACGTCTTTGACAACACTAGCGCCACTAACTCCCGTACCAAATACGGGATCAAGGAACAACTTGAATTTCGGAACCGAAGGATTATTTTGTAATATATTTTATTTATTTTTGACTGTGGGTGTGTTGCACTAACCAAGACTTGATGGTAACAAAAACTGTGATTTGTAAATATTAAGGGTAAAATATTAGTCTATAATTATAAATTAACTCTGTTTGTACATCTAACATTACTCTAACATTGTACGTCTGAAAGTTTTTAATCTTTGTATTAAGTACTTAGCCTAATAAACCATAGATTATGCTTATTTTACTCTAAAAACTATATTTTTAGTTTCAAAGGTTGGTAAATGTTCGTCTAAATGTAACGTGGATATGTTCCTGTAACATTTATGTAGCTTTTTTTAAAAAAGTTAAAAAAAAAGTTCAGTAATTTCAATCACAGATTAATATTTTAAAAACAATTTTACGCCGTTTTTGACACATTTTTTTTGAATATTTTATAGTTATTCTACAAGTTTCTATTTGTTTTATAGTTAAACGCAAAATAATATATTAGCCATTTGTTACTATGTTTACACTATAAGTTAAGATATAGCAAATAATGGCCGATACTTACGTTAAAGTAATTTTATCGTTTATCTCAAACCAATGTATAAACTACTAACTATCGCTTTTAATATATATCGTGATACTAGCGGTCGCCCGCGACTCCGTCCACACTATTTAGTGGCCTATGTGTTCTTCCAGGCTGTTCTGTATGTATAACAAATTTCATCAATACCGTTCAGCCGTTTTGGAGATAACTTAAAACAAAAATCCATCCATCCATCCATATAAAACAATGTTAGAAAATTCTTCTAAAACATTTATTTTATATTTATAATGCAATCTATTATATGATATAACGATTTTTCATCTTCAATTCGCAATTAAAAACCCATTAGTACTGTTTATTGATGTTACATAGGAAAATCTAAGTAAATTATTTACCAACACGTTTACTTCGCGAACAACAATAATCTTAAGAAACACGTGTATTAAAATATTGAATAAAAATTCTTAAAAAAAAACAACAAATGAAACTAAAAGATAATTAGAGATGTTTTTAAATGCCGTTTTCCCAATAGCGGAATACTCAAACACGAATACACAATCAAAGTTAACAACGTTTTAAGTATGTCCAAACAAAGAATATTTTGTGAATAAAATTATGTATTTTACGAATCGGTTCAGTAGTTTTGGAGTCTTCCATTGGAACTATTTAACTTTTCCTCCGTATGGAAGGGTGTATGGATGGATATTTATTAGAAGGTATCTCCAAAACGGCTGCACGGATTTCCCTGAAATTTAGCATAGATGTAGAACATAATCTGAACGTACACATAGCCTAATTAAATTTTTAATCAATTTAAAGATACGTTAGCGATTTAATAAAGAATTTCATAATATAAAAACACATTAGAAAACCGGAAAGAAGTTACCATTGCCTTGTATCGATGCATAATAAAACGATCAATAGACAATGAAACGATTTTTAACGATCGAGAGTACACCAAGGTCGCTTAGTACTTGAGATGAACTCAAACATGGCTGCCTCACCTCGCATGCGTTGTGTAATTATTTGTATATTTGATTTCGTTATATTGGTAGCTAAAACATGACGGAGATAATATATTAAGTTGGTTGTTAAATCAGTATACTTAAATTAATATAATCGTCAAGAAAAATTAAAAACAAACAAAGTACAATCACGGCAATAAAACTATTCTTAAGTTTCCACAGCAAAAATAACTGTTAAAAACAATTAAGTTTGTACGAAGTGACAAATGAACAAATCACCATTGGAATTCGCAAAAAATCCGAAGTGACCGGTACTCATAGACATCATATGTATATCATTTGCATATGTTTTGCCCATCTTTAATCAACAGAGGTGACGCACGGAAAGAGAATATTTCCTCCACCAATGCGTCCCTTCCCCCGCCAAATCAATTTCCCCCTCCTATCCTTTCACTGTACGAAAATTGTGAGAAGGGAAACAGGATTAAAATTGACCTTCCACACGTCACCACTTCCACTTCACGCTTGTCTTATTTGCGTGGTATTTCACAATTCGAATCCCAGCTGATTAATTTACAGGAAGCTTAGGAATTTGATTCATTCATTTTCCAGTTAAATTACAATTATTTCTGCAGTAGTTAGTTTACGTTAAGATGGCTTATAATTGCTATAATGATACTACATAAAGATTATCTCTGCAATTTACAAGATGCGTTTGCTAATTGTTTTTGTTCTACAAAGTCATGTACTTTTAACGTTTTGTTGAATATAAATTAGAACATTATTATATTTTATCCTTATTTAACAATTGTATAATTACATTAACTACTAAATAATTAATTAATTGATCCATAATATAGAATAGCGTAGTGCAACGTAGTTATATAAAATGTGTGTCGAGAAATATGTGGTTATAACCGCGCAAATTCCGTAGTCTTCACCAATTCCCGTCGATTGCAGATGTTATATTGTAACTAGCTGTAACCCGCGACTTCGTCCGTCCTGAATTTAAAACAAGAACTTAATTAGTAGCCTCTATATTCTTCTAAGCTACAAATTTCAGCAAGAATGCAGCCTTTCCAGAAACATAATCTAACAAACATCCATTCATACAAACATTCACATTTATAATATTAGTAAGATAACTAAGATTAAAATACGATCTAACAATTTTTAGTCCAAATATTATTATAGTTTAGTCAAGATTTGTTCTACGTGTAAAATTTTGAATAAACAATCTATGTAGGCATTCAATCATAAAATAGTTTTGGGATTCCCCCTTGTTGTTGTTCTTTAAATTTTAAGCGACATCTACACATAACCGAAATTAATAGAACGCTATATTTAGAATTAATGTAAAACATCTGCCTAGGTATAGATGTAGGCTAATTACCTTCCTATATTGTAAACATAGTAATATATTTTTCATATATTCCATACATTTACATAAATCGCTCTATGACATTATAGCTAAAATATATTATTATATGTCATATTTACATTGTGTCATATGCCCATGATGTGAATATACTGATTTTCCTGTCATTAGTTACATTTTCACGTCAAAGCTTTTATATAACTATCGTAAATACATAACATAGTATATACACCTGATAGTCATGACGTCAAACTTCAAACAGATAAGCTTAAGGTATTCTTCTTCTTGTCAGAAATAAGTTGCCCACTGATGGGCATAGGCCTCCCCCAAAGATTAAGCTTAAGGCATTGTTAGATCTTAATATAAAATTTATTACTTATTTTAAGTTCTTTTATAAGTATACATAGCACAAGTCTCCTTGTTTCTGGATATTCGTTGTATGTAAACGATAAGAAGAAGAAAAATAAGCACATTAATATTGCACAATAATAAACACATTTATCACCTACACGTGCAATTATCTATCTGTTACCGAGACAAAAAAGTTTGCATAACATATCACCCCTGTCATTGTCTTTAAAAAGACGAATATAAACATATTTTAAACGGGATATTGGGCTCGGAAACTCACGACAAATCTCAGTATTTTAACCGTATCATCGTTCCTTGTGCGTACCCGCAAGGGATTGGAACAAGTTGCCAGCCCCTTTTTTCCGTCCAAATATGATGTTGGGACCTTCAAAAGTAGAGTGAATAGGCACATACTAAGCTAGCGCGTACCATCTTTCGACCAACACTAACACCAGGTTGGATCGTGGTCATGCGCTGGCTTATCAAACGTAAAACAAATCATTGAAAAACTATTCAATCGCTAATTTGATTACGTAGTTAACTAATTTTAGGTGAATGGTGCATGACATTTGTTTTATACTAACTGATTTAAATTATACACTGTAAAATATTATTTTATATGCAATTAACTCATGTTCGGTGAATTAATACTAAATTCGTTGTAACATTAGAATAATCTAGAATAATCTAGAATGCAATCCTTCTGCTCTTTACTATTTGCTTTTTTTGTACCCGACTGCGTATTTATGATTATGAACAGGAAATTGCTTGACTAATGTTCAACTATGAGGTGTAGGATCATATTCTTACCCTATATGTTTTAGAGACACAGTCGAGTTTATAAAGTATTAATTACTTTTAAATAATTGTTAGGATTTTGTCCTTACGTCGCAAATGTGGTAGTTATTTATTGATTCCTTCCAGTGGAGACATGCCAGACTCCTGAAGGCAGCGAGGGTAGCTGTGTCAACGTTTACCAGTGTGAACCGTACCTTAAATTGCTCAAAGACGCCCAGAGAACCACTGCAGCGACACAACTCTTGAGGAAAGCGCTTTGCGGATTCGAGGGCAATAACCCTAAGGTGAGTTGAATACGTTTCTCGTAAGTAAAAAGATTAAAGTTTTAAACCAAAGCTGTCCCAGAGTATATTATAAATAATAATTCTTGTACTGTTTTTTTTTTATTAAAGATTGCAACCTACAACATACCTGACTGTACACAACACCTATATACGAACAAAAAAAAATACGTCAAACATTTTAGATCCTAAAGAGCCAAGATTTAAGCTTTAAATATTAATATTTCAATTGTAAATAACCTAAGTATCTAAGACTCTATTTTGAACTTCTAATTTCCTTCTTCGTCTAAGGCAAACGTTCGGTCAGTGAATGACATTGTGAAGTCATTTAGTATGCACGTAATATCAAGTCCATATCACTGTCGCGTTCAAACGCTGACTGTATTATAAACGAGATGTAAAGGCTGATGACCAATCTGACTGACATATAAAGTTAACGTTATACATATTAATTATTTGCTTAAGTTATTTAACAGTGTTAGAGCCCGCTTTAACATCTTCGCACGAATTGGCCCGGCTCGGTCGGTGAAATACCACGACCCCACAGAAGACAGGCGTGAAGTCGAAGCTACTCCGCGTACAGTCTGATGAGTGTGCGTCCCGGAGGCCTAATTTACTCCTCTTTCTCTTCCCACCCTTTTTCATATGAGGAAAGGAGGGGAAGTGGAAGTGGGCTTTCCGGATGAGAGGATGCATGGGAAGGGAAAATATTTTCTTTCTGTGCATCCTCTCCTCCGTCGATTAAAGGTAGGCAACGCATATGCAATTGCGTATGTCTATGGGCAACGGTCACTTCGCTATATACCATGAACCAATTGCTTAAAATTTTTATGAAGTTTAATGCAACGATCGATTCGTTATTTTATAATTTTCCTAGGCAAATTGTAACGCCAAAAATCGCATAACAAACGAGTACATTCATTTAGTTATAGACAGATTAGATTTAAAATATGGTTATGGTTGTCAAGGTGTTCATTAGTTTGTTTTTTCTGGGAAACAATTATCCTATTAGCTTTTTTGTTATCTCTGATTCTTCCTATCACTAGGTATGCTGTCCTAGACCAGGAATCCCGACCGTTCCTCCAACACAAGATCCTGTTACTCAAGCGCCAGTTACCCAAGCTACAACCTCCACTACAGAGGCCCATTCTGGCAGGTCTTTGACTAATGAGGATTTTGTAGACGCGTTCCCGGAGTCCCCAGTCTGTGGCACGAGTAGCGCGCAGTTCTCCAAAGTCGTGGGCGGCGTTAACGCTAAGTTAGGTAAAGAAATTTTAACTTAATTCTTACTGATATTTAGCGTAAGTTTGTATGTTTGTATCATGTAACTAAAGAGTGAACGAGTCTGGATGACATTTGCAACAGACGGTTGTTCTTAATTCAACGCAGACGTTGTTGCGAGCCATATGTATTCTGTATTTATTAAAACTATGAATTTGTTTGTTTCTTAATCGTTTGGAAACTATTCATTTTAATATTATAACTAGTCGACGCGAAATTAAACGTTAAATGTTATAAGGCTATTCATTTTTTTATTCCGTTAATGCCGAATAAGATACACATAAATACTGTATTATATGGGCTAAATTTGAACTATTCGAATTTATTTCTTTACTGAACTGAACGAGACCTGTATCCAGGTCATTATGCATGATATTTTGTTTACAGGTGACTTCCCCTGGATGGCTCTGTTGGGGTATTTGTTCCGCGGCGGTCCGAGTGTGGACTGGAAGTGCGGGGGCTCTCTCATCACCACTAGGCACGTGCTGACTGCAGCTCACTGCATCCATGGTTTAGACAACTTGTGAGTGAAACAGTTTAGTTCCACTGGTGTAACTAGCCGGTGAAAATAGACACTTAGACCGACTCTTACTAATATTATAAATGCGAATGTTTAGATGGATGGATGTTTCTTAGAAGGTATCTCCAGAACGACTAAACTGATCTAGATGAAATTTGCCATGAAAGTAGAACATGGTCTGGAAGAATACATAGGTTATTAATTAAGTTTTGTTTCCGCGCGGACGAAGTCGCGTGCGACACATAGTATTAAAATACTAGGGTACTATCTGACCGTAGATTTCTGAGACTAAAATTTCCGTATAAAACATATCGTCATCCCTGTCATTATCTTTGACCAAACAGAGATAACAATATGATTTCAAGCGGGTATTTTGGTCTCAGAAATCCATATTGACAGCGTTAAATTAATTCCTATTTACCAATTTATTTTATTAAAAAACCAGAAGTTTTGTTAGACGTGTTAAATATCACACGAAGTCACATCCTCAAAGATGTAATGATAGAAATGTACGTCATTTGATAAAATATTCAATATGTATGCCTTATTAACATATATTTTGTATTCCGTTTTGTTATTTATATGTAACATATCAACAACATATGTAGAATTCTTAAACAATGTTAAAAAATGTATTAAAAATACATAATCGAATAAACATTAGGTATATATACTTCTTACATATAAACTAAACATAAATACAAAAGTTTAGATGGATGGATGTTTCCTATAAGGTATTTAGGGAACGGCTGAATGAATTATGATGAAATTTAACATAGATGTAGAACATAGTCTGGAAGAACACATAGATTACTTATTTATCCAAGCATTCGCATTTATAATATTAGTAAGATTCTAGTTTTAATTCCATAAAGTCGTTAATCTTACAATAATTATTTACGTTCTATGATAAATGGTTATATGATGATGTTTCCTACGTTAGCTATTTTTACGACATATCATTTTATTACATAACTATATGTACTTTTAAAACCAGTTTTACCTCAAGTTTCTATAACATCTAACCAATCTTAATAATATTATAGATGGAGGATATAGGATGTTTTTTTTTTTACATCATAAGGTGACAAACGAGCGAGCGGCCACCTGAAATTGCTGAAATAGCGAAGTGACCGTTGCCCATAGACATACGCAATTGCATATGCGTTGCCTACCTTTAATCGGCGGAGGAGAGGATGCACAGAAAGATAATATTTTCCCCTTCCCATCCTTTCCTTATGAGAAAAAGGGTGGAAAGGGAAAGAGGACAAAATTTTAGGCATCCGGGACGCACACTCATCAGACGAAACGCGGAATTGCTTCCACTTGACGCGTGTCTTCTGTGTGGTCGTGGTATTGCACCGGGCGAGCCGGGCCGATTCGTGCGAAGATGTTAAAGCGGGCTCTACCACTGTTTGTTAGAATGTCCAGAACAGCTGCATGGAACTGGCTGTAATTTGGCAAAGATGTAGAACATAGTCTGGAAAAACACATAGGCTACTTATTAAGTTTATTAACACCGCGCGAACAGAGTCGCGGATAAATAGTTTAGTTTACAGCATGTTTGATGCCATCTTTCGATTGTTATAATACTGTTTCTAAGCTTTAAAATGATGCACACAATTTGCTAGTATAACAACATACTTACATCTATTTTTTGTCATAAAACACTTATTACAAAATAACAGTTATTTCTCCTTGATCATTTATTATTTGAATACATCACATAAATAAAATCCCTTGTAAATTTCATCAAAAATATTTTACATTTTTAAATTATTTTAAGGTCATTCAATAAAAAAGATCTTGCACAATAGATTATTTGATAATAATGGCTCACCGGCATTACCTTGATACAGTATTGTGTTGCGTTACATCCTTCCGGTTAGGGTTGCCAGCTCGCCAAACCTAACAGCCGGACAGACCAGCCAGTTTGACCGGACATTTGGGTACAAAAGGCCGTACACCCTACATACGACCGTCAGTCGACTCTCGTCGCCTGCACTTGGCCACTCTCGTTACTCATGCCGCGTTTCGTCTGTTGAATTCGTCCGTTGGCGGTGGCTTAATTTAAGTCGCTTTCTCCTTCCCACAGTTTTTGTACAAGAGAAGAATGAGAAAGGGACGTATAGGAAAGGGCAATATCCTCTTTCTGCACGTCTCTCCTTTGTTGGTTAAGCGGTCTGCAAATGCGGATGTGTAAAGACAGCGGTCAATTCAGTATTCTATAAAAATATTAGCATATTAGCTGTCGCCCGAAAAGCCCGGGTTAAAAAAAAAAACTTAATTAGTACATATGTTCTTCCAGTCCATGTTCTATAGCTATGTGAAATTTCATCGAGATCCATGTAGCCGTTCTGGAGATACCTTCTAACAAACATCCAAACATTCGCATTTATAATATTAGTCAGGTAAATGACATATATCATGTTTTACAGATACCTCGTCCGTCTTGGTGAGCTCGATTTAGAGAAAGAAGATGACGGAGCTGCGCCGATTGATGTCCTCATAAAGACAAAGATAGAACATGAGAACTACAGCAGAAACTCACTTACCAACGACATCGGTGTCCTAGTCCTGCAACAGGATGTCACATTTACAAGTAATTTTACACTTTGTAGTTATCACCCGTGATTTTATCCACGTGGAATTATAAAAAAAAAACTATTTTATAGTTTATTTCAGACTATAAATAATATATGTTTTAAATTTTATCTAGATTCATTCATTCGTTTTAAAGTTACGTACCATGTGTCCATACGAACTTTTCCATGAGTAATAAGATGTTTTTTTCAGAACTGATCCATCCAATCTGTATCCCGCTGGCTCCAGAGCTGAGATCTAATTCCTACGTCAACTACAACCCTCTGATCGCCGGCTGGGGCAGTGTGTCCTATCGTAAGTCTTTTATATTTTAATTCTGTCTACTCGTTTGTGAAAATAGCGTAATGATACCTGACTTTGTCTGTAAAATTTTGTACAATCCGTGTCAATTTACTTTTTTAATATATTTTATCTTAAAAAAATAAATGAAGAAAAAATTTTGACCTTAAATGTGTTTGTACAATAAGCGCCATCTGTATGCTATTAAATTAATTATAAGCTATTTTAGTGTTTGTGATTTGCGATAGATGGCGTCATACTTAATCAAAACTTATTTTCTTGACACATTTGAATTAAGAACGAACCGTTTGCTTGTCTCTTCTGCCAATTTTACTTTTGACGTTTAATAAGAGTGTTTGGTATGCACTGTGCAGGTGGTCCTAGCGCGAGTCACCTGCAGGCGCTGCAGCTGCCGGTGGTGAGCAACGAGTACTGCGCGCGCGCATACTCCGCCTACAAGGAGCAGACGATAGACGAGCGCGTGCTGTGCGCCGGCTACGAGCTCGGCGGACGTGACTCCTGTCAGGGCGACAGCGGGGGACCCCTCATGCAACCTGTCGTCAGTATCTAGTTATTTACTAATATTATATAATAGAAAAGATTGGATAGTTTATTTGTTTGTATTGAACAGACTCCAAAACTACTGAACCGATCTGAAAAATTCTTTCACTGTTAGGAAGTTGCGTTCCCGTCAACATGGACAGTCTACAACCCCTAGATAAAAGAAAAAATATAATATTGATAAATTAACTACTTTTACTAAGATATTTACAATTACTTTAGATTCACATAGATAACTCAAAAACTACTTTTAAGTTCCTTCAATTCCCTAACTAATAATCATTACCTTTGGAATTTAAACGACTTATTTAGTTTACAACTGTATAAAAATTAATTCATGCATTTATTTCTTCAGTGGAACTCGAAGAACTTTACAACATCGATGTACCAGATCGGCGTTGTGTCGTACGGCAAGCAATGCGCGCAGGCAGGATTCCCCGGAGTCTACACCCGGGTCACACAGTTCATACCCTGGATACAGGAGAAAGTACTCGGAAAACGCACATGAAATTAAACATTAACACCACCACTTCCACTAAAAACTAGCTACATTTAAGACCCATTTTCCACTAAGAAACTACTACTTTTAGTAAGAAAATTGCGTCTTCGCCAGTGGAAACTATCTTAAAAATGTGACTCGCAACCAGTGATAGTGGAAACTAGGTTTAACTAGCGGTTGTGAATTGTGATAAACTTTAATTTATAGAAGAGAACTTTGTTTTAATATTAAAAATAATGTATTATTATTTTTTTAACTAATAAAATCTTAATTAGCAGTATATAAGTTGTAAGTTTTCTTATAATTATAATATTTAGAATTCATTAAACAAACATAAATGATAGCTCTCTAACCGTTGGTTTCTGAGACTAAAATCTATATTAAAAAAATCGTTATCTGTTATGTCAACGATGATCACAAGGATGATATTTTTCATACAGAGATGTAGGTCTCAGAAACCAATGGTATTCAAATATTTGAGTTAAACAAAATAATATGGGAACAGTGAAATGTTCAATTAGGCACAAAACATTACAGCTCTTAGCCTATCCAGTGATATATAAAACATATAATAAAAACACAAACACATTATTGATCTGGTATATTTATTATTATTTTTTTATTAATTTAATGTACACGAATAACACTAGTTCTCATACAAAACAACCTTATTTTATTTATTATTTATTCCATAGTCAAAAACTAATCTAAACAATATTTCAGCATTCTAAAAGTTTATACAAAAATGTAGCGCGCACAATAATGTACTAAATACATAGCTATTGTTACAAAGATATGTAAAACGAGTACTTAATTTATATAAAGATTGCTGTAAATCATTTTGTGCTAATTGTGCGTTCAAGGATTTTTAAAACATCCTGTGTTAACAGACTATTAAAAAAAACTATTGTAAATTAAAAAAAAATTGGCTTTAAAATATACCTTTTAACTTTTGTTTAAAATAGAAAAATTACTGATGTTTTTTTTTAAATTTAGAAATACAGGGTGTTACATTATTTTTATCAAAAAAATTGTTGCGATATAAAAAAAATAGGCATTAAAATATACCTTTTATCTTTTCTTAAAAATAGAAAAATTACTGAAGTTTTTTTTATTTTAATTTAGAAATACAGGGTGTTACATTATTATTTTTTACGACATATAAAAATTATTTTAGTCGTTTGTTTTTTATTAGTATGATAAGAGATATTTGAAATGATTGTCTTCAGTTTGTGCGCGCTTTATTGTACGATTAAAATGATATAAAAGTTACATTTATATACCGAGCATTAATATAAAAAGCCTGTTATCATATTATAATACATACGGACAACAATTTTAACATTACATAAAGAAAGCTATGTAACATTTTATTTATATAATAAATTGTGTTAAAAATATTATACAAAAACACACATTTTGTGATCTTACTGAGAATGCCTACAATTTTAAACACTTTAAAATGTTTATTTTTAAATATTAATATGTAAAAATCTATGAGAGAGAATATTTTGACCTGCATTGTAAATGTACTTAACCGTTTTATGTTAAAAAAAATGTTTTTAATATGATAACAGTATTTTCATTACTACAAAAGCTAAAATATTGTTATTACAAAAATCATTGTATAATATTATCAAAATGCGTGCGCACCACAACTAATATTGCTCGAGCAAAAAATGCCTAAAAAACCAATAATATACTATAAAAAATATACTTTATATATCTCTTTTAAATTAAATTACGCATCACTTATTAGTATTTTTTTACGCAAATTAAGAAAAAAAAATATTCAAAAGAAAAAAAAACATCTCCGCTTACACAAATGTTACAAGATTTAAAAAAAAATTGCAAATTATTTTTTTAATTTATATATATCTGTTTTTCTTAATTTGCGTATCGTTTAAATTATTATAAAGCTTATAATTAAAAGTCAAATAAACAGAATATTGAGTTATTCTCAAAGTTGATTTTACACAACAACAAAAGAATTTTTTATTCCTTAAGCCACATCCACTAAAGAAAAAGTTCTTTTAGGTTATATTTTTTATTATCTATGGTTTTGCAATCAATATTCTTTTCATTTGATAAAATAATACAACTTAATTAAATAATAACACAAAACATAAGAATAACAATGTTATCTTTACGAATTAGTATTTGGTTTAACATGCATTGAATTGTAAAATTGCATTTTATTTGTAATCAGAGCTGCACATAAAATGGCGCCCTTTTTTGCATGTTTAAAAAATGGCAGTATAAAAACTCTTTAGTACATTTAGAAGATATTACGATACTTTCATTGGTTATTAAAATTTTAACCTAAAAAATTATGTATATTTTTTTTTACATTCAGTAAAAAATAAATGATTGATTAATGCAATGATTTTTTTTCATAATTTAAAAGTTAATTTTTCGCAAAAATGTGAACTAAAAAATTAAAAAAAAAAACATCGGAGCACTTAGGTATAGCAACACTGAGGGTACCATAGACAACAGAATACTTCAATATACCAACTTGTATAAGAACATTATCTGTACCCTGATTACATTTACACTGTATTACATTTACTATGTGTTACATAACTGTTGTATACAAATGAAAAAAAATCCACCTAAATCTCGTTTCTTACAAAATTCTAAAATAATATCAAACAATATATATACATCGAAAATAAATAGAACATAAATAAATAAAAAAATCAACTAGACTTTTTTGATCTTAAATCCATTAAGCCACAACGAAACAAAAAAAATCGACACCAAACTTTTTCCTTAATTTCTCCAATATAAGACATATGTCAAAAATTACTGACAATATATATTATATTGAAAAAAAAACATATTTCCATACACGAGTTTGTTACAAAATATTACAATTCCTCTTTTTGTTGCTCTTTTGGTTTGGTTTCATGTTGATTCGTTCAGCTTCTTGGAAGCGACGGACCAATCTGACCAGTTCATGGAAGGCCTGGTCCACATTCATCCGAGCTTTGGCACTGCATTCTATGTAGGGTACTTTCAATTGCCGCGATAACGCATGAGCTTCGTCTAATGATACCTACAGTTAATTAGTTGTTAATAAAACTTAATTTATGTTTATCATAACTATAAAGAAAGATTACTGACCCAATCGGACTCATTATTTGGTCATTAAGGGAGACCTAAATCTGAATGAGGTCCTTAGTTGAACAAAAATTTTACCATGGAAAGTAAATTGTATGATTTGATTGATCACACTTAATAATATCACAAATCTATTTGTACTGTAACCAAACATTTTAATGAAAGGTGGAAAAAGGCAAACGGTAACTGGATATTGCTAAATTCGTGAAGTGAATGTTGTCCATAGACAAACTATGTTTAAACTATAAAAGTTTGCAATGGCATAGCATAACCATAAAATAGCCTTTCTGTTAATAAGACAAAAAAAACATACCACTCTCTGATGTTCCAAATCAGCTTTATTTCCGACCATTAGCATTGGGAACTCATCGCGGTCTTTGACACGTAGGATCTGTTTGTGGAATTTGCACAGCTCGTCAAAGCTGGCATGGTCAGCTACGGAGAACACCAGCAGGAAACCTTCGCCGGACCTCATGTACTGTTCTCGCATTGCACTGAATTCTTCCTGACCAGCAGTATCTAGAACTGTAGTTAAAACTTGTTAGTATTTTAACATTTTTATCAAGTAAGAAAAATAAATAGTTTTAAAGAAGTAAAGATGATTCATAGATTATTTTTTGTTCAATAATTTTTTTTAACACCCATATTTTAATTTCTTTACATTTTACTGGTAACTATCACACTCTCCAATTTTTCACTGCCAAAACACTCTTACAAAAACAAATTGTCATCCGAGTCAATTTATTAATCCATATCCTGTCATCTCATAGTCAAAAAAAGTAAAAAATCAATGTGATTTATGAATAAACTCATTTTATAACCATTTAGAAAATTCACTAAAAAAATTATAGGGCAAATATTTTGAGTAGCCTTTATAATAAATGTTATAGTTATGATAAATCTTACTAATATTATAAATGCAAATGTTTAGATGGATATTTGTTAACAGATATATCCCGAACAGCAGCATGGATCTCGCTGAAATATGGAATAAATGTAGAACATAGTCTGGAAGAACACAGAAGCTACTAAGGAGTTGCTGGTGACAGCTAGTTTTAAGAAACATGAAAAATTTATGTATAAACTCATAATACTCACTATCCAACTTTGCTGGAACATCATCAATGACACACTGCTTTGTGTAGCTGTCTTCTATAGTGGGGTCATAGTCTGTTACAAAATAACTCTGAAATATGTTACACAAAATATTGGCTTATTTACTCAAAAATAAAGAAAAATTATTAAAAATAAATTGGAGCATATACTTGTTGTATTTATGTAAAGAAAATCCCTTTTAAAAGTGCATGATATATAAAATTTAGTAAAATATGCACTAAAAGTATACAGTAATTATAAGCAGAAAAAAAATAAATAGAAAAGATAAAAAAAAGTTGTATGTTTTTATATATGTTCATGACACATATTAAACATTAAAGCTCTCATTGTTGTTTGACCTTTGACATAGTTTCTCAGAACCACATATGTTATGGGCTATTTTAAATCTAACGACTAATGTTACTTGATGACAACATAATGTTAATTTACTTTTTCAACTATTTGTCAACAAGCTGAGAAATAGCCATCAAACATTCAATAAAGACTAAAAGACTGATCAAACCAAAAAAAGAACAATGTCTCCCTCATAAATCAAATGTTATCACCTAGTTGAATGAAAAACAGACAATGGTTGATACATTTCAGGGGGATCAACTGTTGATGCAACTTGTTTATTACTCAAATATTTTATTATTTATAGAATTTCCCTTCTAACTTTGTATCAGTAATCATGTGGTACAAATTACTAAGCAGGAAATGTGTCCATAAGCAAAACTGAACTGTAAAAACTCTATGTTTACAATCTTTCTTATAATCATCCTAAGAAAGTTTTTTTGGAACAATTGAATCTTATTTCTTTTATTATTCTATAGATGAGCTGTATTCCAATTAACTCGTAATAATTCTTACAGAAGTTAAAATTTATAAAACCAATGATGACGCTAGTGGGCGGCGTCTGAATTAAGACCTTGGTTTATAACTATCCTCCACACTATTAATAAGTATGATTGTATTCAACACATTCACAAAAAACACAAGAAAATACACCTTTGCCAGTATCAAAAACAATCAAATAATGAGAGTTATTTCATAAATATTATAACAGATTAGATGTAGGCGTAGTTCGAGCCGAATACGGAGATTTTCACCTGAATAAATTGTATAGTAATGGCACTCTTTCCGACTCCACCGCCGCCAACCACAACCAGCTTATAGGTCTGCGCTTGATTAGGTCTGTCCGGTCGCGACATTTCTCACGTTTAACACTACACTTGCGGATTAAGTAATAAAAATATTGGTTTACTTTAATTTATCTATTTCACTACTTGATGACGGCCACCCCAAAGAGTATAATAAGTATACTATAGAAAGAGGGGCAACTCGCACGAAGTCGTGGATCCACGGCGATTGTGGCGCTCCATGCGTATAATCGCTGAACTATTTTTTTTGGTACCTATATACGTAGGCACGCTTATTTAGCTCACTATAATAATAACTAATAAGTGGGAATCTAATAAAGTTAAAATTGACATTAAATCAATGTTCAAAAATAATATACCCACTTATGTAGTTATTAATATAGTGAGCCGATATCAAGTAGCCTTCTATGAAATACCTCTATTAAAATGATCCTATTATTATTGGGGAAATAAAAACAAAATATTTTTATATTTTTGTACATTATTTATTATATTTCTACATAACTTAATTTTAAATCTATGCAAGTACATATACATCAATGACTTTCAAGATATCAGCTCAATATTTTAATTTTTAATATATATATTTGAAAATTACATTTACGGTAATAAATAGTATAGCGCGGTCACAAAAAAATGCATACCCTGTAATTAAAACCAACCCCCAAAATATTTTCAGTCACATGCAAGCTGGCAACTGGCAATTTGTAGTTATTTGCGAGTTTAAACACTCTGAACATATTCTCTTACAACATAGGCAAGCAGATTTTTCTTTACAATAAAAAATTACAAATAAAAAAATATATTTTTTACATATACACACATGGACCCACCTACTAATTTCAGACACATCAGTTTATGGCTCTATAATTCCAGTGATTGGCACACATTTTCTGAACATCACTGACCTTCTCTCAGGAAGGGGGAAACCGTGTATATGTGCACCTACAACAAACAAACAGAATGTAATTTCCTGTCAAGTATAGGAACTGATATGTAAAATGTATTAGAAGTAGGGCACCATTCAATATGATAACCGGAAAGTATAAATCACTGTGGTGCTAAAAACTACACCAAAATACGAAAATATTTAAATGTTTAAATGAGTCTGACGTATGGGAATAACATGAAAATTTTTATTGAATTGTAACTTACCATAATCAGTCCATCTAAAACACAGTTGCGTACAGCGTCATTTTTCACGAAAACACATTTTAATTAAAAACAAAATGAATGAAACAACATTTAACTAAGAATACAAGAACAGAAATAGAAATACGAAAAAACGTAGCGATTTGATGGCACATGAATGTCTCGATGACAGAAATGATGCTTCTTCTCAGCCATGAGATGAAATAATGTTTACCATTATATAAAAGGTGGCGCCACTTTCCGTACAAACCGTCCTTCTTCTAAGTTTCCACCCCCTGGGCCACCCGATGATTCAATTGGCACGTTTCGTTTTACGCTCCATGTTGACAGATGCAGTAAGCAAACATCTCTGCTCATTTGTAATATAAAACTGAAAGTTCATTTAATCTTTTAATTATTGTATAATAAGTAATATTTCACCAGATGTATTTCCGAGACAATTAATTCTATTAAATTTACTATAATGTTTACTTACAACCCATTTGACGCGCTGTTACGGGGATAACTTAGTATCGGACTAACCTGCCTACTCTCTTTCCTGCTTCTTCAAACCTTTATGTCTTTATGTGTTCTAACATGGAAAATGAAATAAAAACCTATTTTTCGGCAAAACAGTTTATTAAGTTTATTGTTAACAACTTATAGAGTAGTGGGACAAAGTTACTTCTTGCCAGCGTCGTAACCAGGCATGACGGCTCGTAGCGCAGCACGTAGTTGTTCATTAACATTCTCCGAAGACGGAGGCTCCTGGAGACCACGTCGGCAACATGGGCAGCACTTTGCGTTGCTCTTGAATGCCAGCTTCAGGCACCCTAGACAGAAGTTGTGACAGCAAGGTGTGGTGATGGGGTTAACCGCTACGTCTTGACAAATAATACAGAGGAAAGCTTGCGTAACTTGCTCGATAAACTCTTTTTTACCGCTTTCATGGCATACGGTAAGGCATTCTTTCCACAATTTACTGTTCAAAGTATCCGCCTCGATGGCATCCTGCTCTTCTGGTGTCAGTAGGTTGCTGTTTATTTTTGTATTTTTGGTATTTGGACTTTTAACATTAAAAATACTTGGTATTTTTTTCTTTGGACTTTTCTTTGGATCATCACTTTTTTCAGTATTCAGTTTTTCGTTTGATACTTTACGTTTCTTCTTGGGCGGCGAAACCTTACAATCAGAATCTGATGAATTATTAGGCTCTCTTGCTTGCTTCTTGCTACCTTTGTTACCTTTCGACTTTTTCTCTTTTAATTTCTTTTTTTCTGCTTCAGCTTCTAAATAACCGTCAGGGTAAATGATAGAATATTGCTTGGCATTAGGTTCCCACGGCGCTGGGTTCGGGTCGTCTCTACGAAGTAAATACTTCCATACTCTAAATCCGGATAGGCCCTTTTCTGGATAATATTTCACAACTTTATAGATTCCATCGTATCTGATACCCTCACTTGGGGCGTACTTAGGGAAGTGGCGCAACATTTTATACGAACGAACCACACGAACAGGTTTACCGTTTCGCCATGCGTCACCTGCGTCTCCGCCTTTTTCAGATACTTCGCCAGCAGCACAGTTGCGCGCCAGTGCTTTATTTTCACGTGTGAGCGTTTGGTCACATGACTGTTCTGCCGTACGCTTGTTGCCTGATAGATCGCGCCCACCACTGCCTGTGTAAGTAAACTCGTTGCCGTTATCGACATCGTCTTCATAACCGCCAGATAATACAATACTGTACGCACCCTCAACATCCCGTCCATGTATACCAGAGACTGGGGGTCGATGTACACCAGTCTCTGAGAGTTGAATTCTAAACCTCCAACACATGCCCACTTCTATTCCAGGGATTGGACCGAAGTGATTTGGTGGCATCGTACAAGTCTTGGTTTTTCCAACGCAGGCCATACCTCGTCCCCAATCACGATTTGAACGAGCCTGTTTGCGCTGCTGGCGTGCAGCACCAGGCGCGACAACAGCTGCTGTATCTCGTGCGCAACTGGGACAGTACCAGTCGTCATCAGGTAATTCGGTTAGCGGCGGCCGCAGACATGTCATGTGATAACCCAGATCGCACTCGTCGCACAGCACGATTGTTTCTGGGTTCTTCTTCCCTAAGCATACGCAGCAGCCACAATCCTTGCAGGGCATGTTGTCGTCATCGCGGCATGTTAAACAATTTAATGCGTGTGATCTTTTTTCAGGTTGAGTTTTCATCATAGTGGTATACTGTTTAGTTCTTTCTTTAACAGGTACAACCTCCTCAATGGCAAATATTTTATCAAGCACTCTTACTTTGGTTTCATTTTGTGGTACTGAATCCGCACCTAGGTATAAGGTGCCCACCAATTCATGGCCGGAAGCTATTTTTTTTATCTCTTCTACCTTGAAGTCATACCAATATCCTTTTTCTAACGGTTCATCTGTATTGTAGTTAACCATGATCTTCTGACCTATTTTCAGATCCTTTATTTCCAAAACAGTACGCGCTCGAGGCCTTATTTCTTTTTCTGTACAGTATAAATCTGAATCCTCTTCATCGTCGTCTAATTGTATTTTGTACAAAACGGACCTATCAGGCTTAAGTTCATTAGATTCACTCGATTTGTGCCCATTTTGTTTTTTCGTTCTGGAACGTGTACTGAAAAAATTAGTAATACTTGCTTTCGTGACTTTGGCGTTTTTATCATTTTGAATTATTGATGGTTCATCGTTATGGTCATCTTCTTTGACAGAAGTTCCTTCTGTGTCTCCATTCGTCCTGTTTTCATGACTTACATTGGTACTGAGAGTTTCAGGATCATAGACTATTTGAATTATTTTTCCTTCTAACCATGTACCTTGTTCTTTATCCTTTGTGTCCACTAAATCTCCTACTAAATATAAATCACTTTCTGCATCTTGGTAGACTTTTGAATTACTTTTTGTTTTATTATTTTGTTCATGATTTACCTTTTGGGTTTCTGTTTCTGTGCTGTCAACGGGTTGCACTTTAATCATAAGCTGAATGACGTCGTTCAATTTAATGTTGTAGTCATGGAATGTATAACCGTCTTCGAGCAGTTTCCCGCCGTAAAACAACCGTTGTGACTTCGGTTCAATGTCAAACTTCTCACTTATTATTCGTCGAAACTTTTCAATCTTCGTCAACTTTGATTCAACAACAACAACACTATCTGGTTTACCAAAAGTTCTTATTCTCACGTGCATTTTTACAGTGTTATTAACAACAAAAACAGTGGTTTTAATTTACGAAACACACAGTGCCAGCTGACAGTACTTTATCGTACAACAAAAGTGAATAACTACCAACCAATGGCGATAAAGGTTGCTGCCAAAATGGAGGCAAAAATGGCGCCTCTCTCCGGTTTGTTTATTGTTAGTTGATAAGGTCGAAAAATATTCTCTGTGGATATTTTATATTTGAGGTAAGTACTAAGTAGATAAAAAGTAAACAATGAAGTGAAAACCTCATAGGTATTATGTAATTCAGAAAGTAAAACTATAACCCTACTTTTAATGTCATCATTATAGTAATGTAAACAAATCTTATCGTACGATACACAACTTTCGCTAAATTATGCATAAATATTGCTAATTACGAAATTTTGGAACCTTAGTGTATCTGGCTGACTTTTTATATTAAAAAATTATATAATCGGCAACTTTGCTTCAGTGATTAGGACTGTAAATAATAATTAACCATGAAAATAAAAAAATTATAATTGCTATTCATGACATTTTCAAAGAGTGAATAAGATTATTTACTTTCACTTAATTTGATAAAATAATGGAATTGTTTCTTACCTGCCAGTGGCATTCAAGTTACCAATACAGTACCTATTTATTTATATGAAAGAAATATATATTAAAAGTTTAAACAGATCTTGTTGGACTTACTTAAGCACCCTTTATGATGTCTATCCACTCTTTTGTAGCCAAGAAGAAGTTTTGTTGTGTATGAACTGCTTATCATTTTGTTTTTTTTCTTTTCAGCTTCTCGGAATGCTTGTATATTCGAGCCCAACATACTGACCACAATACATACAGATGACTGAAAAAGAAATACAAATTCCATATTATATAAAGAAAGTATAAGAAAATATGATTTCATGATTAGTTGCATGAAAAATTGTCCATAGCTTGCATTGAAGGAAGCACGGAACGCCCTGAAGAGAATTCATGTGAAATGTTTATTCTAACAATATTGATTTGTGCTAGATAGAGCATTGTGCTGGTGATATACTGAAGCTCTATAAATTAAAAGTTTTTTTAACAGAAATATTACATTTCTTGTATTTTCACACACATCCTTATTCCTGCCATTCTTTACCTAAGCTGTAATCAAATATAAGCAATAGAAATTTAAATGCTATGTGATAGAACTTTGTGATGATCTGAATTATTAAAATTTTCTAATAAAATTTGTTTTTTACATATTGCTACTAAGATCATTGTTTATTCCTCGATAACGACAACGCCACCTTCATTTTATATACTCTTTGGCCACCTTCGTATAATTACTACACTGTCAACAAAACAAATCAAACAAAAATCCTTTAAAACTAACAAATCTTTTTTCACACTTAAATACTTATTACGACTTATGTTAAAGTATGTAAAAATAAAATTTAATTTAACAAGGCAGTAATGAAGTTAATAAACAAAAATTTGGGACTTGGCTTGGCAACAAAAAGAAAAATGTCAACTGTCATCGTGAAATAAATAAGAGACAAGTTGGACAAGTCTATCCAACTGTCAAAAAACTTAAATATAAACGACAAAATTTTGTTATATTTCTTTATATTCGAATAAAATTGACTGAAGTTTTCTCTAAAATGTTCTCTACTAGTTCCCAACGAAAGTTCTGGACCTTCAGTGATGAAAATGAACTCGCTCGACACCGGGAGAAACATAATTTGAACTTCATTTCAAAACATGGACAACACATCGACGAATATCAGAGGTACAACTTCTTTTTATCGCCAGAGGAAGAACGACTACTACTACGACAGTACGAACTTCATCTGAAGGAGTTCTGTAAAAGATTTTCCCCGCCAATGCCTAAAGGCGTTACTGGGACAGCCTTTCATTATTTTAAACGTTTTTATCTATACAATTCATCAATGGATTATCATCCGAAAGAGATTTTAGCGACTTGTGTGTACTTAGCTTGTAAAGTTGAAGAGTTTAATGTATCTATCGGTCAGTTTGTGGCAAATATTAAAGGAGACCGTGATAAAGCATCTGATATAATATTAAATAACGAATTACTTTTAATGCAACAATTGAATTATCATTTGACAATACATAATCCTTTTAGACCTGTTGAAGGATTTCTAATTGATATAAAAACAAGATGTAACTTAGCAAATCCTGAACGATTACGAACTGGTATAGATGAGTTCTTAGAAAAGGTGTTTCTGACTGATGCTTGTCTTTTATATGCGCCTTCACAAATAGCATTAGCAGCTGTCTTACATGCTGCGAGCAAAGAGCAGGAGAATTTAGACAGTTATGTAACAGATATGCTGTTCCGTGATGCTGGACCTGATAAGTTAGCAATTTTAATTGAAGCAGTACGTAAAATCCGTTCAATGGTCAAGATGGTTGAGAGTCCAGCGAGGGAAAGAGTAAGAGTGATTGAGAAGAAATTGGACCGTTGTCGGAATCAAGAGAATAATCCGGACAGTGAGATATATAAGAGACGTGTGCGGGAGGCGCTTGATGAGGATGACATTCCTCATAGTGGAGCTAGCAGGATGTCACTTGACACTAGTGGAGTGTCACAGATGTTGTCTCCGTCTGCCTCGTAAAAATGATTACCCAGATTGTAAATTTCTATGGCTGTACTTTATTACTTTTATTGAAAAATTGTCTGATTTTTTCAAAGACTAAGCTATTTGTACAGTTGTTTCAAAAGTGAAAGTTCAGTCTTAGCTTAATTTGACTTGATTATATTTTGATTATTACATAAATGATTGTTAATAAAATTAAATGAGACTTTTTATTACCTTGTTTTTATTATTCTTTTTGTATATCTTGGTAGTCCAAGATCAATGGCGTGTTTCGCCTTCCACCGCGTCCTGCTACGCCTTGTTAAACCTAAAATTGGGTTCTTAGACCTTAGATCCTTAGGTCTACGGATTCAGGTGAAATCCGTAAATCTTACTAATATTATAAATTCGAATGTTTGGATGAATGAATAGATGTTTGTTTGAGGAAATCTCCAAAACGGCTAAAAGGATCTTGTTGAAATTTTGCATGCATATAGAACATAGTCTGGAAGAACATATAGGCTACTAATGATGTTTTTTTTTTAATTCAGCGCGGATGGAGTCGTGGGCGACAGCTAGTTTGAATATTTTTTTTCTTAACATATATGAGTTTAAAGTTTAATAAAACAAAAAAATATAAATAAAATTTTATTGTCAGCTTCCATTATGATCCTCTGTCAAAAAGACTCCAGGAATAGGCGGGATTCTGCTCGTAAGAAGACTGACAACTGCTGACAGTACGCACAAGATGGCGCTAGTTGCCGCCATCCACCATATTGTCGGATGGTGGAATATGCACACGCCATTCTCTGTGTACGCGCATGTTAAATCTAAAAATAAAAGTTCATTCATAAATCAGTGATTCGAACTAAAACATCAAAAAGATCTTAGATCTTTTAGACATTGCAGCATTGGATACAAAATATATATTTTCTTTGATTTTATATAAAAAATCATCTTACAACTTATCAGCATGTAGAAGAGGTGACCTAGAAGATGCGCCAGCAGGCCTATAATGGCAGAGGAGACGCCAAGCGCCAGTGGCTTGTCGCGGCGTCGCACCGACCTCAGTACAACCATGCCTTGCATTGTTATAGATGCTCCTGAAAACATAATGAATTTTTACTAAATAACGAAATAAAACATTATTTATACCTTCAATTTGATAATTTCTACCACCTAGGCTTTTCCAGAAAGATTTTTGTATTGTTGAGGATTTTTTAAATTTACATATTTTTTGTTTGTTATTAAAAGACTTTTATTTTTTCTAAAAATGTGTTTTCAATCGGATTTTTAATCATTTATATACGCGTGAATTTACCATAAATCCATAAAGAATAATCACAAAAAAATAAACCATTTATAAAGCGCCATCTAGTGGTTGAAAGTAGCGAAGTATTTTCTATACTCACCAGCGGCTGCCAGCGTGAGGGCGAAGAATAGGAGATAGAAAGAGTAAGTGGACTGACAGCTCGCCACGCTGCAGCTGCCGCGGATTGCTCGCTGCAAGCCGCACGTGCAGTTCTCGAATAATCTACAAACAAAATCTAATGAGAATATATTTTGAAACAAAAAATGTTTAAGTTTTTTTTTTTTTTTTAGTTTACTAATGAACACTACCTTGGTTGTTTATAGAACAGATTGTTGACTTTTTGTTTCAACATCAATGATGGCCAACTTATCTATGCACATGGGTAAAAGTTGTCTTACACGAATCCATTTAGATCTTCGTACTGTTCGCAGCCTGCGTCACACGGCGAGAAGTACGTGGTGTGCGCGTCCACCGCGCACACAGGACTGAAGCCGTAGTTTGCAGTGTTACAGCTATACAAAATATTAAGTACACTCATAATTTTGTTAGTAATCTTTTTCGGTTGATGAGTATGCGCTGAAGATAAAACTCCGGCACTATCGTTTTGGGAAGAGATAGCAAGGGAAGTAAACTCGTCGGCGGAAATAAGAGATAGGCAAAATATATTTTTTTCATCTGTCCCATCGTCTCTTAGTCAACCTTCTAACTATTTGCCATATTAATTAAAAAAAGAAAACAGATGACGATCGTAAATTATCAAACCACGCATCCTAACGTCAAAATAAAAACGTTGGTTTTAGGCAAAAGCAAATGCCAGTGAGTTCAAACATCTCACCCGCAATGCGCACTGCAATCCGGCTGTGTGTACACATCATCCAAGCCGGCGATGTCCCCTCCCCCGACGCCGCAGCCCAGCGCTGCCACCACGGAAAAGAACGCGCACACAAACAACGCCACCACGCCGCCCACACGCGACGCAGTGGTGGCCTTCACGCCGTCACTACGACGACTGGAAAAACGGAACCTAAATACCTGTAGATTTAAAGATAACGACTAAATGTAATCACAACACAGGTAAATGTAACTAAGCAATAATTAATATTAGGCTTAGAGAGTAATAGTAGTGAGTAGAAATCTTTCATAAACCCGCACTTTCCCCAAAAAAACCCAAAAAGAAAATATTACTAACAGTGACAAAGAAGATGATAACAAGAGATCTGAATATGTCATTGATGGCGCGGCTGGTGCGAGGGTCGTTGCGCAGACTCTCGATGTGGTAGCGAGCTTGCACAAATTCCGTGTCATAACTGATGAAGCCGAAAAGACCGGCGTATAGCAACGACAGCGCGAACGTCTGCTGCATTAAGGAACGGTTGCAGAGAACTCGACGGAGCGACGACAGGAATTCTGTAGAGATTGATCAAATCAGGACGTTTAGTTTGTAAGAACAGGAAACTAATTAAAGAGTAATGTAGTCACGTTTTGTTTAACACATTTCACGTTTACAATTACATCGATAAAAAGCTGTTAAAATTCTTTAGGTAGGAGTTTATAGTACAATATTAATCTAGACAAAAATGCATCGGGAACAAAAAAGTCATCATCGACGGATATAAGCAACATCAGAGGATCTGGGCTCTGATCTAATACGTTGCTGGTTTTTGAGGAAAAGATACGCGTCTTTCTTATATCTTACCAGTATCATGATTCTCAATCTCCTTGAACTGCGGCATTCTCTTGGGGAAGAGAGTGAAGAGTACGGAGAACATGAGAGTAAGCATGCAGAGGGAGATGTGTGCGTGCCACCAGTCTGCCTCCACCGCGCCGGGCCGCAGCCAACTCTGCCCGTTCAGGCCCAGAGATAGACGGATGGAGATCAATATACCTGCAACAAACCATTCTTATAACGTGATATTCTATAATCTAAGATGGATTTTTTAGTAACCACAATTAAACTACCATAGAAGTAGGGTCCGTTCTGGGGTTCGTGATCATCCAGGTAGGTTAGACCATGCGCCCACACGCTGATCTTAGTCAGGGCACACAGCACTGCCGTTAGTACTAGGAAAGCCGTGCGTGCAGACATGTATAAGTCCTCGCCTGATGTCAAAGATCTGTACGCTGAAATTGTACCTCCGCCGCATAGCTCTGCAAATTGGTAGAGTAAATAAGGTTATTATTTATGTTAGGGAAGGTTCCTGAAATTTCTAAATGGCTACATTATATTGTTAATGAATGACATTAAAATTAATTTTAGCAGTCATTATATGGAGCTTTGGAATGTATCAAAAACTGATTTGAAAGGAACGAAGGCATTTCACTCATCATAAGAAACCTATGAGTACAACTATCACTTGATTTAGACTTTGTCTAGAAAAGGACAGAGTAATACTGTTCCCAAAAATGTTGTCCCTCACCCACTGCTAAAGGATGTGATTCCTCATAGGGAAAGGCAAGCACAACCAATCCCGAGGCAGCTGTGATGCCGAGACATCCAGAGAGCGCCAGATTTCTCCAGGACCTCCCCCACCAGCCCAGCGCCGCGCCCAGGAGGAATTCCGCTCCTGCTGTTCCTAGTTTTACCCAATCTGAAAGTAATAACAAAGTATAAAAGAATATTAACGCTTATAGCGTAGTGGGTAAAGGCTACCGTTTTTGGTTATGAATAGGAAAGGGACTTATCTTTTTTCTGCAAACCTTCTCTTCTGTCCATTAAATGTTGGCATTGCAATGCCAACATTAAAATTCGAGGTTGAAACCTTTTAACTTTTTTAAAAATATGTTTGTGCAAAGGTCACTGTGTTATTATGCCGCTTGCTCGTTTATTAACTTCTGGTATAAAAAAAAAGGTCAGGATACTTTTGTTTACCTTCGTTGATTGAGCGTAGGAAGCCAGTGCCTGCATTTCTTCGCAGCAGCAGGTAGACGTTAGTCTCCAACAGTACCACGATCAGTAGCGCCCCCTGTAGGAACAGATCGAAGCGTGCCACCGTCAGGATGTAAGTACGGAGAAAATGCCATAACTTCTTGTACGCTGCAAAATGTGAGGAAAAACCTTATTTTTTTTTATATCATAAGGTGGCAAACGAGCGAGCGGCCACCTGAAATCGCTGAAATATCGAAGTGACCGTTGCCCATAGACATACGCAATTGCATATGCGTTGCCGACCTTTAATCAACGGAGGAGTGGATGCACAGAATGAAAACATTTTCCCCTTCCATGCATCCTCTCATCCGGAAAGTCCACTTCCACTTCCCATCCCTTTCCTTATGCGAAAAAGGGTGGGAAGGGAAAGTGGATTAAATTAGGCATCTATTGCTTCCACTTGACGCCTGTCTTCTGTGTGGTCGTGGTGTTTCACCGGGCGAGCCGGGACAATTCGTGCGAAGATGTTAAAGCGGGCTCTACTACTGTTGAATATTGTTTAAATACTGATAAATGAATAACTGATAAAACTATAATTATTTTATTAACTACATAATTAGTATGTTTTATCTTATTATAATGTACTTAGCTATTTCCATGTTAGATTACAATATTTATCAATGAAGTAAACACAATTGATTTAAACCTTTGTGTAATTCTCATTCTTTTGGTTATTAATTTAAAATAAACTTGAAATTATAAATAGTTTACTAACTGTCGTACGCGATTACGTCTGCGTAGGATTTAAAAAAGATATTTATAAGTATCCTATGTGTTCTTCCAGACTATGTTCTACATCTTTGCAAAATTTCCACGATATTCATGCATTCTGGGAATACTTTCAAACAAACATTCATCCTTCCATCTTAACATTCGCATTTATAATATTAGGAAGATTATCCTGTATTAACTTAATATCTTTAAACTTTAATTATCTATTTACATAACTTTGACGTAAATAAATTGTAATGTACTTACCATTAACAATAACACACCCCATCATGTTATAAAAGTCCAAACTCCAATATCTTCATTAAAAAACTTTCTCGTGATTTTTTAAAACTAACTTCCATTAAAAAGAGTTATCATTTTCATTTAAGTTACTAAAGTTACTGTATAAATAATAAAATAATTTATTTTTAGTAACTATTATTATTTTAATGTGAAGTAGTTATCGATTATTATAAAAATCCATTTATATACAAAAACAACGCGTTTGTTAAAAAGACTCGCAAAGCGATATGATTGAAAGATATTTAGCGATATTTTTTATCACTGTCCGTCATGATAGGTTTTTAGGGTTCCACATACATGATAAGTTTACACCCCATTATTTTTACTATTTAATACTCAGAAAAAAATACGACTGTATAAAAAGATACTGTATAATTTATGTCCAAAAAAATTATTATCTAGTTTATTAATTTTTTAATCAACAATAAAAAGCAGCTTTGTGTATTAAACATTAGCTGACGCCAGTGATTCCGTCCTCACGAAATTAAAAAAAAACTTAATTAATAAATGTGTGTGTGCAAGACTATGTTCTACATCTATGCTAAATTTCAGCAAGATCCATATAGCCGTTCTGCAGATACCTTCTAGCAAACATCCATCCACGTATTTTTATTTGTATTAATTTAATCAGAGGAAGTTTTGTTATGACGTTATCGTGAGTTATTTTGTACAGAACCCAATAGATTAAAAGGTTTCGTACTCACTAGAGAAACGTCAATACTTTAGATAATATTTATCTGTGCTGGGCATAATAAAGGTGAAAATGTAGTACATTTTTCTTTATAAATCACTATTTAATCCCATTTATGAATGTACAGTTTTATTTTGCTTATTGATTTGCATACAGCCAAAAACATTATATCTAGATTTATTCAGTATTATTACAGTAAATAAATACTTAAATGTAATTAGTTTTAAATGATAAAATAAAAACACCAATTAATAATATTAAATTAATTTATTTTTACACTAATAAATAAAGTTTTCATCATAAATAACCTAAAATTACAACTTTTAATGCTTCCATTAACAATAACGTAAATATTTAAAAAATAATATTACAATTATTATATTATAATTACCCGTAATTAATATAATAAGGTCCATTAAATACAATTGTAGCGTTAAAACAGTTTTCATAATAAAAACCGGGGCAACACTAAATTGTTTTCATCACCTCTTGAAAAATTCCTTTACTCTGATTCTGTCAGTACACAATCCAGTTACAATTTGATTTATGTTTACAATATTGAATCGAGAGAAAGGAATTTGAGAACACAAGACTATAACTGGTGGAAAATTAATAGCCATGCGAAAAAATCTGGCGAATTTTAAAAATCAAGTGCTTTTTACAATTAATAATATGCATTACTTTAGTAAGTTCGTAAATACACTACTCTTAAAGGCCCTAGTTATAGTGTCCTTGTGAAAGTTCCCCCTGTCGTATTTGAACGGAAACACTTCTCTTAGTAGTCTTCAAGGTCCCTAAGTAATAATAACTAAAAGTATTATGTATTTAATAAGCTTATTAAATACTATCTCGTGATTTGTGATTCGCTGATTAATTCCACTTGAGTAGTTTTCGCGCGACGCCTGTCCGCCAGCTTGATGCAGACGACACTGGTGAGGGTGATGATGAAGGCAAAGAGTACCATGCTACCACTGGCAATTACCATAGAGTAAGGATGCTGCTTGCTGTGCAGATGACATCTACCACCTTGCCACCAAATACAATTCGTTTCTGCAAAAGATAACTAGGTCCCATATGAACTGCTTTGAGCAGAGTTTGAGGATCGGCAGTTGGTATTAACCATACACGGAACGAAAATATAAGCGGTCCGTGTATTTGGACCATTAGTTGACTGGTTTTGGCAAGTCATGATTTATAAAATTTAATTTAACCACAACTTTAAAAATGGAATGACAATTTCTAGAAAGTTGATACAAACTTATTAATATATGTGTTGACCAAATCTTATAAATTCAGACTCTACCCTCTACGTATAAACATGATGACATACCGCTTATTCTAATAAATATAAGATGTCCGAAGACAAAAGCGAAGAGAGCTATGAAGCCGCCGGCCAGCCCGAGCAGCACCGACTTGTCGCGTGGCTCCACTATACGCAGTAGTAAAGTGCCTTGCGCTTGGAAAGACAATGCTGGAACAAAAATGTCACTAAATTACAATACAATTTTGACGTTTAATGATGTACAAATACCAAAAACTGCCTTGATATTAACTTACCGGCAAAAGATAGTAGCATTGCGAACAACATTTGATGAAACTGGTAAGCTCCGGTGCAGGAGTTAGTACTGCAGGGCCCTTTGATAGCATGATAGGACGTAGTACAAGTGCAATTGGTGAATACTCTGTAAGATAACACAATAAATTGTAAAATTAATAGCTGTCGCCCATTACCCCGTCTGCGAGTAATTAAAAAAATAAATAATTAGTAGCCAATGTGTTCTTCCAGACTATGTTCATTATCACAGTGTTTACTTCTTTTAAATAGCTATTTTGGTACTGTTTGGGACTGTATGTTAAGCCTAGAATACTCACTGCAAGCCGTCCACCTCCTCTATACCGGAACAACCGGCGTGACAAGGTGACATATACGTCGTCATCTGATCAGCTACGCACACTGGTGCGAATTCCTGCCATTGCGGGGCACATCTAAAATGTATACAGTTGTTTTGTCTACATCAGTAATTTCCATATTAATCCAGGGCATGCAGCGGGGGTGCAGTTTTTTGAAAAATCTTTGCGAATCGCTGCGTTATTCGATGACCCAATGAACTAGCGTAGAAGAGAAGGCTAGACAAAGTGCATTCGCTCCGAAGTGATTCCATAACGAATTTCAACAATGTATGGAACTGACGCGCGACAATCACGTGACTTATCGAAAGTGATAGTAAATTCATGCAATTTGTCTGGCCCCGCTGGTCTGCTCTCTTTTTATATCATAAGGTGGGAAACGAGCGAGCGGCCACCTGAAATCGCTGAAATAGCGAATTGACCGTTGCCCATAGACATACGCAATTGCATATACGTTGCCTACCTTTAAATCGACGGAGGAAAGGATGCACAGAAACATTTCCATGCATCCCTCACCCGGAAAGTCCACTTGCACTTCCCATCCTTTCCTTTTAAGAAAAAAGGTAGGAAGTGGAAGAGGACAAAATTAGGCATGCGGGACGCACACTCATCAGACGAAACGCGGAATTGCTTCCACTTGACGCCTGTCTTCTGTGTGGTCGTGGTATTACACCGGGCTAGCCGGGCCAATTCGTGCGAAGATGTTAAAGCGGGCTCTACCACTGTTAAAACTTCTAGTTAGATGGAAACGTATGAAGTCATAGTTGTCGTACCCACAAGTCTGACTGCACTGTGGTTGAATGTAATGGTTCCCGTGCAGACCGGCCATGCTGCCTGTGTTGCAGTTAGTCGCCAACATTAACGCAACGTATGCGATTATGGAGAAGAAGCACATTGTAGCTGTATGCTTTAGTACGTCGAGTCTGATGATACTCGGCATTAACGGTGGCGTGAACCTCAAGCCTTTATACTAGAAACAAGGAAATAGTTAGTCCCATCGTACACGGACAGATTCAAGCAACGAAGCTGTCGCTGTTGTCCGTGTACAGTGACTTTCACTGAAAATCTTAATTGCATTTATATAACATTATCTCAGTTTTTGATTTTTTTTAAGTATTAGGTGTTTGAGAAAAGAAAAATGTAATAAAGCAAATTAAAAAATAAATAAAAAATGTCACTTCTGTAATTTAGTATAGAGGATATGTGCAACAAAGTTTACAGACCAAAAGACTGTAGATGTCGCTAGTTCTAATAAAAAAGCATTTTATAAAAAAGAAAAAAAAGCCACTTACTGCTACTGCCAGTACGACAGCGTGGTAACGTAACATCTCAGCATTATTAAACGCACCATTTCTATCCAAATGTAGATAGTACTTTGCCTAAAATTAACATCAAAATTTCGATAAAAATTTACATAAGAAAAAAATTGTAAATACATTATAATTGCTAGAAGAAGACAATAAAAGATTTGAATAATTTTGGTAAGCCATGATTATGAAAAATATGTTATAAGCAATTGTTATTTAGCAAAGCTAAGTAACTAGAAGATTGATTTTCCGATAAAAACAGTAACATATTTACTAAATAACTAAGAATTCTTGAACAAATAGATAAACATGAAATATAACATTACCCTGAGGTAGTCAGTCTGGTGGTAAGCGAAGCCCCAGACTGCAGCCGCTATCAGACCCATGGCGACCATCTGCGTTGTTATCAAAGTGTTGGAAAACACCCTGTATACACTGGAAGCAAAACCTGGAATAATAGCGTAGTTTTGATGCGAAGTCATTACTTCTTTTTGTCTAATTATCTATATTAAAAATACATTTTTAGTTTTGTAATTCACATGTTAAATTTTACTTCCGGAGACAGACCGAGCTTTAATTATTCAGGATGCCTTGCATCCTTCGTCTGCTCATAAACGTCTCCACCGAGGACGTCGACTTTATTTTTATTGACTAGGTCTTAGTCAAAGCTGGTTTAGTGTACATTGGTAGACCAAAAATCTTTGAATTTTTTCGCCGATATGTGCTGGTCGCCGATATGTCACTATGGTTTCCTTTCACAATACGAACGTCAGTAAAATCTGTAGATATCAAGTCGAGTGCTTTACCACTGCGCCACCGAACTCATTACAATCATCCTGGACTATAAAATGATGTGTTTACCAAATCCCAAGTTAGACGACTTGGTGACGTTAGAAACGAAAGGCGAAGTCTCACTTATATCATTCGTGATGATTCTTGGTTCTTCCTCCTCTTCGTTGAGTTTTGGAGTGCTCAGATACACTTGGATACCGCTGAGTGTCATACCGATGGCTATCAGCAAAATCTGAACAGTCAAATTTGTCTCCACGATAGGTGTTAAAACGTTGTAAGCGACGACCAGACTCATGAGACGATAAGTTGAAAGAACACCTAAAAATACAAAAGAAGAGAAAATATCGTTAATGCTTTCACTCGTATATATAATTTCAAATATCTTAAAGGCTCAAGGTCATCCACGTGCTATATAGTGCCCTCCCCAAGCATTCACATTCACATATTAGTGCTAGGCCACTGGACTTAAGCCTTTTAATACCTCTCAAAGTATGTTGTCTAACGGTAACTTATTCTAGTAAATTATTAAAATTAAGACTGGCCACTTACCATAATGCATGCTTAATCTAGTAGGTGAACGATTGTCCATATAAATAATACCGTGACAAATAATAATAACCCTTGTAATTCCGAAGACTATGAAAGTGAAGAGAATGATAGACAATCTGAACGGGGTACTGGGAGTTAGTCCCAATTCTGGAGCCGTATTATTACCGTTACAGTATCCTGAAATTATTGAAATAATCTATTAAATAGCTATAAATTAATCTACACATCTGTGAATGATAGTGTCGATTACAGCGCCATCTATAAATATATCTTATATGAAAATAGCGCCATCTATTGTTGAGTAAATTAATCTGAAAATAATTATGTTATTGTAATTAAGAAATATTTGAAAACATACCAACACTTTCAGGGACAGTTACTTTAGGCAGAGCAAATAACAGCAGAGCACTAACTCCGGAGACGAGACAAGCTGTAACCACCATTCCTCGTCGCCGGCTGCTGCCTACCCACCCAATGAATGGAGACAACATTGCTTCCAACAAGGCCAAGAGAAGTATTAATAAATCTAGAACGAATTAAAACGTATCAAATCTTTGTTGGATAGAAATGTCTTGAAATATCTAACAATATCCTTAAACACATTTTTAACACAAAGATCTTTATTATTTGTTTTAAATCTAACCAAATACTATAGTATAAAATCTCTTGAATACGTGACATATCTTTATATCTACTTTATCCTCATTCCATAGAGTTTCATAATCAACAAACTTGCAACATACAGCCTTGACTCGCATTGAGTTGTCTAAAATTTATTTTTCCTTGTCCGGAGTTTGCTACACAAGTTGGTAAACATAATTAGTACATACGTATTTACCGTCTCGAAGTCTCTTTACTAGCCTATGTGTTCTTACAGATTATGTTCTGCATCTATGCCAAATGTTAGCAAGATACATGCAGCCGTTCTGGAGATACCTTCAAACAAACATCCATCCTTCCTTCCATCTATCTAAACATTCGCATTTATAACATAATTAACATTAAGATTGTACCTGGTAGATAATGGGGCAGATCTCCAGCTTTATTATTCTGTTTGAGAAGTCTGTAAGCGACTATCTCAGCCAATGTCACTGTTATTATTATTCCAATCATTGTGCCGCGAAAACTTTCCGCCACAAACGTACTGGCGAAAAGACATCCTCTTACCTTTGTCTTCACTATAAACATAATACAATAGTTGATAGTAACATATTTAGTAAGTAATTTTTATTTGATTAGTGATCAATTGATTTTGTTTTGTTTTAAATTGATTTGACTATGAAATTAATTAATGATTGTCTTGAGAAGAACCGTAAGAATAAATAGCCAATGGCATAATTGTACTGATGAATCACAACAGTTTTTTATACGTAATTTAAGTTCAGTCTAAAGTAATTTGACAAATCGCAAAAAACTCAAATTTTGTCTATTCAAGTTTATTTATGGGTATCACAAATTCCGAGGTGAACTTTCATTTACAATATATAAATGCAAGACATCCCTCTAGATAACCAACCAACCTGACGTAAGCTGACGGCTGGCCGTAAAAATAATCCAAAATCTTAAGATTTATAAAAACCTTATAAGGTAAGGCCAGGAAGAAGACATGCAAGATGGAATGCAAGAAGATGAAATGTCTTGACATATAATTAATTACCTGTGTTATATTTAGATATCCCTGAAGACGACATTTTGTTTTTTTAGACTACCTTAATGTAACTTTTTGGTCTTCAGAAAACTATAAATTTCCTCGCTGTACATTTATCTGTTAACAAATATAAAAACGAAATATTGTATTGTGATTAATTTGCAGAATTTATTTAATGCTGAATTTTAAAAATGTATTTTGTAAAAGCATAGCGAGAAATTAATAAATAAATCTAGTCTTTATATATATAATTCTTCTGTGCGTGTGTATGTCACTGAACTTCTCTCAAACGACTGGACCGATTTTGATGAAATTTTTTGTGTGTGTTCAAGGGGATCTGGGAATGGTTTAGATTCACAATTTTGTCCGCTGGACAATGTTTTCTTAAATTAATTTTTAATTTATTAGTAGTTGTTGATTTTGGAATGTTTTACATTGGATCCGACAGACGGCGCTACCATCGCAGTGTCAAATTTCAAATAATATTCGAATTAAAGACGTGTAGACAGGACAACGTCTGTCGGGTCCGCTAGTTTACTATAAAATAGCGCAGTACCTTTACCTTTAGCTTTGTCCTTCCATTTTTAAACACGTTTTAAAAAAACAAATACGTAACTTTATGAATAATTCAACTTATATAAAGCACACGTAAAACTGAATAGTGAAAAGGAAAAAGTTGACTGGTAATGTGTAAATTTTTGCAACTGATATGATCGTTACATATCTTCAATTGTCTGAATCTAATCTCCTATTTTGAAGTATGTTGATACGTTACTGTTACATTGATAAATCAACTCCGAGTTTCCTCTCTTAACATCTGTATAAAAACACTAGTTTTGCCCGCGGTTTCGTCTGCATGAAACGTTTTTATATGCCATTTTAAATATTCAGGCTAATTATTTAATTTAAAATTATAAAACATTACAAATATTGAAAAAAAATCACATCTTTATATATATAATTCTTCTGTGTTTAATTTATTGTGTGTGTTCAAGGGGATCTGGGAATGGTTTAGATTCATAATTTTCATCAAATATTAACTTCATATTAATTTATTTAAATTAAAGACGTGTAGACAGGACAACGTCTGTCGGGTCCGCTAGTAAACCTATATAAACTTTCATCCCCTATTGTTATTTTACACCCTAGAGAACTTTTAGAAACTTTGAATGTCATATTTATATTTTTATATGAAATTAACATCCTAAAAAATAAGTTATAAGTTTCTAAGTGTAAAACTGACGAAAATTTCATTCAACTTTCCAACCCCATTTTAAACCTTTTACAATCCTATTTTTCACATTAAAAAGTAGCCTGTGTCCATCTCAGAATTTAGACTATCGGTGTATCGAATTTCATTTAAATGGACTAAGCAGTATTGGCGTAAAAGCGCGACAGACAGACAGAGTTACTTTCGTATTTATAACATTAAGAAAGGATGTCATCACTTTCATTATCTTTGATAAACAAAAATAAAGATGTTTCAACGCATCAGATAAATTTCACTATCAAATAACATGACTACGGAAGTTTTAAACAGGTGGCTTTAGTTAAGAATATTGATATTTTAATATATATCATTTTTTACAAACTCTTATCTGTCTGCTATCTTTGATGAGGTAATTTTATTAGGTTTTTTTTAAACCAAACAGGTGTGTTAGGAACACGACAAATGAACCGGAACCTCTGTCTATCCACTTTGGGTTATGGGCGTGAATTGGTTGTGTTTAATCAAGACTCTCAATAATAATAATTTGTTAGTTTAACAGTGGTAGAGCCCGCTTTAACATCTTCGCACGAATTGGCCCGGCTCGCCCGGTGTAATACCACGACCACACAGAAGACAGGCGTCAAGTGGAAGCAATTCCGCGTGCAGTCTGATGAGTCCCGGAGGCCTTATTTAGTCCTCTTTCCCTTCCCATCCTTTTTCTTACAAGGAAAGGATGGGAAGTGGAAGTGGATTTTCCGGAGAAGAGGATGCATGGAAAGGGAAGATATTTTCTTTCTGCGCATCCTCCCCTCCGTCGATTAAAGGTAGGCAAGGCATATGCAATTTGCGTATGTCTATGAGCAACGTTCACTTCGCTATTTCAGCGATTTCAGGTGGCCGCTCGCTCGTTTGCCACCTTATGATATAAAAAAGTTAGTTTTATATTATAAGAGCGTCGGTAGCTCAGGGGTTTAAGCATTTGACTTGTAATCTGCACATCCTAGGTTCGAATCCCGCCATATACCAATGTGTTTTTCAGTTTTCGATTTATATATGTACGTTCCGACGTTCTTACGGTGAAGGAAAATATCGTGATGCACATGTCTGAGACGAAATTCAAAGATATGTGTGAAGTCAACCCGCAATGGACCAGTATTGATTATGTCCTAGACACCCCTAACTTAGGGTACGCTCCGCGTCCCTTACTGCGGAAATATAGTGAGCTGATGATGATGAGTTAGATGTATTTTGTTTGCTTTGTATTCTTAAGAAATTTTGCTGAAATAAAAATTAATCGTATCTTCTCTTTTGTAGTGAGCAATGAAATTATTGTAAACTGGTTAAAGATTTTTGTTCGAAAATAAACATAGCCAATCATATTATAAAAATTTATTTATATTTTAATTTTAAATTATTATTATGTACAAAACTTAAATCTAATAAATAATTATATAAATGAACTAATTATATTAAAATATATAATTTAGCATTTAACAATGTCTTAATATTAGAAATAAATAACCCGTAATTAATATAACAAGGTTAACAAACTTAACTACTGAATAGCAGATTTTTTTTATAAAATCTGTACACAAGAATATTTGTATGAAATCACAACTAATAGGTAAAATTTCAGCTAAGTAATATAAAAGGGAATGAAGCAATGTGTTTGTTGTAAGGAAAACATAAAAAAAAAACTACTAATTATGAAAGTACGAAAATACGAAGTAAATAAAATAAAAAAAAAAAACATTTTCTTATTTTATTTACTTTCCGATCACGTGGTCGAGAGTTCGAATCGAATCGTCGAAGTTCTATTGTCGTAAACCATATCCTAACACAAGCTTAAAGCTTACTTGGAATAGTACAAAGAAATATTAGTAAATTAACAAAACCTGCAAATATTTAGTGATAGAAATATATATTTTTAGACATTATTAGTTAGAATCATTTGGCGCGAATGACGTGCTTTCGTTACAAAGTCAAATGTCAGAATGATTAGTGAGGGGACATGTCGACATTTTAGTAAGTGTTGTAGCTAGTGATACGCCAGTACACTGACACAGTGCCGATTTTTTTCCTAACAATATATACTTTTTGAAGTCGGTTAAAAATGACTAAACATCACTGGGTCATACATAACCTAAGATATATTACATCTAATAAGTCTTTTGTTTGCTATATCTATGTTTGTGATTCAACAACTAACTCTATTTCTGTATTCTTCGCGCGCCGTCGCTCCGCCAGCTTGATGCAGACGACACTGGTGAGGGTGATGATGAAGGCAAAGAGTACCATGCTACCACTGGCAATAGCCATAGAGTAAGGATGCTGCTTACTGTGCAGGTGACATCTACCACCTTGCCACCAAATACAATTCGTACCTGTCACAATACGAGATGATTTGAGAAAAGTGTGCATAACAGTAACACACGTCAGAGACCACGGACCTCGATTTGGCACCGTTCTGATACACTTCTTTTGCTTCTACATTAATACATCCACCTTTCTTAAGTAGTCCTTCTTGAATTGTCGCGAAAGATACTGAGGCTCACTTTCGCGCCATTTATTTCTTTTCATTTTTCCATTGAATTAGTAAATCTTACTTCTTATCTTATAAAACTAATATTATAAATGCGAATGTTCAGCTGGATGGATATTAGTTAGAAGGTATCTCCAGAATAGCTGAACGAATCTCGATTAAATTTGGTATACATATAGAACATAGTCTGGAAGAACACATAGGGTACTAATTTTTTTAATAACGTGCAGACGGAGTCGCGGGCGACAGCTAACTGTCAGACAAATGATTGGATGATGAGATTGCCGTTGAAAGGCAAAAACAATCACAAAACAAAAGGCTAAAGTTACGTTTCCTTAATGAAGTAGGATGATTATGATACTAATTCATGTGACCATGACTTACCACTTATTCCAATAAATATAAGATGTCCGAAGACAAAGGTAAAGAGAGCTATGAAGGCTCCGGTCAGTCCGAGCAGCACCGACTTGTCGCGTGGCTCCACTATACGCAAGACTACAGTGCCTTGCGCTTGGAAACACAATGCTGGAATTAAAAAGGGCATTAGTTAATAAATAAGACATAATTCTAAATTATTATACGAAGAAAGAACTGTTTTATTTTATTCCATTTCAATATGATACCCATACATGAGGACATTGATAACGACGACCTATTCAGAGGCGGAGGATTAGACCGGCCCTCACACCAGCACCGGTTTACCGCGTAGCCTAGGACTTCCCCAAAAGAAAATAGCGTCGGTGGCTCAGGGGTCAAGCACTTGACTTGCAATCTACAGGTCCTGGGTTCGAATCCCGCCATGTACCAATGTGTTTTTCCATTTCCGATTTACATATGTACATTTATCCGACGTTCTTACGCTGAAGGAAAACATAGTGATGCTGCACATATCTGAGAAGAAATTCAAAGATATGTGTGAAGTCAACCAACCCGCACTTGGCCAGCGTGGTTGACTATGGCCTCATCACACTTAACTTAAGATAGGCTCCGAGCCTCTCGGTGGGGACGTATAGTGAGCTGATGATGATGATACGAAGAAAGGAATACGATTTTCAATTTGACTTACCGGCGAAAGTAAAGAGTAGTGTGTACAACATTTGGTGCATTTGATAAGCTCCTTCACATGAGTTTCCGCTGCACGCGCCTTTTGTAGCGCGACGGAAAGAGGCGCAACTACAGTTCGCGTAAACTCTGCAAGAAACGACCAATTATTTAGTTACGAAACTTATGAACTTACCGTTGATTTCTGAAACCAAAATCTTTGTACAAAATATCGGCATCCCTATAATTATTTTAGTATTAGACAAAACAGAGACGAGAATATCCTTTAAACCAGTCTTTCCCAAAGTGTGCGATAACGCCCCCGTGTGGGCGCTGCAGGATTCAAGTTTCGTTTAGAATTCTCCGTTAATATACATACATATATAGGTCACAATAATTAATTAATTTAATTTGGAGTTATAGTGCTTTTTAAATATGTGAAAATATGGGAGCGCTAAAAAATATTTATTGTCAAAGTGGGCAGTAGACAAAAGAAGTTTGGAAACCACTGCTATAAACAATCACTTTGGTCTCGGAAACCCACGGTTAGAGTTGTCATTTGAAGTTATAATGGGACTTTTCTAGAAAGTACACTATTAAAGTTTGTATTGTGTGAGGTTAAGTCAATTATGATAATACTCACTGCAAGCCGTCGACTTCGTGTATACCAGAGCAGCCGGCATGACATGGAGACAGATACGTCGTCATCTGGTCAGCCACGCACACCGGCGCGAACTCCTGCCATTGCGGCGCGCATCTGATAATCACAACGATCTCAATTACTCATCAGTTTATGAATAACTAGGAATTCCTACCCTAACGGTAAAGCGAAAGGGAGGGTAACTTACTGGAAATCCATACGATACAATCCTAACAGCAAGGGCCAGGCTCCAACACATGCTACCCTAGTCCGTTTAATCTCCCCGCACACCTTGTTAAGATGACTTTGGAAATTTAGCATCGCAACGCAAGCTGGGTTTAGCAACTTAAATATAAAACTTAATTTTATACCCGCAAGGCTGACTGCACTGAGGCTGTGTGTAGCGGTTCCCCTGCAGACCGGCCACGCTGCCTGTGTCGCAGCTCGTCGACAAACTTATCAGAACATACATTAGCAAAGAAAAGAAGCACATCTTGGCAGCGTGCGTCAGCAAATCCATTCTGACGATACTCGGCATTATCGGCGGCGTGAAGGTTAAACCTTTGTACTGTTAACAAACAAAAAGTTTCTATATATAATACTAGCTGTGGCCCGCGAATTCGTTCGTTAAAAACCTAAAAAGAAGCCTTTAATATGTCCGCATGAATTAGCTACCCTCGTGTGAAAGTCCCGTTTAAATCGGTCCAGCCTATCCGGAGTTAACCGGAACATACGTGACCTTGCCGTCAGACAAACAGACATCACAAAATAATTTTAATATTGGGTTTTCGTTATCAAGCTACGCAATCATGTGTACGAAACATGTTTTTTTTTGCTATACTACCAGACACTCCAATCTTATTAAGATGTATAGATAAAGATATCTCACTCACCGCAACTGCCAAAATGACAGCGTGGTTACGTAATAATTCAGCATTGTTAAATAAATTATTTCTTTCCAGATGTATGTAGAACTTGGCCTAAAACAAAAACAATAATTAAGAAACAAAACACCGGATAAATTTATAGAGAACAGAATTAAAAACAAACTTAATAAGTAGTCTATCTGTTCATCTAAACTATTTCTACAATTTGACTAAATTTCATCAAGATCTGTTGAGCTGTTCCGGACATACATTCAAAAAAACATCCATTTAAACATCTCGCGATAAATGTATTTTACCTTAAGAAAGTCAGTCTGATGGTAAGCGAAGCCCCAGACTGCAGCCGCTATCAGACCCATGGCGACCATCTGCGTTGTTATCAACGTGTTGGAAAACACCCTGTATACACTCGAACTGAAACCTGCTTTAAGAAATTGCAATACACATATTACAATCTATAAATTAGCTGTCACTAACTAAAGTTCGCCTAAGACTTTCACAATTAGTCTCTTTCAATGCCTCACCAAAAACGAACTAAGACTAAATCTAGGTAACTGGGGAATAGCGCTCAGTTCGCGCTATTGTAACTAATTCATCACGTCATTTAAAATCCTTCAATTTTCAATGAATACTAACTTTTCTTTTAACTTGGTTACTTTTAAACTAATTAGGCCATTGCTAACTACATCTCGCATCAGACATCACAATAAGCAATCATGCAGGAAAACGGACAACTACAACACGAAAACTCAATGATGAACTTGTGTTTAAAAATTAAAAAAAAAATTTAGGAAATTCTCTAAAATTTTTGCGCTATTTTTGTACTAAATTATATTTTTGCGCTACATTGGTACAGGAGGTGAAAATTCTAAATTATAAACATTTTAAAAATATATCAAAAATGTAAATATAAGATTATTGTGTAATTTTAGAACAGCTAATATTATATATAAAATTCTCGTGTCACAATTTTCGTTCCCATACTCCTCCGAAACGGCTTGACCGATTCTCATGTAATTTTGTGAACATATTGAGCAGCTCTGAGAATCGGCCAACATCTGTTTTTAATCCCGCGCGGACGGAGTCGCGGGCGACAGCTAGTATAATATATATTTCACGTAATAAAAGATAAAATTTACTCAAATATCTGCAATGATTTGAAGTTGACTGTATAATACAGTCAACTTCAAATCTTTGTATATTTTTAATTGTAATTAATGTTTTGTTCCTGTCAGTTGACAACAGTCTAATGAAAAAGACCAAGACCCAAAACCGCGCTTAGCAGAACTTAAGGATTTTTCCACTCGTGGTATCCTGTAGCCAAATCCCAAGCATCTATAGCTTAGTACTTTCATTCTCTGCCTACCACTTGACTTATTGACGACCTTAGGAACGAAAGGTGAACTCTCACTTAGATCATCCTCGATAGATTTCTGTTCCATTTCAGCAGTTTTCGTAGTATTCAAATATATTTGGAGAGCATTGACCATAATGCCAACGGCAATTAATATAATTTGAATTGTCAGATTTGTTTCCACGATAGTTGTCATGATGTTGTAACCCACGGCAAGACCCAGCAGACGAATTGATGTAAGAACACCTAAAGATGACAAAGTTCAATAAACAATCATATTTTTTTAAATATTTAATTAGATTACTCTAAAGTTTTATCCAATAAGGGTTGTCTATTTCAAAAAATAACTAGTTGTTGTCCACGACTCTGTCGTCCTCCTTATTAAAAATAAATTCCAGCTTGATATTTTCACGCGTTCCTGACAAAAAGGGTCTTGACAGACAGACGGACGGACGACAAATGGTTCCGTTCCTAACAAACATACATCCATCTAAACTTACGCATTAAAAAGTAAGATTAGGTATTTGCTGTACATTTTTATATGTAGTTATTTCAAATTTCTCTAACGTAAAAATCTTTCTTTTCTACAAATGTGATTTAAAACCAATTTTAGGTTAACTCACTGACCTTGAACAAAAAAAAACTCTTACCATAGTGCATGCTTAATCTAGAAGGCGCTCGATTATCCATATATGTGATACCATGACAAAAAGCTATGATCCTTGTCACTCCGAACACAAGGAAAGTGTACAGGATGATGGATAATCTAATCGGTGTATTAACAGTTTGCTTGAATTCTGGTAACGTGTTATTGCCGTTACAAAAACCTGAAATTATTAAATATTATAACTTTTAAAAACGCATTTATACGCAAAGATTGTGGCGCCATCTAGATAATACCTCGATAGACAATAGCGCCATCTATTTTTTGAAACCGTTAAATGTTTAATGTTGAATACACACCAATACTTTCAGGAACAGTGACGGTGGGCAATGCAAACCACAGCAGGGAGCTGGCGCCGGAGACGAGACAAGCCACCATGAGCATCCCGCGCTGCCGGCTGCTGCCTAACCAGCCTATTACTGGCGACACTAACGCCTCCAATAACGCCAGGAGAAGTATTAATAAGTCTGAAACATATACTTTAATGAACTAACACGTCACACACAAAATACGGATTACTTCTACTTTTCTGTCTTCTGTATGGTGGTGGAATTTCAGCGGTCAACCCAACCCATCCAGGATATCCAGCAAAGTTTAAATCGATTGAAATGTTATCGTCTTAACCACATAACTAGCTTTTGCCTGCTCCGTCCGCTTAGTAAGTGACCTATGTGTTCTTCCAGACAATGTTCTACATATGTGCCAAATTTCGTAAAGATCCGTTGAGCAGTTCTGGAGATACCTTCTATCAAACTTCTATCCATCTAAACTTTTGCATTTATATTAGTAAGATTACCTGTTACATAATGAGGCATGTCTCCTGCCTTAATGTTCTGTTTGAGAAGTCTGTAGGCAGTTACTTCGCCCATTGTCACTGTTATTATTATGCCAAACATAGTGCTTCGAAAACTTTCCGCCACAAAAGTACTGCTGAAAAGACATCCCTTGACCTTTGCCTTCACTGTAAAAAGGTGCTTAGTATTAGAACAATTGTTTAATAGAAGAAAGAAACTCGTCTTATGGGTTTCACTGTTAAAAATTATAAAAAAAGATATAGAGACGAAATATGTTTACATACAAGCATTTTACGGCAAGGTCGCGTGATGTAAGAACATTTTGTTACACGAGAGAGATGGAAGATACAAATATAGGTGGAGTAAAAGAGACCACTCTATTTCTAATTAGTGCGATTCATAATTTCTTACCTGTGTTAAAATCAGGTATCCTTGATGTAGACATTATATTTAATTTTAAAACAAATTAATATAATTTAAACGTGTCTTCAGAAAATCAGTCTTTTTCTTACAACTTATTTGAGATGCTGCCAAATTCTTAAATCTGTAATAGATAATAAACACTTTATAATAATACGTATATTTATCATTTACACACGCAAAAAGAAATTACCTTTTTTATAGATAAATAGCTGTCGACCGCGACTCTGTTCTGAATTTAAAAAAATTGTAGTCTATGTATTTCAGACTATGTTCTACATCTATGGCAAATTTTATCGAGATCCGTTAGACCGTTATACGAGCATGAGTTTTTGTAACGGATTGACCTATCCCGGACATAACGTACAGTTATACTACGAATCATATATATTATGTTGTTATCTTTGATAAGATAACCAAAATTTTTCAGCTGATGACTAATTTTCACACGCATTTCTTAAGTAAACGTACGAAGATTTTATATATGTAAATTTTGATACAATACAACTAGTTGTGCCCTGCGAGTTCATACGCGCGGTAGTAGCCTATGTGTTCTTCCAGACTATGTTCTACATCTATGCCAAATTTCATCAAGATCCGTTGAATTTCGAAGATACCTTCAAACAAACATCCATCCATACTAACATTCGCATTTATAATATTAGTGAGATTTCATAAGAGAACATACGGAGACTACACACGAACTTACGACATACACACACGACTTTATGTATGTTGGCACAGTTCTGGCATACCTCTTATAATCGTTCTTATTTTCACTTCTCTTTATATAACGAATCTAAACGTACATAAAATTGAAGTTAAGGCAATAAAATTTATGCCGAATAATTGTTTGGTACTGTTTTAATCAATAAATATGATGAAAAATATCGATTAAATGGATTATAATACTTCCTTGTTTTATCATTATCATCGATATTTTGTAATTGAATCATATAAAATTCGATAATAATAAAAGTCTGATTTTAGGTCACTCTTTATAATAGTCAGCGAAAGAAATATAATTTAGATACGAACCAAATATATATTTGATTTGTTCCTACAAAACATGTAACAACTAGGCGATATAATATAAATCGAATTTAAAGAACACACTGTCTTATTTTAATTTTGTCTGTTCGTATTCATGTCTTTCACGTTTATGGCTAGCACGAAAATTAGCGAGAAAGCATTCGTAATGTGGTCGACGAAATTTGCATTAAAATTAGTGCGGCGCTACTACTGAGCGTAAAGTACACCAAAAATCTCTTATAAATTTTGACATATTTTCTCGATGATGCTTCGACGATGCATATCTCAAGTATTCGTACTAGGCCCTCTTTTTCACTTTCAAAGCAAAATGAAATATAAATTTTAGTCGTCTTGCCCTTATGCGTTGAGTCGATGCCCTATGTTTCGTCCACCAGATTGATATCATTCCTTATTTCAGTTGCAACTCGCTTTTTAATCTTCACACCTTTCACACAATTCATCCATTTTTTCTATGTCTATCCTTACTGTTGTATCCCTCAACATTCATATTTAAAGTTCCCTTGTCACGTGTGATTATATCCATTACGAATCTTTCTAAATCTTATCTTTATAACATTAAGTGGTTAGGTGAGTCATTATTTGAAGTAATCTTTATGCTCCATTTATCTCATGTTTCGTTCGGTTTTTGCCTCAAACATCCATTTGAAAATGTTCGTCAGTTACAGATATTATCATTCAGATTAAACCTATAGATAACTTAAAAATATTCTAGATATGATAAAAAAAATAGAACTCACCAAAATATCACAATTAATATAAAAAATGTATATAATATTCACTAAGTACCGTATTGTGAAATGTTAAAACATGTTAACCCATTTATTTTTTATTTAATTTTATTTTTAATTATCACTGGCTGTAAACACAAAAATCCTTTGCCTCGTTCCGCTTGTCATTTAGCAGCGCGCGGCGCGCCAAAAATAATGTCAATATCTTTTTACACAATTAATTATAATTTTAGTTATCAATTGATTAATATAAAAAGGAGTGGTTACACAAACTATCGTCGATTGGTTCATGATTTAGGCAAAATAGATTATGTTATCTTATAATTATTTGATAGTTTTTATTGATATTAATGGAAATTTGTCGATAATCATATGTGTACTGATAATATTTTTATTGTCATGTAATAAAAAAATATGTTACAACTGATTCATGTTATTTAGTGTTAATTTTATATACAACAGAGATGCTAAACTACGACAAATTAAAGTTGACGCTCTGACAATTTTTGTAGTGTTTGATATTTTTTTTTATCACCATCATATTAATAATGAATTTATAGCGCGAAAAACTGAAAACTAGGTACTGCGAGATTGTGAAAAAAAATGACACGACCTTCGTAAGAGCAAATTTGTTTTTTTATATCCCTTCAAGTAAAGTCGAAACTCGGCGTTTTCATCCAATGATTTCTTTTTTGAATAAAAGCAAAACTGTATTCAAATGTGTGAAATATTTAACCATATTCTTACCTGACACGAGAATAGCACTACGTAGTTGTAATTAGAAGAACACCTTTATTTTTATAAAAACTAAAGATGCAAATTAAAATTCCTTTTCATTTTTCACAAAAAAAAAAAAAGTTCACTCCATTACACGTAACCTTCTCATCAAATTTTAAGTAATTTTACTTCAAATAAATAACTATGCAGATGAAAGAATGATTTTCCATCAGTAACTATGGGTTTCTACTCCAGTTGTATAAATGTATACATACATTTTTATACATATAATTGTCTCTGTTTATACAAAGAGACAGAAAGGGATGGCAATACGAAGCAGTGAAGTTTTTAAGTGCAACAAATAGTATGGTATCATTTGATCTTCCGAACTGTTACACATGTTTCTTATCTGTTTGCCTAATTAATTAACGATTGTTACTAATTACGCTTTGAACTACGTCGCCATTTTGTAGTAGATAAGTTTAATTAAATTGCAAAAGTAAGTCGATAATCTTTCTTCTTAATAATATAATAAATGCGAATGTTTAGATGGATGGATGTATGTTTTAGATCATAGACTCTTCGCCAATATGTTAGAAGTTGCATTCCATATCTTTACTGTAAAGGACAGAGAATTACAGTAAAGAGTATTTTCTTTTCTATACATCCCCTATCCCGCCACCCGCTAACGTTCCAAAAAGAACTAACCAGAGGGGACCTAACACGAAAAGTACGAGAAAGTATAACGTCATCGACACATATGATGCCGCTTGAAATTGTCACAATGGCACAACGCTGATATCATAGAGAAATAATCTTCAAATAAATCAAAATGATAATGGTAATACAGGCCATAATAAATCTCGAAATGAGGTAAAATATATAAAGAATGAATCACACGCGATGATGTTATCATATGACAATATGATAAGGCAATGAAAATATTAGAGGATGGAGAGATACAGAGTGTTTCTTTTTATTACTGATAAACGAAAAATTAAAAAAAAAACTTAATAAGTAGGCTATATTTTATAACTATGCCAAATTTCGAGATCCATACAGTCGCTCTGGAAATACATTGTAACAAATGTCCATGTATCCATACCCGTAAATTCGTATTTATCATAAGATAAGAAGTAATATAGCTTACCTTTTCCAAATATTATCATTTATAATATTAGTAGACAGCAGGAAGTAGGATAACAAGTAAGGTTAGGTTACCTTTTTATCTTTTTATTCTACACTTCAATTTTTATTCAAAGTTTACTTTGTAAAGGCAACTACATCGTAACACGAGGATAATGTACGTTTGAACGTATAGAGGTTAAACTACACTAAAGCTGGAAATCTTAAGTAAATATTTGCTACAAACGTAACTCGCTTCTGACCAAATACCGAAAGTATTCCAATTGTGTTTATTCAAACGGTTAATTGTAAAGACGCTAAAAATAGTTGACGTTGAAAAAGACGTATAATAAACAGAAAATAGAGAATCCATTTTTGTATTTTAATAATTACGTTTTATTTAACACATTGTCTATAAATATAAGTAGAAACATCGCTAACTATGTTTTCTTGGATTTGAGAAAGTTTTTTAGTAGCAAAAATAAATCTTTGTCTAATTATTTGGGTACGTTACTAAAATATTCCAATACAAACGATTATGGTTGTAAATAATCACGATGTAATTCAACATCTTAACCTCTTGATAGTCAAAGAACTTTATTTGAGATAGTAAATATCCGTTTAGTCTTACTAATATTATTAATGCGAATGTTTAGATGAATGAATGGATGTTTATTTGAAGGTATCTCTAGAACAGCTAATGAGATAGCGATAAAATTTGGCTTAAATATGGAAGAACACATAGGCTACTAATTAGCTTTTTTTTAATTCCGGATGAGTCGCGGGCGACAGCCAGTGTTATTTAAAACGAAAAGGATTTTTGCGATGATCTAATTTTAACATCATTTATAAGCTAACGGATTTTACAAATTAAATTGATAAAAACTAATTCGTTTTCAATATCGAATTATGTTAATTCTCATGAAATTACCTCATTTAATAAAATAGAGTAATTGATTATTTATAAATGTTTGTAGTGAGTTACCATTAGCTTAATATCAGTACAATAAAAAAAAAAACAGAGATAATATAAGGCGCGAAATATAAAGAAAAGGCATAAGGTAGGGATGTAGGTACAGACGCGATGCAGGCGCAGGCTGAGAGCAGACGTGGAACGAACGTAACGTGCCGGCGCCACGCCATCGCTTGTGTATAATTTACATCGTGTCGCTTTCCTACATTTTGTATCGGTAATTCGCGCCTTAGATATATTTGGATGTCTTCGCAGTGAAACCCCACCGTAACAAAGATAACGTAAATTTTTCGTTGTTTAATCTGTGCAGATAATAACTAAATAAATATTTATAATCAAGTTACATTTTCTAAGAAAAAATACAAAAATATTCTAGGTACCTAATGAAGATAAGATTGAACGAAACGTGTAAAGTTATTTTTTAAAAGATAACATTATATAGCTCATATAGATTTGAAATTATTAAAAATGATGTCAGCATTAATAATGTTGATACAGGATGTTTCAAATTAATAAAATAATATATTTTCATACAACATTTAATGCAACAATTACACATATATTTTACTTCAAGCGTGATTATATTAGACACCATAGACAAGCACTATTTTTTTCCACCATTCATTTTAAACAGTCAAAACAAAAAATCCATAGACACGCTAGGTAATAACAATAATTACATTTTAGATTATTTGAAAAATATACATCTTTGTGAAAGTAAATAAAATTAATATTTAGTCACTTTATTTTGACATAAAGTAAAGTAATAACATAGTGCCAGTGTATATTTACTTATACATCTAAATCTAACATTTATATGTTTACAAAGTTCATCTTAATAATATATGTGATATTTTTATTAAGTATATAATAATAATATATTCCAATAAATTATATGTCTTTTATGAATATTACTAAAAACACTGACTCTTTAATTGGTAATTAAAGGATCCACAATATGTTTATTGACATGTGTCAGGGTAATGTAAACTCATGGTCTTGTAGATATTGTTGTTTTGAAATTAAATGTTTCATACAAAAAAAAAAACATTTAATGTACATAAGTCGATTTAAATGGAGTAAAGAAATAATGATGTGAATATAATATTAATAATATTGAAATTTAATAATCATTACAGATATAGATGACAAAATTACAACACCCTGTACGTAATTAAATTTAGATCCAAATATAAAAAAATAACGGATTATATGTTTATATATTTGTTTAAAATTCAAATACATATTTTATAAAGATTAAGAATAGAGATGGTACAAGAAAAATGTTTCCAAACGTTGACAATCTACAGTTTTCATTATATACAGAGGTTTAAAAGTCCCATAGCTCATAAGAAGATTTTTTTACACATTAATATTCGTTCATAATTTTTTATTACACACAAACATTGTTTCTACACACATATAGTATAACAAATACATGCAAATTTGAATATAAATATAAAATAGAATAATAAACATTGGAACCTGGGTACGGGAAAAAACTTTTTAAGCGAGAATCATTGTCCGGGCCAGACGGACAGCCTTCATAAGCAATAAACTCGGTTAAGAACCTTTATAAACCAGGAAAATTATGCAACACCTTAAATTACACTTTGTTGTATATTCTTATCTCTGTTTTGCCAAATAGATAGAAAAGGGATGACAATACATATTAAGACAGTTAAATCCACTGTAGTACATATATACGGTAAAATTTTAATTTGCACATGATTTTAAAATGTTCCCAGTATTATTAAGTTTGGTTTAACTTATGTTTTACAATATTCTCCAACAAACTTAAATTTTAAACCATTTAAATATCATATACAGTTCAAGAATATGTCAGTAATTTTGGTTTTGACATATAATAAAAATAAAAACAATAAATATAATTAAATAAACATCAACATAACTATAACTATTTGAATTCAGCAACTTACAAACTAATATGAAAGCTGTATAACATAATAATATTCAATATTTATAATAGTGCTCAAGTTGGCACGTGGTGCAGAAGAGTAATCTTATTCCGGACGTGCCAAATACACCAAAGTACACTGACAGTTGATGTGAGGTAAAGGACATCAATTTTTGTATTTGTATTTATCATTTTTCCTTTGCTGACCGCTTCCCCCCTCCTGTGGGGCCTCATCTCAGTCGGCCGTCCACTGTAATGTACAATATTACGATAATATTATTATATATATATTATAACATAAGTATTATTGTGACAATTTTCTGTTCCATTTTCAAACATAAGTGGGAAGCTGGGAAGGGAATTAAATTTCCTAACTACATATGAAATTTCAAAATGGAAAACTCTTCGTACATGTAATGTAGATTACAAGTCCCGTGTTTAACTATAGTTTCCTCATTTTTCAATAACTATAGGCATCTGCAGCAAACTAATTAACACTCACCTTCAAAGTAGCTCCCCCCTCCTTTTGCAGCTCTTGCTCCCTGCGCTCCATCTCCTCTGCTCTCTGCTGCATGCGCTTCACTCTTTCAGGGTCCTTCACCCCACGTGCAGCCTCCTCCGCTCTCCGCTTCTCTGCTGCCTCCACTTGCTGACGACGTCTTGTCTCCTGTATAGACAAATTTATTTAAAACTAATAACATCACCAGACCATTTGTATTAAATGGAGTTTTGACCAGAAATGGATAAAACGATAGTTTATTTAGAAAAATGTGAATAAATCTTTCTTGAATGGCACAGACTGATGTACGGATATGCTATCTTGGATGTTTTAGTGTTTAATAAATATTTAATTACTAAAACTGATATCGATAAAGAAGTTTTCTCAAAGCAAAACCATAATGAAGTTTCGGAGAGGGAATATAATTTTATTTTAATTGCCACAATCATTGATAGGTTGTTATTTCGTAACTAAATAATTATTAAATAATAATTAGGAAGTAAATAAGACAAAAACTTTGCGTTGATAAACTTACGGCATCTGGAGTTATGACATCCGACGCCGAGGGCTTACAACAGGACATGAATATCCCCATTTTCAAAATATTAATACACTTCTCTATAAATTCATAACTATTTCATTACAATCGATGTTAAATCATGTTAAACTACAAAAACAACAAAGATCAAATCAACATTTACAATTCGCCACTTGTCGTTGTCGCAAAAATCTATAATCTGTAGCCTTGTGGTGATGCCAGTAGTTGTATCGATTTTGTACTATACGTATTTCGTATCTTATTTTAACCAATTTATATTTATACTACGCTTAAATTTATTTGATTTTGTTTTTGTTAAAAAAATCACCACATGAATTTATTTTTAATTAGGTAGTAGTGCACAAGTTCAGTTTTCTACAAAAATTCTAAATTTTAATTAAAACTAACAAGCAACACTGTTAAGGAACGTTCGGTAACTCTTTAATCGCATGAATCTTTCTAAAAATGTAATATTTCCAATTATTGCAATATAGTTTTATAGCACTTAAAAACTCTACTTATCAACAAGTGTTTGACAAAAAAAGCTACGCTTAGAAGGATTGTACATTACAACTTCCTACGATTCGTTTAATAGTTTCAATTAAATTCAATAGTTAAAACTCAGTACTTACCATTCGTTTCCAAAGTATCGTATTTATATTTGCCATTGCTGTTATTAAATTGAATGTAGCAAGCAGTAGCAAGTAAAAAATAATCAGTAATTCTATAGAAAATATCACAAGGATACAATTCGACGACTGTTTATTATGGAGTGGAATGGTCGATCAATATCTGAAAATATAGCCAACTAATAAAAAATAGGTCAAAGTGTGGCTATCAGTAAGCTTACAAAAAGCTCCAAGATAAAAAATCGCGTATTATTATACTTTATGAAAGTTTCTAAGTCAGTAATTAGCTTCAAATATGGATATTGTGATAATAAGGGACGCATTTGTATTGTGATCCTATTTTTCATTTGTTTGAATAGTATATTTTTGTTAAAATTTCATAATCTAAGAAAACTTGATTATTTTCTTTATGTTATCGATTACTACTTTCTGCTACAGGCTGCTTATATTTTGACCAAAGCTTCATTTTGGATTTACTGGAATCAAAATTCCGACTATCACTCGTAATCGAAATCGAAGTCACACCTTTTCTTATGTCACTGTCAAAAACTAAAATCGACTGAAAGAGATAAAGAACGAACATCTCTAACGCAAAGTACTTTTGGCCCGATTCTGCGGCTACTTGTTTAACTTTAATATACTATAATAGCAGAATTAAAAATGCTATCACGTATAGCTTTGCGTTCAGGTATGTACATTTTTCAAAATATATTACTATTATTATTTTCAAAGTAAAATCCACATAACCTAAGTCTTACAAGGTTTATGTAATCACCAATTTGACAAGTGCTATTACATTTTCAGCAAGGTTTTCATTAAAAATTTGTTACCAAATTACCATATCGTACTACAGTTATGACTGTTTTATATCTAATTTTCCTAATAAATTCAAAACTGCCTTAAATAAGTTTTTATCACAAATTTTATTGTTTAATGTATAGTTTCAGTCACTTTTAAATTTCATTTCACCTTTTATACAGTGTTCCAATAAAATAGTAATACTATATTGTACTTGTTATGTATTCCTATTTGAGGCTTTTTAGAGCACTGTATTGGCCCTTTCCAAATAATTTTTATATAAGGTAGTAACTAATTACTACTACCAGATAGATAACTATTATATACTATCTAGTATCTACTAATCAAATTACATACTATGTGTACTTTTAAACCTAGAGATGAGGAAAAGCTCAAATATAGCACAACTTGTTACGTTCTGCTTGAATAAATAAAAGTCACACCATTTTTTTCTTTACTTTGATATTATGTTGGCTTAATTTTTTTTAATGGTAACTTTACAGACAACTCTAGAAGATGGTGAAGAGAAACAGGCATGCACCTTTTTTAGTTGTATTTAAGTTGCATTGACTAGTTAAATAAAAGAAATTCGGTAGACAAATAATAAGTAGTTTTACTCAGATTATATAAAGGAAAACTGTCACCTATGTTATAAATATTTATCAATAATCATTGTATAGTAAATTCCTATTGTTACTTTGATGACACAGAAAACCATAATTGTTTATTCTGTAGCAAAATGTTTAGTTATCATTGTGTAAATGGGTGTTTTGGTCAATATCGGTCCACCGATCTAACTGCCCAATCGGTTTTTCCATTGGTTTGATAGAATCCATAAAATTAATTCATCCAATGGGAAAAAATCCTATCGGGCCAAGAAAACACCCAAGTAAATTCATACTTGGTCTGTAATAAATTCATCTCTTACACCATAATATAAATAGGAGGTAATTAGTATAAACCTTGCCTAATATCACCAAGGTTAAAAGTTGCTAAATCTCAAATTTCATATAAAGATTGTTAATTTTCATTTTCTAGCCGCTGCTCGTCAGTCCGCTACTACCGCGTTAGTAGCGCGCGGTTCTGCCTCCGATGTAGCGGGCGTGCGCGACGAGAAGAACTTCCCCAGACCTGTACGAGGGGAGCCCGGCAAAGTCAGACTCGGATTCGTTCCTGAAGAATGGTAAGTAGAATGCAATTTGAAAGTTATTTTTTAGGAGTAGTAGTTTTAAGAGAGTTATTTATGTAACTCAATGATCAAAAGGGGAAATTTGTGGTTAGAATTTTAATGATAAATTTTAAAGCACCTATAGCTAATCCAGAAATCAGCCTGCCATTTTCCCTATGGATGGATAGCTCAGTATGTAATAATCTTTCAAACAAATCAATAAATAGTTTGCATATTTAAAAAATCAAGATTTCTAAGATGTAAGTTTTTAAATTTTACACTAGATGGCACTGTTCGCAATTAAAAAACTTGTAACAAATTTGCATCCACTGATCCATAACTTTACTTAATAGATTTTTTCTTTTATGTATTTATTTTTAACTTTCAACTCTTCCAGGTTCCAATTCTTCCATTCAAAGACGGGAGTTACAGGTCCTTACACATTTGGTGTTGGTCTCGCCACATACTTGTTCAGCAAGGAGATCTATGTGATGGAACATGAGTACTACACTGGTCTGTCTATCTTCCTGATGGTCTACTATGCTACCACTAGGTTCGGACCAAAGATTGCTGCATGGCTTGACAAAGAAGTTGATGTGAGTAAACAACTGTTAACATAATTTTATCCATACTGTAGTTCTTGAAACACTAATGCTTCTAATAAAAAATGAATTGTCTTGAAAAAATCCTTAATTGCAATAAACTAAAATCAAGAAGTATAGGATTTTTAAAAATGCTCAATAGATGGCGTTGATCTCAGTATTGAATGATGATGACATTATTGTTTTTCACGTTAATCAAAATTTTATGACTTAATTCCATATATCTTAATGTACGACGAATCACTTTCATTGCATTGTCTTCTGTGTGGTCATGGTATTTGACTAGTTGAGCTGACCCATTCTTGCAACATGCTGCTGGTCTACCACTGTAACTATACATCCACATATCTCTACAGGCAGTAGAGAACAGCTGGAACGAGGGTCGGGTGCAGAGCATCAAGGACTTGGAGCAGGCAATAGAGGATGAGAAGACCGCGCAGTGGCGCGCGCAGGGCCAGGAGCTGCTTATACAGGCCAAGAAGGAGAATGTCCTGCTGCAGCTCGAGGCCGCTTACAGAGAGCGCATGATGAACGCCTACACTGAGGTGTGTTTTAATTTATATGACTAGATATTAATTTTAAAGAAATTATTTGAAAGACATCTAACTATTTAAAATTGTTAAAGTTATTAAGCTCTAAATGGTTAATTCCATGTCATTAGGCGACTGCACAAATAATTGTTTAGTGGAAAAAGACAGTAAATGTGAAATAAAAGCTACTTCAGACCTAATTACATACCTTCGTAAAACTAACCACCATTCAGTCGGCCAAAATTTTAATAACTTTGTAATATAGTAGTCTATAAGTCTAGTAGTCTAGAAGGAAATTAAAAAAATAATTTATTTCTAGTTATTTAAGAAGTTTAATTAATTTTTCCAGGTGAAGCGTCGTCTGGATTACCAGCTGGAGAAGTCTAACGTTGAACGTCGTCTGGCACAGAAGGCTATGGTCGACTGGGTGGTCACCAATGTCACTAAAGCTATCACCCCCGACCAGGAGAAGCAGGCGCTTGACCGCTGCATTGCGGACCTCTCGGCACTCGCCGCTAAACATTAAGCAACGCAACTAGATAATTATGTATATGAAAATAAAGTTATCGTTTCGTGAATAGACCATATTGATGCATTATTTTTAACCCTATTTTTCCCCTGATTTTGATAAATGGCCTGTATTTGATTTAGAGACAAAAATTGTTAATAAAATGGAAAATTCGTTTTGATTTTTGTACTCCTATCACCTGATGGATTTTAGGCAAGTGGGATTTTTTTTGTGACTGATTGCCACTGTTTGCCTTGAGGAGGCATTTACAGCTTCACCGGGCTTGAGGTGGCCGAGCGCAGATGGCACTTAGCCTAAACCTCGTTTAGGCAAGTGGGAATAGAATCGTAGTTCGAAATAATTGGGAAAGCAAAAATTGTACCACTCATGACGCGCATGCTCGGACCTATTGCTTTGTACTGAGCTATAATTAGTAGTAAAAACAATCATTTCGTATTTATGCTATTAACCAAATTGGATTTCATCGAGATTGTTAAGGGATTACTGTGTGATAGAATTAAACAGAAAATAACTTCTTTTCTGAATAGTGTAGTTATTATTGGAGTAGAAGATTTTAAAATTAATAATTGGTATATTGAAATTTAAAGATATCTAATACTACAATTTTTAAGATTTAATGAACCCGGCAAAAAGGAACCCTTTTGAGAAATGTCAAAATGACAATCATCTGTCTGTCACAACTGTACCAAGCGGCGTTCAAAGTGTTTTATTGTGTTACGAACTTATTAATAATAGTTTTATAACTAAATCCACAATGTCCGATAGCAGAGAAGGAGATAAGAAGGTAATGAAGCATTATCTGAGCTAAGTGCACGAACCTCAACTACACTATCACCTAACTGTCAATAATAACATGTTATCTTTTTTTATCTTTTCGACCTTGATTCTCCCTAGAGGTCATAAAAAGCCCTATAACGATAGCCCTTAGACTATTTTTATATATTTTACAATTATATAATTAAGTTTTCTACTCATAAAAAAGGTTTTAGGCGATAATTTATCAATCCAGCATATGTTTTATTAAAGAACTTGATTTGTTTTATTACCTCGTAATATGTCAGTGGAAAACTGCGTAATATGCTTTATTTTTAATGCGCACTTAATCCTACAGCGCGTTACATATGAAACGGTTTTTTTTGTTGTTATTTGATACTATCCAATTTATATATTTAAATATATAACTTTTTATATCAGTAATAAAAGTTAAACAACACAAATCACACAGAGCATAATATCAATCTATGTTACTTTTATGTGATGATTGGATATATGATAGATTTTTTTTTAATTTGGTGATCCTATGCAATGTCGAAATTTAAAACATACATACAAAATGAACCCATCCTCAACTTTATTTGAATCTCCAGATTTTAGAAATCATACCTTTTTCAGAATTAATGTTATTAAACAATTTTAACACACAAACCTTATAAAAAATTGAGAAAAACACACACACACCGAATATTCAATTTGGTATCAAGACTCAAAAGAACTTTTGTTAGAGAAAAACATTTCTATGTTGCTTGACCAAAGAATCAATTTAATATTTTATTTTTAAAACTCTTTTATATAAATATTGGCTAAATAAATATATAACTTATAAATTACAGACATATGACAGCAGGCTGAGGCCAGCGGTAAGCTAATTATTAAATAAAACTCTGTTCTGTAGATAAAATATTTGTTAGTAAAGCATGATATTAAAAATATGGTAACAGGTTTTTTTTATTTCTATATTTTAATTGTTATTTTTTCATCATAATCAGCTCACTATATGTTCCCACTAAGGGGCTCGGAGTCTACCCTAAGTTAAAGGAGACTAGGCCTTAGTTAACCACACTGGCCAAGTGCGGGTTGGTTGATTTCACACATATCTTTGAATTTCTTCGTAGATATGTTATTATTTTTTTTCTATTTAATCATATTATATGAGTGCTTAATATTCAGATAATTTTAATGCATGAAATATTTATTTTTTTATGCAATGGTGTTCAAATACTATTCATTATTAGAAAGAGTGAATAGGCCATTTGTAAATTATATTTATGGCAGTAAGGTATGCTTTTTTATACATTTGGTGTCATTCTTATTTATAGTTCAACTTTATTAATGTTCTTTCGTTATTAACTGACAGATGTCAATTTTACCGCCATTTTGTTTTGTGAATTGTGGCTAACCGTAACTTTATACCCATCTATATAAATCTGTTTGTTTCCGAGACCCAAATCTCTATATAAAACATATAGTCATCCCTATTTTTCATGTTTGACAAAACAGAGATAAAATTATGCTTCAAATGAAGATTTTGGTCTCCGAACCCCACAGTATATAGTCTACAATGACTTGTTTTAAAAAATATAAATTTAAGGTTATGGTGTATGTATGTGAGAATTTTACAACAGATCTTCAGTTCGTAGAACACAAACAACATTTTAATACCGGTAACTCGGAACTGTAAGCAGAGATTACAAACTTTCATTCGGCGGGATCTGGCATAACTTTCTCACCTAAATGTAGATTGAAAAAAAACTGACTTGTCTATGACTATGACAAAAGGCAAGCTTGATACTTTATTTTACGAAATTAGTCAACTAGTTTAGGGACACCTATAGTCTAAATTTTATGTCACAGTGTAACATTGACTTTGTAAATAGTTAAAATTTAAATTGTATTGGATAATATAATATATAATATAATATTATTACGATGTTATTTTATCATTACTAATACTTCCTCGTATCTTAGATTACGAGACATTGATCTACATGTTGTGTCTATCTGATATATGCAAATAATATACATTTGTTATAGACGACATTCTTAAGTTACGTATTTAGTTAAATAACTTGCCTTACATAAAGGACTTCAAATATACATTCGTAAAACGAAAATCGAAATATTATGCAGATATTTTTTTTTCTTCCATTCAAAAACTTCTAAGGCATGACTGAGTGTCTTTTGGCTCGTAAATGTTTTTCATAAAATACCTTAATCATGGTGACTATTCATTTTTAAATCACCTTTTTCCTACTACATTTATCTTATTACGAAGCATGGTAAATAACTAGCTAGTACTATATAGTTATTCGTAATTATTTCTCGTATTATATAATTTTGCAGTGTTGTCTGTTTTAAAGTATGTTATGACAATATTATGTACTTGTTTAACTTTTTATAGACTTGCAATTTAAGTGATAAGGCGAATAGAAACATGTAGTCATTTCCTACGTCAATATTCTATTTGTCGTAAAACAACGCCACTTTGAGTCAAGCGATAGTTTGTGATAAATCTTACTTAAATTATAAATGCGAATGTTTGGATGGATGGACGGATTTTTGATTTTTAGATCAGCTGCATTGATGTGGCTAAAATTTGGCGTAGATGTAAAACTCATAGACTACTAATTATTATTTTTAATTCCGCGCAGATAGAGCCGCGGGCGACTTTTATTTACTCATCAATGTGTTTAGTTTTTTATAATGTATAGAAAAAAGACAGAAAATCTTTATTCAGATGTTTTCATGGACGACATTAAAACCTCTTTTCCACTAGATTAGCTACACGCGACGCCTATTCTTATGAAATAATAGTACAAACATGGCTCATAAAAGTAACAACAGTGTTAACAGTGGTAGAGCCCGCTTTAACATCTTCGCACGAATTGGCCCGGCTCGCCCGGTGAAATACTACGACCACGCAGAAGACAGGCATCAAGTGGAAGTAATTCCGCGTTTCGTCTGATGAGTGTGCTTCCCGGAGGCCAAAATTAGTCCTCTTTCCCTTCCCCTCCTTTTTCTTATAAGGATATGATGGGAAGTGGAAGTGGACTTTCCGGATGAGAGGATGCATGGAAAGGGAATATATTTTCTTGCTGTGCATCCTCTCCTCCGTCTATTAAAGGTAAGCAACGCATATGCAATTGCGTATGTCTATGGGCAACGGTCACTTCGCTATATCAGCGATTTCAGGTGGCCGCTCGCTCGTTTACCACTTCATGATATAAAAAAAAGTAATCGAGCGGGACACTCGTTAGTGGAAAAGGGTTTTTATTTGATTAGTAATTGTTTAAAAACCGATAAGTTGTAAACACTTTATATTGTTACATCAACACGTAATAGTTCAAGTCATCGCGTTGTATTTATCCAACTGTAGACGTCTGATAATGGTATATACGTAAAAAATATACCGTGACTACAATATTATGCAATACATTTATTGGCTTAATCATTCTACTACAGGGCAAAGGCAACTTTTCCATTCCTCCATAAGTCACTATTCTGTGATTCGTGTGCCAATCTTTCTAAAAGAAATAAGTTATTCAAAAATCCTAAAATAGTAGTAGGAAAGTTTCTTTTCCCCCAAATGACCTATTATATCATAATGCTAGCTGTCATCCGTGACGGATCGCGTGGAATTAAAAAAAATGAGTAATCTATATGTTCGTCCAAACTATGTTTTACATCTATGCCAAATTTCAGCGAGATCTATGCAGTCTTTCTAGAGAGACCTTCTAAAAACAAGCATCTAAAAAATCGCATTTACAATATTAGTAAGGTGAGACTTGCTTACGCTGGAAATCTAATGTTCTAGTAAATTACGAAGTAAACATTACCGTAAAATGTGAATGTTATACTGTATATTATTTTTAATTATTTACAGATTATATTATTTACTTTACAACCATTCAGAATTAAAATATAGAAATTCACATTTAATAACTTATAGCGAAGTTATCAGTCATATATATATTATGTCATATATATCAGTCAAAGAAAAAATTGCAGGTCAAACTGCCTTGTGTGGTGGAAATACAAAAAGGTCTTATTACGAAGCACTGGCTGTTTGGACGGTAAACTCATTAAAAAAAACCTGTTGCTTACCTATTTCCAAGTAACAGTCGTATTCAAATTGTATGAAATGAAACTATGATTTTAATACGAGTAAAAATAGCTACATGTTTCATGTACACAGTAGCTAATATCTGCTAGTAAACTATTCAATGATAATGAATATGGACATTCATATAAGTTATTGCGTCGATCGCTTCATTGTTTAGTTGACGCGAGTCGCGCGGCGGGAACATCCTGTGACAGTTCGTTTTCCCGCCAAAATTTGACATTGACAGTGCCATAGTGATTTTTTAATTTTGTTTTTTTTTTTATTAAACATGGATATGCTGAATAAGGTAAAATATTTGTTTGAATTTTTTTATGTTTTATATTTTTCTTAATTGATCTTAATGTTCTGACATTATTGATAAGAATCATAGTTTATTAAGAGTTTATAGTGAATGTTATCTAAGTGTCTACAATTTATGGTATAGAATAATGATAATTGTAGGTCAAATATGTATGAACGAATTAAGATAATAGTTTTAAACTAAACTCTCAGTCTAAATTGTTTTAGTTTTAAATCATTGCATATTATAAGTTCGGTATAGTTTTATTAAATGTTGTTACATAAAAATTACGCGATAATAAATTATTCTGGCTGAATATCTGAATGAGTCGTTTCATAATTCACTCTACTGATATCAAATATGACCTACAGACAACAGAAGTCAATAAACATGTAGATTTTAATAAAGCATTGTAAAATATCAGTGGTCTGTAACTATCAATATCTTACTTCTTACTTGTATGACCATGCATTCGTTTGTTACCAAGGTAAAGGATGAAACCTCGAATAAAGATTGCAGACTGATATAGCGTTTAGGCTACTCGTTTTTTTTTAATTGCACGTAAACGAAGTCACTGGCCACAGCCACTAAAAGATAAAATATAACCCAAAGAGGTACTCTATTAAAAAAAAGTCATTTTGATTACGAAGTTATGAAGAATAAAATGTGACAGATTAAATTATCTTTTACAAATACGATACAATTTGAATTGTATAGAAATTGTTATTTGGTAAACTTTAGAATGGATGGTATTATAGATTGACAATAATATTACGCGGGTTATGAAATACATAACGAATAAATATTTCCTACTCATTGTCTGCTTTTTATAATGTTCACCAAAAGTCAAACAAAAGACAACGTAATTCATAAAAAAAATACCAAAGAATCTCGAATAAGTGTACACAGATTGCACATTTCGCATTTACCATGGGGAGTGTTCCGAAGAACTGTTTTAGAACGATTCCTGCCGCCATGTTCCGCCATCGGACGATACAACTAACCGCCAGGGTAATTCCACATGGCTGGCTGGCATTCCACAACGGTGCGATTCTCGCGCAATTTCTTGCCTCGCACAGCCGCGTTATGGAACGGTCTGTCCTCGGCGGTATTTCCAAACCAATACGACTTAGGGACCTTCAAGAAGTGATACCTACCATTTCCTTAAAAGCTGGCAACGCATCTGCAGTTCCTCTGGTGTTGCAGATGTCCATGGGTGTGGTTGATCACCTCGGTGTTCCCGCCGCTCGTTTGTCGTCTTCTCTTATAAAAAAAAGGTCTAATAGATAGCTACATGCGATCATAATATGATGAATTTTCTAAAACAACAATCCGAATGTGAAACTAAATAAGTTGTAACTTTAACTAGATAAAGTCAAGTGGTTTTGTTACTTAAAATCGTACAATTATATATTTATTTTCAACGCACACATAAATAGAAAAAATTGTATCAATTATATACATTATATGTTGTTAAGGTTTGCATGCATTTACACCGTAGCGTAATTTTGTTAGTTGATTTTTGTAACGACCTTGACTGACGAAAGCAAGGAACTATGTAATTTGTTAAATCAATTCTGCGGTTTGTATAAGAGGATAAAGTATAGCTAAAGTTCTATTAAAATGAAACTATTAACATTAGTATAGTATATCTGTGTAGTTTCAATGACTACGATAAAAAGGTCAGGTTAAGAACTACGATAACTTCTACTTATATTAAAAACTAGCCATTTATTACGTCACACGAACTTTTAAGATTTTTCGAGCCCTGCCCCATCCTTGTCACCCCTTTCCCCTATATAGTGTGATGTCACAAATTTCACAAAAAATTATAAGGCAAGGCAGGGGCAAATCTAACTAATATTATGAGTGCGAAAGTTTAGATGTATGGATGTTTTGAAGGTGTCTCCAGAACGGTTTAATGGACCTCGAACACAGAGGCTACTAATAAGTATAATAAGTTTTTTTTAATTCCGGGCGGACGGAGTCGTAGGCGACAGGCAATAAATATTAAAAAAAATTGACGTCACAAAACTTGGGAACCCTTTATCACACGTCACACTTCATCGACCCCCTCCCTCCTCCATAATATGTGACGTAATTTATAGATGAATTCTTAATTCCGATTTAAATATTATGATTCTCGTTCAATAGTCTTGTTTAATTGAAAGTGAACATATAGCCTTTATACAATTTTTTACGCACTACATGCTCATGTTACGTTACGGTGTGATAGAGTGACGAGATAAGAAACGCACTATATTGTTATCATATGTACAGTAAGTGCCGGCACATATACGTCAAGTGACGTGCCACATGACAATTTTAATTGAACTGTTTCGTTAAATTAATTGGTTCGTTTGTAAACTATAGGAATAATGAGCGAGAGACAATTGTATAAGTCTTGGGTATGTATGTATTTTGTATATTTGCCTAATATTATACTATTTAATAACTTTATAAGTTGCAATGATAGTCAATAGTTTAAATTATTAAAATATTTAAGAACAATTTCATTACGCAAGCAACGTGTGGTATATAAAAATGCAAAAGTTTACTTTGAATCACATCAAAGTACAACGATTTAGGAGCATATAAGCGACAAATTTACAAACATTAATTTTTATTTATATAGATAAGATAATGAATTAAAATACTAAGGCGACATTTTTTTTATTAGTATAGTTATTCATATTTTATTGCTAGCTGTCGCCCGCAACTGTGTCCGCGCGAAACTAAAAATTTTTATATGTTCTTCCAGACTATGTTCTACATCTATGCCAAATTTCAGCAGGATCTAGCTGTTCTGGAGATACCTATCCGTCCAAACATTCGTATTTATAATATTATTATAGTAAGAAATAAGATTGTATTTTAAAATAGATATATAAGGGCAATATTTAAAAAAAAAATCCGTTGAGTAGAGTAATGTTAGCTTCTTTACTGCAAATTGTGTTTACTTTTAGACAGCGCAGTTCATGTCGGCGCATAATGCACTCGCTACTTCAATCTCCATAATAACTGGGTTGATGTTACGAGTCTGTTGTAACTTGGAATTAGTACATCCCTTCTCCTAAGTATGGAACAGAGAAGTGTACTTGACAGATGGACGCATAAGAGATGGAAATATCCTTATTCTCATCATCCTTCTCTGTCTATTGCATTACCAACCTTTTAAATTGCTGTACTCAATGAAAGCGTTCACTTGATTTTAGCGAAATCTTTTGTCGTTATAAATTTCTAAAATAAATAAAAAAAAATGTTCATTTATTAATCCGTTTGGAAGGTTGAAAAATATTCGCAATGACCTTAAAAAATTAGCAGTTATATTCGATCTGTCAAATCAAGTAAAAAATGTTTTTACATCTGTGGTAATACGCATCTACCCACACTTTTTGTTTGTCAGTTTTATCAGAGTTTTTGTACGGATTAGTCTATATGAATATTTTGTTTTTTTATTTGTGTGTACGTGTATATATATAGTTTTTTAATTTAATCAAAATGACGAATATGCACGTTTTACAAGTAAGTATTTATTAAAAAGATATTTTACATATCAATTTTTAGTATTATATTTAAATTAAGTCGTTCACGTTACGTTAAATATGTTTAGAATGATGCTTTTAACTTTTTAATAAATTAAATAAGGTTAATTGTTTTTGATAATGTTATATTCTTTTTAAAGTTTTAAATACAAAAGGATATTAATCAAAATTAATCGTTATTCTCTTGTTTATCAACTTTGTAAGAAAATTTTGTAATAAACAAATATAAAAGTGCGTTTGTATTTCATCTTTAAACAATACAACATAGATTCGACCTCAAACTATTTACATAGTAGTCGCAATCACAATATTGTGAATAGACGATATGCAGTAGAATAAATTTACTCTTTACGTCTGTCTTTATTGACGTATACTCAAGGACAAACAACTAAAGATATTGATAAAAATTGTATTCATATAAAATGCTGTCTCATTACGATTCGAATATCTTTTATAAAAATCATTGGATTATTTTTTTAACTTTGAAAAACTATCGATATAATTAACAAGCAGTTGCCCGCGATTTTGTCAGCGTAAATAAAATGGCCAAAGTTACTCCTACCCACAGCTACCTACTAGTTAAAGTCTTGTCAAAATCGGTCTAGTTTTGGAAATTGGAACAGACGCGGACTTGTGGACAGACTGATAAACAGGTGGACAAAAAAAATTAAAAATCGGTTTTTCGCTATAATGAAACGCAAATATGGAATAGTCACGAAATATGTTTTCATAGAACATACAAACACTCCAATTTTATTAAATATATGTTTGATGTAAATACATTGTAAGACGTAGTACGCCCCCAATGAGGTGCTAATATTTGTATGTTTGACGAAATTTTAAAAGTAAAGGTCAAAAGGTAATGGAACTATAAATAGCATTTTACTAATAAAATGTTTTGGCGCCTTTTTTGGGATCGCCTATAACAAAATATCGAAACACAAAATTATGTAAAACATATAAATATTTTGCATATACGAAGTTTACCCCTTTGACCTTCAGATCCGGAGTCATCAACGCACGCCGTCAGGTTCGAGGGACTTCAAGGAGGCGACGAAGCGCGATGCTCTTGCCAGGGTTGAGGTGGAATTGGAACGGCTGGTGGCCACCGTGCCGGAGACCAGGCGGCCACAGATGCTCAAAGAGTTCCAAGGCTTCAAGAACTTGTTTAGCAGATTTCTGGCAGAACGTAAGTTTGTCCTTTGCCTATTATAAAAATACATCGGCAACTTTTGTTCGTGAATTCTGTTTGGCCCACTAACTATAAATGGACTGGTTATAAGACGTGGTTTTCTGTGTCTCTTTGATTTACGCCATTTTGGCGCTGATGGTAGCGGTTTATAGCGGTCGTGTGGATTAGTTCTACTGATAATATAGACAGAATTTGCTGTCACGTAACAACAGGCGCGTTTAAATAAGAACAAAAGCAAAACTGTAATTTTCAAACAATCGCCTATTTATTTAGAGAGATCAGTGGTTTGTCCTGACTCAAGATGTATATAAAATATGTGTTTATGTATGTGTCTACTAATAGAGTGCAATACAATCGCAATTCATAAACGCAACTCAAGTCACTTAGAAGCTATTGAGTTGCTATTAGTTCTAATTTGCAGCAAATAGGTTGATGTTTCTGCATTACGTACTGTCAATATTTTTTCCTCCATAACCGAATCGTTATAATTATGAAATTCGAAATTTGAAATATCGTTAACATTAACTTTTAAAAGTAAAAATAATTTAAGTGCAAAACAATTTTTAAGTCCAAATTCTGGTATTAACTTTTTAAAAATAATAATTTCCAGAATTAATTTTTGTAAATCGAAAATGAATTTTTCAAATTTAGAACTACATTAACAAACAATTGACATTTGACATTCTCATTTCGAAATCATATAATAAGTCTAAATTTTTATTTAAAATGTCTAAAAGGTGTTTTCTAATTCAGAGGGACCTTCCGTAACATGGGAGAAGATCGAGAAGCTTCCAGAAGGTGCTGTAATTGACTACGCGAGTCTGGAGACGCCGACTACAGACAACGTACACCATATGCTTGACAAGCTGGTTGTGGTCAAACTGAACGGTGGTCTCGGCACCTCAATGGGTTGTAAAGGTCCAAAGTCCGTCATACAAGTGAGGAACGAGCTCACATTCTTGGATCTCACAGTACAGCAAATAGAGGTAACTATCATTTGATATAAAAGATATGTTTACTAATTTTCTTTTGTCTATCTTATCTTAATTAATTTCTTTGCTTTTTAGTGATGGTAAAAATTAATTTCATAGACAATACAAATATTTTAATGTGTAAACGGCTGTCAATGTAATTAGTGATGTTCATCGATGTACTAGCATATCGATAATTATGAGAAATCGATTGAAACATGTTTCCTGTTGTCTCTTTTTTAATTTTAACTTTCCTGTTTTAATTTTATTGCGTATTGATAAATATTGCTTATTTTAAGTCTAATCTTACTTCTTACTAATACTATAAATGCGAATATTTAGATGTAAGGATTGATAGATGTTTGAAAATATCTCCAGAACGACTGAACGGATGTCGATGAAATTTGGCATACATACAGATCATAGCGTGGTACAATACATAGGCTACTAATTATATTTCTTTTAATTCCGCGCGGACAGAGTCGCGGGCGACAGCTAGGTGAATTATAAAAATGTGTTGTAATTTGATTTTTTTCCGTTCCTAGCATTTAAACAAGACATACAAATGCAATGTGCCCCTCGTGCTGATGAACTCGTTCAACACGGACGAGGACACGCAGAAGGTCATCAGGAAGTACAAGGGGTTGAAGCTGGACATCCACACCTTCAACCAGTCCTGCCATCCCAGGATCAATCGGGAGTCGCTGCTGCCCGTCGCCAAGGAGGGAAATGTTCACTCTGATATTGAAGCGTAAGTACAGATTAGTGTTAAAAGAATAGATTTATATTTCTTTTCTTTCATCCGCTGTATTTCTTTTCTTTCTATATATTTTCTTTCTTTCTAAATTTATGCACTATTCCGTTTTTATAATTCGAATTTCAAATATTCAATTTTTTTTTAATTGTCTATGAATGATTAATCTTATCTATGCTTATTACGGTTTCTTTTATGTGATTTGTCTGTTTAAAAAGCGTGGGTTTTCACTGTCGAAATAGTCGTATTTGATGTAAATATACAATGCAGTACCATAACTAATTACTTATAACATTGAAGGTTGAAAGATGGTTAAAACTAATTAACAATTTAATCGATTCGCTAAGATACGTGAATTGTATGAAAACGTAACTATGATATAGCGATATTTTTATTATTATGACAGCCCAACAGTACACGTGATGACGTCACCTGCCTTATTAAATAAGATTATGTAAATTTTTACATAAATAAGTCAATTATTTCGTCAGATTGCATCAGACACGCCTACCTCTCGTATAATATAATCTACAGACGAAATTACTTGTCATATCTAGATATAGATAAAATAGTTTAAAGCCGATTTAATATATCTTTAAGATAAGACTGAAAACTATGTTAATATAATTCTTACGACATTTACTTATTATATTATTTAATAATATAGAATGTCTTTGACGATTTATTAACACTACAAATGACCATTACTTTTCTGATTGTCTTCATAATGAAGATTTTACACACTAGCTATCGTATGCGGCTTCATCATTAAAAAATAATTATTAAGTAACCCATGTGTTCTACCAGATTATGTTCTACATCTATGCCAAATTCCAGCAAGATCTATGCAGCTGTTCTTAAGATACCTTCTAAAACACATCCGTCCATCTAAACATTCTCGTTTATAATAGTAAGATTTGAACATTGAAATTCGAATCTTAAATAGAATTTCTCCTCAGATGGTATCCCCCCGGTCACGGAGACTTCTACGAGTCCTTCCACAACTCTGGTCTTCTGCAGAAGTTCATTAAAGAAGGCAGGACGTACTGTTTCATCAGCAACATCGACAACCTTGGAGCTACCGTCGACCTGAACATCCTCAGCCTACTCCTCCATCCAGATCCTCAGAAACCGATATCCGAGTTCGTCATGGAAGTCACAGATAAGACCAGAGCTGATGTCAAAGGTGGAACTCTAATCCAATATGAAGATAAACTGAGGCTTCTCGAAATCGCTCAAGTCCCGAAAGAACATGTCGACGATTTTAAATCAGTCAGTCAGTTCAAATTCTTCAACACCAATAATTTATGGGCGAAATTAGATGCTATCCAAAGGGTGGTAGACCAAGGGTCTTTGAACATGGAGATAATAGTTAACAACAAGCATTTAGGTGATGGTCTGAATGTGATACAGTTGGAGACGGCAGTTGGTGCTGCGATGAAGTGCTTCGAAGGTGGTATCGGAGTCAACGTCCCCAGGAGTCGTTTCCTTCCAGTCAAAAAGACGTCAGATCTTCTTCTCGTCATGTCTAACCTTTATAGTCTTTCGCATGGCTCTTTAGTGATGTCTCCACAAAGGATGTTCCCGTCTACTCCGTTGGTGAAGCTGGGTGACAATCATTTCGCGAAGGTCAAGGAATTCCTGAATAGATTCGCTACGATCCCAGATTTGATCGAATTAGATCATTTGACTGTGTCTGGTGATGTCACCTTCGGAAGAGGAGTATCCCTCAAGGTGAGTTTTTTTTTTACTTTATAGCTCATAGTTTAACAATTTCTAATTTTTATTTATGAAAACTTCTTAATATAGAATTTACGTAATACAAGAAAAGTGTGTCTAACCGTGGGTTTCTAACATCAAAATTACTTTATAAAACATATCGTCATCCTTGTCTTTTATCTCAGGCAAAACAGAAAAGACAATATGTTTTAAATTGAGGTTTCGGTCTTAGAAACTCACAAAGTATTTGATTTTGGTCCTTCGAGTCTGATTTTTTTTAATAATATATTTTTTTTCAGGGTACGGTAATAATAATAGCTAACCACGGGGACAGGATCGACATACCGTCGGGCGCGGTGTTAGAGAATAAAATAGTGTCAGGCAATCTACGTATCCTAGACCATTAGGAGCTTTCATATAGTCGAGGACTTTTATTTCCTACCCTGTTTAATAACAAACGTAATGAAATAAGTTCAAAAACTTGTCGTTGCTAAATTGTAGCTTATATGTCTAAAGTTTGATGTTCATCTTAGTACAATAGTACGTTTAAAAATGTACTTTATTGCGATAGCTTTAAGGTGTATTATTGCATGTATAGGGGTTTCTTAGTTTTAGCTTCGTGTAGATTCTATTTTACTTTTTTTTTTTAAATTGAATCCAAGAAAATGGCTGTCTTGTGATTTAGAAAATAGTTTTATGTCGTATGTTTATTTATCGTTTTTTTTATTATTTTATTAATATTAAGAATAAATGAAAATTGAATAAAAAATTGTTATTTTCAAAGGGTTTATGTAAAATAATTTAATATGTAACAAAAAATACGTACAATTTTTTTTGTACGATTTAATTTTTTTTTCTTGTTGTGTTTAAATTATTGTTTTGGGAATTAATAAACATAATAATCACAATATTCATTACAATTTAAAATAATTCTTGAAAAAAAATGCACAAAATTATTTATATTTCTATAATAATTAAATTATTTAATTATATTTATTATGATCATTGTAGTTTAAAATAAAACGAAAAATGATAAAATATGGAACATTTTAGAAAAAAATCACCTGAAAAAAAAATATTACGAAAAAGATTTTTTTTTTCAACTGAACTCATTTATATAGGTTTACTAGCGGACCCGACAGACGTTGTCCTGTCTACACGTCTTTAATTTTAATAAATTAATATGAAGTTAATATTTGATGAAAATTGTGAATCTAAACCATTCCCAGATCCCCTTGAACACACACAAAAAATTTCATCAAAATCGCTCCAGTCGTTTGAGAGAAGTTCAGTGACATACACACTCACAGAAGAATTATATATATAAAGATATAGGTCATTACTACTAATATTATATTTTATTATAGAATTTAATAAATTTACTCGCAAATTTTTAAATGATTTTGTAAAAATAAATGTTGTTATCAAACTGTTTTTTTTTACCTTATGTTCAACTAAAATCTAATTCAATAGAAATGAGAAGCAACAAACAATTACCTTTATGAGGCTGTTATTGCAGACTTTAAAAACAAACTTGTATAAACAATTTTCAAAATAAAACCATCTTACTAATATTATAAATACGAATGTATGGATGGATATTTATTAAAATGTATCACCAGAACAGTTCTGATCACGATGAAATTTGGCATAGATGTAGAAAATAGTATGGCAAAACACAGACTACTAATTTACAATTTATAAGCTATGTTTAGATAAAGAAAGTTAACTGAAGTCAAACTGCGTAAGCAGTTTTGTGGGACGTCTTAAATATAAGTGTAAATTTTTATTAATAAATATATTATGTAAAAAAATTTATTAATTCCACGCGGACGGAATCAGTAAAATGTGGTAAATATAATTTTTCTTTTTCTATTGAATTGGAATATAAATGGCGTATATTCAAATAATCGTGTATGTCCGTGTACAGAAAACAATTTCTCTGCGAAGCGCGCGGCTCAGAGTTAGCCGTCAAAATAATTCAAATGACGTTTGTAAAAATGAATCTTCGATATTAAAAATAAAGGAACACAGTTTTTAGGAATATAGAAAATAAAAGTTATACGAATATTATTTTAAAAACCTTTATTTATAATAAACATTAGTTAATAACTGTATTAAAATATTGCAATAAATATGTGAATGATTAAATAAATTATATAATTAGCCGGTGTCAGTATCGATATGAGAGTAGTTTGTTATCTGTGCTTCAAGGCTTCTGACAGAGGAGAAGTCTTTCGGCTTCGGCCTGAAAAGAAAAACAAAAATTAAACAAAAAACAACGATTCGTAGGTAAAAATATTATATTAGATTTGGTATACTGCGTGATACGAAGTTCATTCTTTGTTTCGCGATTCCATAACGAAGTTCAAAAATGTACAGAACACATTTCGTGTACATTCCATTCAAAATGCACATTGTCTAGGGAGGGCTGATGTTTAGTGGTCGTATGATCAAAAAGTACGCTATAAGTTAGTGTCTTTTTACACTATTAAAGGCCCAGATAGGTAAAACTTGAATTGTCAGATTTGGACGGAAATACTGACGCTGGCAATTTTTTCGCTTCTTTGGTACAAGGAACGATGATTGAAATCGCTACAAAAGACATCAAAGCATGAATAAGTACAATGCATCTTACCTGGATCATCTTATAAATGTTGGAGATAGCTTCATCGTTGCGGCAGGGCATGGTGGCCATCATCGTCCCCATAGAGCGCTTGCCGCCCCAGCTCGATGTGAAAGTGAGCTGGGCCTCAGCCAGCAAGAAGATGCACGCAGCCAGGAAGAAGATGACGAGAAACTTGTACATGTTGATTGCTTGAAGTTGTTGTAATAACCTGAAGGAATGTCGATTGCTGAGAAGCTGAGAAGCGTCTGATGCTTTGAGATGAAAGTGACGAGTATTTATACGTGTTAGCCAAATGAAGGAAGCCCTTTTTAATTTGTCTTGTCGACCAATTATGACGTTTGTTCTGTGATTTGTTTTTATTATTTATTTCTAAGTAAGTTTGAAAAAGCAATTTGAGTAGGCCGAAGTGATGGAAAGTTTTCAGTGGACTATGATTAATTTTGTCGGTGGTCAATGTCATTTTTAAATTAATTTTGATCTGGTTTTTTTTACTGACGGTTTATTTCTTGATGACGTAGCGTAGCTTTTGCTTTATGTTTTAAGATTTTTTAACCGACTTCAAAAAGGAAGAGCTTCTCAGTTCGTCTGTATGTTTTTTTCAATTCTTTGCTTGTTTGATGGTCTTTTTATTTAAATATCCCCTTCTCTGTCGTCTGCCCATTGAAGCATCATCAAAAATGCATCAGCGGTGACTTCGCGTAAACTGCGGTATCCATTTTACTTTTTACAGATGCATATTTTTTCTCTTTGTCTACTTGACAAGAACTATAATAACACAAGTACATTCTGGATTTTTCCATGACAAAACAAATATTAATCAAATCCCACAATTAATTCATTTGTCTTTGGAAACCTTACAAATGTCTTGTCAGCAATATAAAAAGGGACATCTCTGATAAATAGAATCATTCGAAACGCAACATGAAGAACCCCAGTCGCATCAAGTTTTCTAAACGTATCATTATTTGCTTTTTATTAATTTTAAACATGTTTACTTTGACGAAAAGTCAGCTAATTTTCACGTCTTTCTGGGAGCCAAAACCTGGAGACAAGGAAATGATGATCACTCCAAACGAATAAAAAACCTTTTTGGATATTACGTGGTATGTTTACTTTTATCTTATAGTTTATCGGATATGCTTAATTACTTGCGTATTAGTTAGCTTGTGCATTTTGTTAGTTTTGTACTCTTGATAGATTTCTACTTAGATATTTGAAACCTTTTATTTATTGATCCTTGTAATGCATTGGACCAATTAACCATTTAACAGTGGTAGAGCCCGCTAAAAACATCTTCGCACGAATTGGCCCGGCTCGACCGGTGAAATACCACGACGTTCGTCTGATGAGTGTGCGTCCCGGAGGCCTAATTTAGTCCTCTTTCCCTTCCCACCCTTTTTCTTATAAGGAAAGGATAGGAAGTGGAAGTGGACTTTCCGGATGAGAGATGCATGGAAGGGGATGATATTTTCTTTCTGGGCATCCCCTCTTCCCTCGATTAAAGGTAGGCAACGCATATGCAATTGCGTATGTCTATGGGCAACGGTCACTTCGCTATTACAGCGATTTCAGGTGGCCGGTCGCTCGTTTGCCACCTTATGATATTAAAAAAAACAAGTAAAAAAATCTATTTAGGTCCTTGATTAAAAAAGGTTTCAAAGCCTAAGTTGTACTATTAACTTTATGTAGTATAGTGTAAAAAAAACTGTACGATAAAGAGAAAGTGACTCATAAAAGTCCTTTGTACTGCAAAAATGCATGGTTATATAATTCAAAACATTGTCATTATAATAAATTATCAATAATATTTAATGTAAGCAGGAAAAAATAAGAAACAAACATGGATGGGTATAGTTTTATTAAAATTCTTTTCTCATCGTACTTTCCAGACCTTCAAACAAATAGTATGAAGAAATACAATAAAATAATTCATAATGACAATCTTAAATATCAGAAGTTTGTAGTGCTGGCAACATTTGAAAAAAGGAACAAATAGCTCTATGGTTCATTTTGGCTGTTCAATTTAAATTTCGAAATGCAGAATAATTACTTTCGGCTTATGATAAATGTATAATCTTAATGTAAAAGATAGAGCTATTTATTTTGCGTAGTTTAGTTTAGTAACGTATCAATTAAATAGAACATACATAAGCTTTCTGGCAGCTTTGCTTCGATTTTATTTTTTATTTGAAATTTTGCAAATTATATTTTAAAAATAAAATGTTATTTCAGATGCGCCGCGCTGATTCTTCAATAGAAATGTAAACTTTAGTTGCCAGTATTAAGAACCCTCTTTGGTAATTTTGTCTACGTTTAAATCGGAATTGTTTAAATGTCTACTGATTTTTTATCTATATTTTTCATCACAGCCCAAGAATATCTAAAGGAGACATATCTAACTTGCAGTTGTTATAAATATAATCATGTTTAAAATGATTGAAAGAATTGCAAAGAAAAATGACAACAAACAATTTATAATATAAATTGAGTACGGCTGTGTGATTTAAAATGTTTCTTAGCTTTGTCTTATGTATTTTCATATTGAATAATTACATGCTTCCATATTCAATGTGACATTACTATCTTAGTGTTGCCATATGTATTTAAAAATAATATAGCATTATGAATCTAATCTTTGTCTACCTCTTCCCAAATGTATAAACAACCTAATTTCAAAATAAAGGGACGGAAATAGAAAACTGAGCAAGAAATATCAACACAAAGGTAATATTAGTGAATCTATTTATCGGACGAACGATAAACGATCATTCAAGATGATACATAACCCGTACATAGCGTCAACATAATAGTGTGATAAAGCTGCCAACGTTTCTTATATTATTTGCAATACAACCATATAGCGACTGTGATGTAGCTTAAAACATTTATTTAAACTTAGTTGTGACTTGGAACAAGATTCTGATTAAATAAGAATTGAATCATTCATGAATAAGTTCAGAGGGATCATAAGTTTAGTTAGAAACTCATACTTGGGATGGTACAAGATTTTCATTAATTATTAACTCGAATTAAAAATCATAAGTCCAAAAGCCATAGAGTAGATAAAGTTTAGGTTTCGAATGAACATTTTACTCTATGGTTTATAATTTAGAATGTGTCACAATCATGCTCCAAGTGTTAGGAAACGTTAAATTTATTTACAGTGTGATAGTTGCAGTGTGAAATGGCCTAAAAGATCTTAATGTTATCTTATGTATAATATAAATAACTGTACACTGAGCGACACAGGTGTAGAAAGTTGTAGGCCTGATTATTTACACACTTCATTCGTACCTACGTTACTCATTGTAACATTGCTTTAAAATTGAAAAATAAAATCTAAATAATTTGATTTAAAAAATCCATTTATTTACTTATAAGTGAATCGACATAGTTTTTATAATTAAAACCATGGTAAAAATAGAGTATAGATTAAAAATTACCAAAATAATACCATAAATGAAAGAGAGTGTAATTTTAAAACAATGTTGCCATGAGAAATATTCAAGAATCTACTTATAATCTAAACATGTAAAGATTAAAATGTGTTTCACAAATCCATTTGTCTCATAGACGATAATAATTAGTGTAAAGACACCTACAGTATCTAGGCCATTTAGGATTCGTACATACAATACGTGTGTTATTTGCGGGATCAAGAATTTCACGCTATTTCATTTGTATGTACCACCCTTTATAGCGAGTGTATATTATGTTATTATATCTAAATTCTAAATCATATAATATGGATAACATATTACTGATTCTATATTTATGATTATATGGGACTCATCTAACACATATAGATTAAAAATTCGGTTAATATTCTAATTTTAATATTATTTATAATGGAAATATGTTTGTCGTTTTCATAATGAACAACTATGTAAGTGGTTTATGTTACTATGTGCTAATATATGATATCCCTGCGCGGGGTGAACAGTAAAGTTATCGAAAACATCTTATTATTCAACTAAATACATTTTATATCTACTCGATTAATATTATTTTGAATGTTAAACTGTGCTCCAGTCATATAGACTTGTAGATATATCTATATATTAGTAGGATAGTTAATTTAAATTATTATTACATAATCTGTTAAATAAAAATTGAATTTTTTACACATGATCATCGATGACTTTGTTGTCGATTCCGCTTCGTGACTGCACAGTGTTGCCAGCTTTAAAGTGCATAGTGTTTCCAGTGGTAAATTTTAATTTTGGTAGAAACAACTAAACCATTTAAAAGAATTCAAAAAACGTTTGTCTATGGATTTAGTTTCTGTTTTCAATAAACGTAACGAAGATCGTTTTTTTAATAACAAAGGGAATCGATCATCAATGTGAGACATCAGACACTGCTATACACTATAATGTAGGTATGGTAAATGCTTTATGTTCTTGTGGGACGAGCAGAAATCAGCGAGGGTCCGGGAGCAGGCTGCGGGGCGGGAGGGGAGAAAGTGCGGATGCATCACTCACCTCTACATTGCACTGGACAGAATAAAACTGTTGGTACTTTGTGCGTATTCGAGTATAGACATTTTTGCGCTGTCACCAGCGATGTTGGCGATTCGAAATGTCTTCTAAATCTGAGCGATTCATCTGCCCTTCCAAGCAGTGAGCTATCCAGCGTGTTTCCATTGAGAGCAGTGTCTACCGCGGCGCGTGGCGTGCGGGGTGTGCGGGGTGTGTAGGAGGTGTGGGGTGCGTGGGGTGCGTGGGGTGTGTGTGCGGTGCGGGGCGTGCGGGGCGCGCGAGGCGCGTGACGGTGGCGGGGGCGGAGGGGCGCGGCGGCGGGCGCAGACAGACGCAGTAGGCGACCGCGAACAGCGCGTACGGCGCGAGCACGGCGACCACGAGCCGCGCTTGTTGCGGCGCGCCCGACGCTTCGCGCGAGAATCACTTCTCCTCGTCCTCGTCGCGGAACAGGTACGTCGACCTGACCGCAATACATTACATGTAACAGAGACAACTCCTCAACAACACGTGGCATCATCAGCTCATAGGACTTTAGGCTACTCGTTCACCTCATTTATTATAGAAGTTGACCAATTGACTGTTTCCCGTGTCCAATTTGAGTTTTATTAGAATTCTAGGTCAACAATGTGTAACGGTACAAATTATATGTTAACTCACCAATAGGCCAAGTTGAAGAGCGCGAAGACGAGCGGAAAGGTGATGCGGGAGATGACGTCTATCCGCTTGGAGCGCGTGGGGAACTTGGACATCCAGAGGCGGCAGCAGTTCTTGGGTTTGCTGGTGATGTGGATCTCGCACTGGCGCATCTTGGAGTCGACGCCGGCGCGCATCAGCGGCTTCTGTCGGTTGCAGACCAGTCAGGGAGGACGGACATATTTCATCTTACATTCATTTCGAGCGATTTTGTATTTCTACACAACAAACTATAAATCAATATGAAAAGGCAATTTCAAATGAATACCAATTGCTGACTGATGGTATATCTATTCACATAGATCAAGTGCGAGCTCACCATAGCAAATGTGGCATTGCTATCCGTGTCCAGCAGATCAGATGACGCATCCATACTGGCCGCCGCCTCCATCTCCCGTCTCGTCTTCTTCAGGTTCTCGCGGTGCATGTCGGAGCGGGACGCATAGTTCACCAGCGCGAACTCCAGCAATGCCCCGAACACAAACGTGAGGCAGACGCCGGTCCACACGTCGATGGCCTTGGTGTAGGAGACCGGCGGCAGGGACGCGTTGATACCGGATGATTGCGTCGCCATCGTCAGAAGCGTTGTTACTCCTACATAACGAAATAGATATTAACCACGATAATTTGATACTGACATGGGTTATTAGGTGTAAAGCAGTAACAAAGAATGCAATATGGTTCAAAACTAAGTCGCCTGTATTAAATGTACCTAGTGAGACACGCGCTGGCACAGCGCCCTGGTCGAGCCAGAAGGAGACCCAGGAGACGATGACAAGCATGCAGCACGGGATGTAGATCTGGATCAAGTAGTAACTGAACTCCCGCTTGAACAGCAGGTCCACCTTCAAGCAACTGTATTCACCTATGAAACACAATGTTTTAACGTTGAGAGATAAGAAAAAACCTTAAGACCATTGCGATATTAAAAAGATATATTTATCTAGAAGAAGAAGCTTATGGTTACGATATTAAGCTCTTAAACGTTCTGCTAAAGTCGCAAGTCCTTGAAAAAGATACATATTGCAATTTATTAAGACATTTACCAGTATTGGTCTTGCTGTTACAATAATCAGTCAAGAATTTCTCCAATGTAAAGCGAGGCAGGTGCAGGTTCTTCACTACCTGGACTGGGTCACCTTCTTTCCAGAGGAACACCAAATCATCAGTCGTCCAGCCATCTGGAATTAATATCATATTAGGGTAACTTGACAGAACCTCATCTCCCTGTTCTTTTCCTATTTTATGTAAATTCGGCAAACATTGTGTTTTTATCCAGATTAGTCTATGTTTAAGTCGTCACTCTTCTTACTGTGGATTTCTGAGGCGAAAATCCCCGTTTAAGCCATATTGTTATTTCTGTTTTGCCAAACATAAGAACAAGGATGATAACATTATTTATCTAAAGATTTTGGTGTCAGAAACCCACGATCGACCATGTTAAATTTCGCCATCTTGAGTTCTAAACTATTTCTTCATTTGAAATATACATAAAAACGTAAAATTCCAATTCAAATAGCTAACAATAGTAAATATTATAGCAAACATATCGAAAAGTATAAATAGATTTAGCAATAATGTGGTAAAACTCAAAACACATGGCAACATTGTTTATGTTCCATAAATAAAAACTGATCTTCTTCACATTAGCAGAGATTCTAAATTGAAATGGTTTAAATAAGCAAATGTTACCTTGGATCTGTTAAAGTATTTCTCTTTTCTCGTATAATTGCCTTGGTTCGGTTTTTTTGATTAATAATAAACATTGCTATTCTTTTCATTACGTCTATATATTTATAGAAGTAGCGATTAACGGAAAAGCAATAATCAATGCTTAAGTTAATCCGAAGAAGTAAATATATTCAAAAATGTTTCTTGATCGATTAACCGGCCGGTTTGTGTGATTGTGAACCATTAACCGCGGGTTTTAGAGTCCAAAATCTCCGTTTTAAAAAAATATTATTATCTTTTTGTTGTCAAAGATAATGACAAGCTTGACACGTTTTATACAGAGATTTTGATGTCAGAAACCAACCGTTATTGTCTTTATTCTCTTCTGCGGTTTGCTTTTGCAAAATATATGATATGATACTCACAGCTGGCCATCCTGAGGGAGCAGGTCTGTTTATCGAGGGGGTATAGCTTAAGGTTCATGGGACAGGAGAGAGTCAGCGAGATCCGGATGCTGTACAGCACGTTCCCGTTGGGGAAGATTCGGATGTATACGTTTGGCATGATGATGTTGTGGAAGTGACCTTCTTTCTCGTTGGAGAAGAAAAGATCCGGCATCCACACCCTGTTCGCCTCCGTCAGGGTCAGGTACTTGAGACGTCCTGACAGACAGATATAAACATAATAAAATTTAAAGTGAAATATATTAAAAATTATTGGCAAAGGTATATCGGCTCAATAGCATGTAAACCGATCGTGTAGAATTGTAGAAATGTGTTCTTCCAGACCAAGTTCTACGTCCATATCAAATTAGCGAGTTCCGTTTAGGCGTTCTCCACAAACAATCATTCACTCATATGTTTAAATTTTGACATTTATAATATTAATAAATGACTGTACAGTGTTTGGGAATATGTAGGAGGTCACCTATAGATATATGTTCATTAACATACTATATTGTATGTCTCCGATACAATAAGAAAGGTTTCCACTGCACTGACGGCAGTACAGAAATATTGCCGTGTCTCTCATTTTCCTGTTTTTTTGCAGTAAAAACATACACTAACTGTTGGGCCAACTGTAATGTTACTGACCTCCTAAGTTATTAAATTTCAGCCTTTCATCCAACCATTGTTCCCTGAACGTCAACTGTACTGAATATTCCTGAAATAATAACAATATTATAGATATTTACTTACAAATATAGGACACTTATTCAAATTTTAAATCTATATAATTTGAATACGCGACATCGATTTAAATTTGAATAATGTCCCAACACTACTTTCTAAATATTTCCTCTAAAGCTGTCTGGAATTTATATTTACTTGAAAAGCTTTAATTTAGCAAAATTTCTAAAAAAAGCCATCGAAGGAAATTATCAAACTTAATCATCTATTTCTTTATCATTTTTACAATGAGATTAAATGGTTACAATTATCTTAGCATTTCTTTTGTTTTAACATTTTACAAACTAGACTTTTAACACATGACAATGACAGTAAAATTGTCATGACAATAAGCGATTGACATGACAGTAAGATATATAATAACTACAGATTGTACTAAGCTTAATACTAACATCTATATAATGGTGTCGAAGGTTCAGCGTATTCATTTTAAATCTTTTAATATAATATTTGACATCAGGGCAAATGTACCATCGATCCCTCGACATCAAAAGAGCAAGTCAAATGAATTAAGGTAACATTTAAAAAGAAAAAAGAACAAGCCACGGTCGTAATACATACGATATCTCGATTCAAGTCAACTTTGAGTTATTTAGCTTTTGGAGCGGAAATATGAAAAAAGTATTCAAATAATTACGATTAATATGTTTATATATTCTCCTTACACCTATTTTCTATAATATGTTAAAAAAAAATATTAAAGGCTACAAACATTTATTTTATTTTAGTAAAAGGATGAGACGAGGATGATTCGGTGGAGTAAAGGGACGCATAGAAATTGATCACGGGTAAGTCAATTAAAATTGATGACCTGCAGATCAACGGATCACATGTGTGAAGCAGATCAGTGAACTGACTCACAGCTCAGTTCATTTTATATCTTTATAGTTATGATTTCCATTACGAGCAGCGAACTGCGAGTCACCAGGCAGCTCGCGGCTCATCGCTACAGTTATAGTACATCGCAATGAGCCGTGAGTTGCCAATTTAGTTGTTGAGCTGCAGCTCAACTGTTCAAGTCAATGTGACTTCTTGTAAAATTTTGAAGCGGTCCAGAGACGATTTGCACACGTCTAATTAGAAAAGAAAATATCCCCTTTTCCCTCCTCCGTCGTTTGAAGGTAGGCCACGCATCTGCAATTGCGTATGTCCATGGAGAGCAGTCGATACCTTTGCGGCGAAATCAGGTGGCCGCTTGCTTGTTTGCCACCTTATGACATAAAACTTAAACTTACTTAATTTAAAAAGATACTTAAACTTTTTCTTATTACTGTATTTTAGTTATACAAAGTGACAAAATACATTTTCGGTCTTAAACATAATACTTATGAGACAAATAAAAGATTAGAAAATGTATATTTAAATGCGATAAAAATTTCTGAAGAAATTCATTAATACAAGTAGTTTTATGCACAATCAAATTATAATTATTAATTAACAAAATATACTCAAAATTATTTTCTTCTGGGTAATATCAAACAGGAAGGAATGATGGATGTTGACAGATTCATTATTGAAATGATCGCTTGTTTTGGAACATTGCCAGTAGATGGAATTCAATTGATGTCTGCTTGAAATAATGGCCAAGTGGATATTGAGTGCGATGTTTTGATAATATTCTACACTAAAGTGCATTTAAAATGCTACAAATCGAGATAATTTAATCCATAATTATATTTGTATAATAAATTAATATATACGTAATCAAATTTAATTGAATCTAATACCGATGCAATTTTTATACCGTCGACATTCGATCACTAATTCGAATAATCGATTCCAAAAGCCGAGTTTGATTCGAGATATCGATATAGTATTAATTAATCGTTAAGCAGGAGCATGCGCGCGCGATGCACTTCTTCTAATGAAGCGTACCTCGAGAGAGAACTCACCGTGTGGCGCATTCGTCGGTGGAATGCTTAGTACCGGCATGCAGAGCCGAAGTCACAACTAGCTAGGACTACTACTAGCGTCTGGGATCACATATTGCGGTCAGGTGGCCCACCGCGAAGCACCAAGCCGAGTGCGGACGCTTTCACCCGATATATAGATATAAATATATTCATACACAACACAAATTCACATGAACAAGACAATATCGACATCTTTACAGTCAACGAACACGACCAAAATAGTTTTTATAATTCACAAAATAACAAAAACTCCTCAATGAAATTAATGCGTGACAGAAAAAGGAAGCATGACAGGGAAATTAAAATACGAAACATAATATAACATGAGATGATGTGGTGCGGGCCGCGCGCCTACACTAAGCGAGGCTTACGGGACGCCTTAGCGCACCGTAGCGCGCCGTAGCGGGCCGTAGCGCATCGTAGCGCCGGAAGTAAATACGTGAAGAAATTTTGTTCGTCTACACTTCAGGTGCTGCCAATATCAAAGCCGTTGGTGTTAATTTTGTGCTATATACAATGTACCAATAATCCATCGCGTGTTTTTACAGGTAACGTTTGCTGTTTAGGTGCTTTTCAATTAAATAAACATAAAATAAATAAGTGTTTTAAGTAATTTCAAAAACTAAAATCAGAAAAAAATAACTGTCCAAATTTGTTAGAATAAACTCGTCTTCGTATCGTCCATGGACTATGAAATATCGATATAAAGGAAATCGTTTAAACGGTAAATAGGGCACCAGGGCACCGCACCGCCTTGTCAACCACTTTTAAATATTTATATAAAATGATTCACCTTAAAAGTGGATGTGAAATGGGCGTAAGGGTTAGTAATGAAAAAATAAACAAATTAAAAATAATAAAACAAACAAAAATTAAAAACAAAACAACGTTAATATAAAACGTAACAAAAGAAAACAACAAACACATTTACGATATAGCTTGAGAATGTTTAGCAGTGCAAGTTTTGCCAGATATCCACTTGAACGGAATGTCCAATTTTATTATAAACAAAGTTACTTATATTGCAACACAACAATTATACGACGATACTAAACAACTTTGGTTTATAATAAAAATGTCACCGATACATCTGTCTGTATGTCGTGATGTGCAGCCACTCACCATTTTGTAATCATCTATTTTGCTGATGGATCGTAGAAACATGTTGACACGCACTAACGTTGGCGCATCGCCTTTGTGAGAAAAAAAGAAGTTTTAAATTACAGGACCGTATTTCAATGATTATAAAACGACCTAACTAATATTTAATCTAGCTCTATACTAAAACTCCTACCGGTCGTGAGTACGGATCGTATATTGATGAGTTAATGTCAAATGTCAATACATCAGATGAAATGGAGCCGAGCTATTGAGATAAATACGATATCTAGTTTCATTAATCAAAGCAAAAGTATAAAACCTCTTTCGCTATCGAAAGCCCTTTCGTATTTTAAAAAGCAGGCAGTCTAGAATGATAATTAAAAAAAAGTTATATTCGAGCGCAAGAAGTAAAAACTATCGGACAGTATTTGAGGTGATAAAAACTAACGATTTGATTATTTAAATTATTTCTCCGCCAATCCACAATAACGGGCGTCATACTTTTAAATAAAGCGCGATTCTAAAAACGATTTTGGTCGTCAACACCAAAGGGAAGAAGTAAAAGAAAATAAAAATAACAAACGATCATGACATATACAGTCGGGTAAATCTCTCCGTAACAAAGAGGAGGGAATTCCCCATTCATTTGACTTGTTAAGAAAAACCGCAACCGCTTTATAAAGAAGAAGAAAAAAAAATCGTCATACTGTAACTTAGACTAATGCACGGTCCATTCGTTACTTGCAGACTTACCATTGTGACATCATCGATTTTTGAAATACTCCTGACAAATATATTGACGCTCACTACCGCTGGCCCATCTAAGTACCAAGCAAAATATATGATTGATATAACATTATAGATTATAACTAAGCCCTAAAGAGTTGACGTGTGCAACTCTATGGATCGCGAGGTTTGTCTCTGGAAATAATGATTGTACACGGTCGACTCACCTTCATCCTGAAAATATTATGTTTTAAGCATTTATTAACCGTCACCCGTCGTGTGTGGACGTAGGCAATGGACGGACACAAACCAAACTAAACACAAACTGACACACTGATGGGAGAGCAAAGGAAAATTTGGTTCGATTGAAAATAAAGCAAAACTTGACTTGTTTAAGGAATTTGTGTTAGTGTACACCTTACAGGTCATTTGATAAACCGATACTTTTGTATCTGAATATTAATTGTGCTGCAAATTTAAAAAAAATATATACAAAAAATGATTTCAGTCACAAAGCGGTGTTGACAAAATTTTAATTTATAGTTGTCGTTAAAACTTAATCTTAGTATCAATATATAAATATAAACTAAGATAAATTAAGTAAAATTAATATGCTTCTTATTAATTTTATTGTTCATAATTTGTAAAAAAAAATAATAACTTCACTCTCTGTAAATGAAAATAAGCAATCTAAAAAAACAAATTTAATTCTTTAAAACCGTTCAGATCCCTTAATTACTCGATGAGTCAACTTTAAAAGAAAAAATATATAATATGTGTAGCATAATGATTCCTCTACCAAGATCAAAATTTGGAAAAATCCTTGAAATAATGAACAATCAAACTTAAAGGTAACCATCAAAAAATATCGACAGACTGTCAGCTTTTAACTAAGAATTGAAGAAAAAAAATCTTGTCCTAAATTTGAAATTTATTTTTAATCATAAAAAGAGCTTGGAATTGCTTTATCGTGATACATGTTTTGTAGAATGTATGAAGTTTACCAACAGTTTGTTGCTATTCCTACTATCGTGGCAATCAAAAGAGATCAAATCGTTTGGATAGCGTGCCACGATCAGTGTATCGATTTTTTAATAGCACTGCAACAGCTTTTTGCTGACTAATTTGAACGACAGCCGCTATTGTCGTGCTCAAACCTTTTCGATTAGCTGCCATTCTACCTTTTATGATGGACTCAATTAGATTCCTCTACAATACCTCGAATTAATCGTTCTTTTATGTGTTTAGCATTACGGAAGTATTGTTTTAAAGCTATGCCTATCAAACTTTTGTAACATTCAAATTCACTTTTGTGTGAGACTTTAAAATAATGGACGTATTTGAGAAATATGAATCTAAAATCATGACTTTTATTAACATCCGCACTCGAGCGGTGATTCTATTTTATTTAAATCCACCAGGCCGAAATATGTGGTCTCGCCAGAAACACACATTTCAACTTTTAAGGCGTAAAATTTAGTAGAAATTTTAATTTTGTAAACTGGCAACATTTTGAGATGTGTCAAATGAATACGGATTACGTCTTAAAAGTTCGAGAACGCACAATCGCTTAGGCAAATTAAAACAACGGGAGACATTTAAATTCCTACTGTTTACTACAATATTGTTTAAGATATTAACTATAGTGACAAATTAACATTTTCTTCCAACAGTCATAACTATACGCCAATCATGATTTTCCGTGTAATCAAATGTTCGATGGTATAAAAGTATAATTTCGTTTTCAAATCTCCTATTCCCATACTCCTGTCACTAGTGTTAATAAATCGAGCACATGGAAGGGAGTTTTCGCGCCATCCCAAAACAACAGCTCACTTTTTTGTCGCTATATTAAAAATATAAAACTAAAAAATGAACTATTGTCGATGGTCGCTCCTCCGAAAGCTGTAAGAACGTCGTACGTCTACCTATCTGAATCGTTTGACTCCTGAGTGTACTAACCATCTTTATGTCGCTTATGGTGGTAATACTTCTGACGAACAGGTTTATATTTACTACAGCTGGACCATCTGTCGAAATATTTCAAAAACCCTTACCAACTTAATAAAAAATAACATCAAACACGTTTCGTCGAACAAAAATTATGACAGCCTAATCTATGGTAGTCTATGACGTTTTTTTTAATCTGTATTAGTTATTGGCGGGACATTTTTTTTAGCTATACTGTTTTATTATTGTTAATTTTCTTTTTTAAATTACATAGAACAGTTATAGGTTAGAAATATCAACAGTTGAGGATACACACCTTATTTTGAGCCATTTATTTACTAAGAAATAAGTGAACATAATACACAAATATTACATCTGTCAGGGTACAAAAAATATTGTTACTGGATTTACACAACTGATAAATCACTTTATTCAGTGTGTAACGTACCTAAGATCCAGCTCACTTAACCAAATTGGTCGTTCCATGCCAAGGCGTAAGCCAATTTTTTACTTGACTAACAATAGTTTATTGAAGATGATGTGCGAAATAGGAGGCAAATAAAAGTGACCTTGGTTTATTTTTCCTCGAACAATCATTACGTAGAAATTTATATTGATGAAAAGTAATTTTCATCAATATAAATGTAGTAGGATGTAAATCCTATGTAAAGAATATTTGCTTTTAATATTAAACGCCGTGTTTGCCTCAAATGTTGATACATTTGAACATTATTTTAACAAAGAAATTGAATTAATCTCTTTAAATCTGTAATGTTAAAGTTTTTTTTATTTAATTTTAAACAAACCAAGTAATAGGTCGTCACATAAGTAGTATGTGTGATCCATAGATAAGTATTCATCTATATAGATTATATGTCTATGGTGTCATCATTTGTGTTTTACCATCGTTCATTAACAAAGCATTTAAGTTGTATTTACAATAACATCAGTGACAAACAGATTTGTAGCCAGCTGTGAATAAAAGCGTTTCTTATTTACAATTGAGTAAAATACCAAAATATTTTCATAGCAATATTTAAACGCACACTTCAGATTTTTAATTTAATTTTGACAGCGACCATAAAAGACCGCCATCTTGGTTAATTAAAATGTTGCCATACCTATAAATTAACTTGCTATTTAGGAGTATTAAATTTACTCTTTCTATCAACATAAAAACGGGCTGCTATTATAAAATTTATTTTAATTTATATCGGTACAAATTCGACTTACCAGTTCCATTGATGCCGGAAGGTCGGATGCGGGCGTCGTAGCGGCCAGGCCCCAGGATCTGGTCGAGGATCTGTTTCTCCTTCTCCCTGAAGTTTATCTTTGCGTTCATGCATCTGTAAGGTAATCAATCTTGTATAAATGTTTTCATATATCTTGGCGGCTGTTAACTTCGAGCGAGTCACTGCGCAGTTTAGGTGTAGCGGGGTGCAGCGGGATGTGGGGGGAAGGCACTGCGCAGCGCGCCGAGCGCAGATGGAAAGTGAATATACTTATACGTTTATTCATAAACTAGTCTCTAATCGGCTTAATTTAATTTCATTCAAACAACGAACGATAAAAATAGGTATTAAAAATAAAAAGAAATATTTGCAATGCAATTGTAAGTATGCGGAATGGTATTTTACACGTGTTCATAGTTTAGCTAAATATATCTCTGAGTACGTCTAGGAATTTATTTTACCACTTGTTTAGAAGTGTTAATCGTAGTCGAGTTATAACGTATTAGTTACTCGAATTTCATTACGTTCCAAATAAGATTTTTGTTTATAATATAATAACAACACTTTAATTATTAGTAATATAAAAAAACTAACCTATTTTTCTTTGTAGCGTAATTTTGTTTTCTAATAAACTACTTTTAAGTACATAAATTTCTTTATCTTGATATTATACTACCTTAATAAAACGCAGTCTTGGTTTTTTCTCACAAAAAATTAGAGAAACAATAACATAATGTTTTTATACAAATTATTCGACAGTTGAATCCGTATAGATCACTTTCGAACTCTAAAATCAACCAGAATATGACTACATCAAATAAACAAACAATGTATATCTTTCATAATATGTTAATCTATAATAATATTCAAAGATAAAAGACATTCCTTTACATAACAAAGCTTCAGTTTGACATTTTATTTTGGTCCCAAAAATTTATTGGAAGTTTATTAGGAGTTTATATTTATGTAGTCCCCAGTAAAATAACTTTTGACAAGTTTATGTATAATTTATTTAAAAATATATTTCTGAATTAAATATAACGTCTCCTTAGAAGTAACATTAAATTTTGTTCCAATTTTTCAATGACTTTTTAAAATTAACTCCCAGCGTCAGTTCTAAGAGAGCTCTTATGCTAATTATATAAACTACAAACTTTAAAATACAAACTGCCATTCCAAATATGAAATATCGTATTTACTTTTCGAAATGAAAGGGTTAAAAGTGGCACTTCAGACTTTTTTGTTTGTTGCCAGTACTTTACGATGTTCATTCAATGAGAAATGTAATTTATATAAAACTGGCCAGTACTACATTTAAATAGCTAATTATTTTTAAAAAAGATTTTGTTGGTCATTTCATAATTTAATTTTCTTATTAAAATAATAAAGAGTGTACTACGAGTAATTAAGATAAACTTAAATAATTAAAGGTGCGTAGACTTACTGTGCAAGTTCTGTCAAACAGAAGACGAGAAGTACAGCGAGGGCACATGTCGGCCGGCGGATGTCCATCCTCCGTCTGTGAACAAAACGAATATTTTTACTAACAGTATAAATGCGAATGTTTGTATAGATGTATGTTACAAAGTATTTTCTATAGCTGTATGGATCTAGCTGAATTTACCATACATCTAGCACATAGGGTACTTATTAAGTTTTTTTATTAAATTCCGCGAACAGAGTTGCGGGCGACAGTTAGTGCACGCATATTTTTATTTGAATCGTACAGCAAGACAGGATCCTAAGTTATTTTTACTGAATACGGTGTATAATTCAATAAACTCAATTAAGGCTAAAACAACAATTAAAGTGTTAAAAATAACTCTTTCTTTCTCTCACAATGAATATAAGAAAGAGAGGGAAGGAGGCTCGAGACTCCCATTCTATAGCTTTTGTATTTAATGAATCCTGCCTTCTTCATTTAGTCCTATTTCTCATTGTTTTTATAACAATTCATTCACTTTATATTTGTTCGTTTTATTAACAATATCAAGCAAACTATTATTTTGACGTGAATAAATAGATAATTTACACAAAATGGCGGCGAGCAAACACGACACCGGATGTTATTTATTTTTAATGAAAATGAGTAAAAGGTCAACGTCGATATGCCCCACTTACGGATGAACTATTTTATTTGAAATAAATTAGTCAGTGAAATATGACGATTGTAGTAAAGATAAAATATAGTTTTTTTTTGTTTTTCACTTTTTCGAAAATTTTAGCTTATTTTTATTAACCTAGTAAACATTGTAACTAATATTATGTCCTTAAGTTTTCATAACATTAATTGTCATTATGATTTTTATCCCAGTTTAAAAGACTTGGTTAATAATATCACGCTATTATTAGATAATTAAAGATAATAAAGGACACAAAGGGTAACCACGCTACCAAAAATCCATTCATTATGTTTGCCAACTCATTTCCCAACGCGCCCGTGTAGGAAATGAGTTGCTAACTCCATAATTAAATTTGTTTTCTTTTATGGGTAACGATACTTTTGGTAAATATTTAACGATAAACTTTAACCATTAACCTTTCTGCCAGTGTATACAGTTAGAAAATAATATTTACTATGCTATAAATCTGTCAAAAATTTAAGCAAGTTCCGTTGAGCCTTCTGGAGATACCTTCAAGCAAACATCCATCCATCTAAACATTCGCATTTATAAGATTAGTAAGAAATAAGATTTTAAGGATATAAACACTGGACTTACACTATACAAGTTTTGCCTTTTAAAAAATAAAAAAAAATTAATTAAAAAACACAAAGGCTCTGGTCGGTAACGCTGTCAGCCAGAGATCGCAGCGCCACCAAGCGACGCGGACAACAAACCAAATGCCAGTTCTTTGAACCACAACTGTGACGGATTACACAAAAATGGAACACTTTAAGCTCATGTTCTTGGATAAATCTTAATTATTATGCGAATTTCTTTTAACTAAAGTTACTATAAAACAAGTCGTCTTCACCATAACAATGAATTTTACTAGTTTAAGCTTATTATTAAACTAGCGGTCGCCCGCGACTCAGTGTGCGTGGAATTAAAAAAAAAACACAGTAGCCTATGTGTTCTTCCGCTCGGCTGTACTGGAAATACCTTCAAACAAACATACATCCATCCATCTAAACATTCGACTTTATAATATTAGTAATTTGTGATAAAAAAAATAAATTCCAGCTTGATACCTTCACGCGTTTTTGAGAAAATGGGTCTTGACAGACGGACGGACAACAAAGTGATGCTATAAGGGTTCCGTTTTTTTCCTATGAGGTACGGAACCCTAATTAACTTTCCTCAGCAATATAATATAAACATAACAAAATTGTGTAGCAATATTTCTATTATAAAGTTACAACAACCATCATATTTGCATAAGCGCGAGGATCACGCGAAAATTGAATCACAGCGCCCTGAGGGAAGTCGAGGCTGGGAAATGGCGGATGTAAACAAATTAGCGCGCCCTGAATACGGTGACAATATTTTAGTAACAGCAGGGAAACGACAAAAATTATTACGTTTTCATTTCTTTACTTCTAAAAACCAGTGATAAGCTGGAGGCAACATCAGCTGAGTTTCTTCCCATTACCTAAGAAAAATATGATTTTTTCCATTTTCAATTGATATCTTATGTAACTGTAAGTTATTTTGTTTTTGGTTATTAAACTGTATTTTATTTTTTTCATTTTACTGGACGTAAATTCACCAATTAGCTGTTTGCTTTTCTCTTTTTAAAAAAATGTTTTTGGGTTTATTTGCTGTTGTGTCTCGTCTTCTTAATTATTAAATTATCAAACTATATGAAATCTTTAGGTTAATCTTATTCGGTTTATTCATATTGTTCAAAAGGTTTTGTTCATTTTTAATTTAAATTAGCTGTCGCCCGCGACTCCGTCCACGTGGATATATAAAAAAAAAACATCTATCCATCCACATCAAATCCATCTAAACATTCGCATTTATAACATTAGTAAGTTAAATAATAAGCAAGTCTTCATGGTATAAATTCGAAAAAAAAATGAATAAATAGTATCCTATGTCCGTCTCCTGGCTCTAAGCTACCTCCTCACCAATTTTCAGGCATATCGGTAAAGCCGTTCTTAAGTTATAAATCGTGTAACTAACACGACTTTCTTTTATATATATAAGATGTACTTTGAGTAGCAAAATATCCGTCAGAACTTTAGAGACACCCTAGTCTCGGTTACACGATATAAGTTAACTGAGGCGTACATTAATTGGTCGGCAATCAATTTCCGTAACATCCAGACTGTGATATAGTTTGTAATATGTTTCCCTATATTACAGCGTTTGTTTACCTTAACAAATAAGTTTTGATGAAATATTTTACTGTACGAAAGAAATACTAGAATTAACTACTTAACAAAGTTATGTCGCACGTACATCTGTCATTAACCGTGGGTTCCTGAGACCAAAATATCTGTACAAAATATATTGTCATCCCTGCCATCTTTGATAACACAGAGAGAGATGACAATATGTTTTAAAATGGAGATTTGAACTCAGAAACTGACGGTAAACAGAATGATTGTTTTACCTATCGTAATACCTTAACCTTTTTTTTCTAACCAATGCCACCGTTAAATAAAATTAAATAAAAAATTGTCTATTATTCCAATGTCATGTCAATACTTGTATAGTAATGCGATTTGGGTCTCTGCCAACCCCTTTTCAATAAGCTGAACTACTCAAATAACTGATACTATTTCCATACTAATTAGTTCAATGAACAAAAAATCATTGAAATACGAATGTCTAGGAAATTAATCTTACTTTTCTTACAAATATTATAAATACGAATGTTTGGATGGATGTTTGTTTGAAGGTAACCCCAGAACGGCTCAACGGATCTCGATAAAATTTGGCATACATATAGAACATAGTCTGGAAGAACACAGCTACTCATAATGTTTTTTATTAATTCCGCGCGGACGGAGTCGCGGCCGACAACTAGTATATTCATAATTTTGAGCTAAACGAAGAACATACTTTAAGTTAGCTTACACATTCAGTTTATACTGAACAATCGAACTGTACAATTAAATCTTAAAAGCAAAATTTTAAGTGTCTAAAAACTGTACAGTTTTTATATTCGTATTACTCTGTACAGTTTGTCTGTTCATTTAAAACTGTGCAATGGAAATTGAACTTATGTAGCGGGCTTTATATATTATATACTTTTGATAATAATGTGAATACAGACTTGAACATAAGTCATTTTTGTAAGATTTATAAAATCATTCGTTTGAAACTGGAACAATTTTATCAGCTATTTAGAATGCTAAGCGCGTGTCGAAGATACAATACCAAAAATGCATTTATTTTAGTACAAGTGACTCACAAGTTGCAATAATATTTTAATACAATATTAAAATAATTTTCCCAGACGAGTATACATAAAAATATGGAAAACATTAAAAACTATAAAATAATTTTAACATATATTCAGCTCTTAGCGTATATGTGTTTTAAAGTTATTGTAAAAATTAAAACAAGCAAGAATTGCAAATAAATTCAATAAAAACAATTATTTCAATCAAATAGCCTACCTTTTAAATGAACTTTAAACAAATATGATAAGAATGTGGGCGCGTAATTTCAAAAGTATTATCACTGTCCCAAAATATAGCCTATAAATAAACGCACAGAACACTTGCCAAATGCACTTACGACTTCAATCAAAATTAATTAATACACTTAAACATCTCACTCGCTAAAGTAATAGTATATAAATGTCTTCGTAATTCAATTTAAATTATTTATGTGTAGGGCGACCGCTTTCGCCGACGACCACACAGCAACTGAGCGATTTCCTCTGAGCTATGAACTGAGCGGGTAACCACGCGAAGCTACGGATCGTTGCAGCTGCGCGGCTGAATGCGTTGTCACCTTTGACCGATGTAAAATATTGTAGCTGTCAAATTGACAGGGCGGGTATCGCGCGCTTTTTGACTACGCCCGCGACAAAAAGAGTCAACATCGATCAACATTTTGATATGAACGCAAATCTATTAATTTAAATGTTTCATTTTAATATTTCGTTATGTAAATATAATAAATATTAGTTCAGTATCTTTTAATAATCGTTTAGTTAAGCCTCATTTGATTATTATTTTAAAGATAAATGTTTAAATATGGGAAAGAAACTGATTTAATCTACAAATATACTAAAACTTCGTAACTTTATAAATTTTAATTTAGAATACGCAACACAGATGTGATTTTGTTTTACATTTCTAGAGAGAATTAAAAAAAAACAATGGAATTATAAGAACAGTTTCCATGTTACTATGATGTCAAATTGTGGTGCTGAATGGAACGGAACACGCGAAGTAGACAATGGAAATATACATAAAATAATATTTGAACCGCATTGTCTTCAAAATAAAGATATGAAGTGTGGAAATGCAGACTGAAATTTTCCCAACCTTTTTTCTCGTGAATCCTTTTCAAAATTTTACCGTTTTGGTAAACCTCTAGCTAAATCTGGGTATTTCGTATACCCCCAGGGGGTAACGAAACCACTGCACACAATGGAGACTCACCTTTACATTTGACATTAAATTTGCGCATGCTCTTTGCGATCGGCAGTCGTTTAAATGATTTGAAATATGGGCGGCGCCCTGACACCGTGGCATTTAAGCCAAATTATAAACATTTTTACAAAACAAACAACGCTAAGTAACATATTGTTGTCACTGTTTTGTTAAAATGCGTGAAAGGGATGACAATATGTATTAAAATATCACGACATTAGTGTTCCACAAATAATATTAATATTATTTTGTTTGCTTTATTCTCTTATTTATTTCCTTTCAGATTAAATATGCAAAGAGCTAAGGATTTTTCACAGATAATGTAGATTTTTGTATACAATACATGTTTTTGTACGATAGACAGTTAAAGCGGACGGTTAAATAGGTTTAGTATATATTATACTAGTCAAATTACAAATAAATCTGTGCTTAATCTTTGTTAAAATTTAACTCGTTTTATTGGATACAAATCGGAACAAACAAACAAACAAAATATAAACACAGTATAACACAAGGGATAACAATAATTTAATAACCAAAAGATAAATTCTTAGATCCTCCATCTTTAATTCTACAATTTATTTAATAAAATATTTCATTTACTTTATACAAATCGAATACAATTTTTTTATAAAACCGTTCTAAAAAAAACGTTATTTCTTTCCCGTTGTATGTTTCAAAAGCTACTTTTAACCTTCTACATTTGTAATGATTTCAGACCTCTAAAGAGGTTGACGTTTTTACAAATAGACCTCAAGGCTAACATAAAGGTCATATGTTATACTGGAAAACATTAAAAATTGATAAGAAAGGGAATTTTAACAGATGTTACTGTTTAAATAACTAAGATAGAGATAAGAATGTTAAAATTATATTTAAGACATGAATATTTTCATTGATCTATTAATCTCAATAACAAACAAATCTAAACAAAGAAATTATACATTTATTTGTTATATCTAGGATAAGTTATCCTGCACTGAATCGATTAATATCTTATTTAAAGTTCAATTCTCCGCAATAATTAAATCCATATAAGATATCACTTACCTTCACCAAAATCCCATCTCCAGGAAATTTCTGGAGTGTTCGCGTATTAATGTCGCCTATATAAACGCACTGAATTAATTTATTCAGGTGTTTTTTTTATAAATAAATCAGCAAAAACTGATGCGTTTATGCGTATCTCACGGCTGCGGGTGCTGTACTAGCCCGGGAGGGGAAGACGGGGGGCGAGGGGAAGTTGCGAGGTGACGCGGGAGGGGCGCGAGAAAAGCGCGGGGGAGCCTCTATTGATCGAGAAATCGCGCAGCCTCCGGACCCAGAGCCTGGAGCTGTACCAGGAATCCAGGGAGAGGGTTTCATAAGCTTGTATACACTGCTTGTTTTGTAACTTCTAATAAGTTTTTAATTTTTTTTTTAAATTAAGCTCCTGTTTAAAATTTATCATGAATATATTTTTAGGTCTATATAAGTCCATCGAGATTAAATATTCACAAATATAACAGGATATGAGTACCAAAATAATTAACGATAAAGATTGACTGTAATCGAAAAAACATATTTTTATTTACAAATGTAAGTTACATTTTTAATAGAATCTATTATTTATAAAGTTTTGATCATCAAAAGAACAGCAAAGTTAAGAAACAGTTGTATTATATTAAACGCGCAATGTATGCCGCGCGTCTTAAGCTGTCGCCGCCCCGCCCTAACTCCACTCGTCGCCAAAGGACATAACTACCTGCAATCAGCCGCCTAGCGCCCTTAGCGCCAGCGCCGCTGTTCCTGTCCCAGGTAACGATTATTTAAAAAAAAACTAAATTATAATATCTATATATACATTTTCCATTGTTCTCTATATAGAAACTAAGGCATAGATACTGTTCTTATGTCTACTATTTACAGTATACCATAGATTTACGTTATCCTAATCACTATTTCATTCGTCATGTCCGGCCTTGATCGAAGTCTTCGATTTAAAAAAAAAAAAATTTACTGCCAAAAATAAAGTGACAGACGGAATAATATTTTAAAAATTGGGTTTTCGTTATATGTAACGCAAATACATCGTGTGTACTATGAATTTATTTCTCTATATTATATCAAATTTTATTAATACGTTTATTTAATATCATTAACGCGTCGGTGGCTCAGGGGTCAAGCACTTGACTTGCAATCTGCAGGTCCTGGGTTTGAATCCCGCCATGTACCAATGTGTTTTTCGATTTCCGATTTACATATGTACATTTATACGACGTTCTTACGGTGAAGGAAAACATCGTGATGCAACCTGCACATATCTGAGAAGAAATTCAAAGATATGTGTGAAGTCAACCAACCCGTATTGGGCCAGCGTGGTTGACTATGGCCTAGTCACCCCTAACTTAGGGTAGGCTCCGAGCCCCTTGTTGGGGCCGTATAGTAAGCTGATAAGGAATGGCATTAATTAATCATTTATTTGATTAGCCGCATGCGAAGAAGATAAAATATAAGAAGAAAAAAATGAAAAATAATTTTGATACCTTTTTGAAAAAGCTGTTCAAGCTGCCGAAATACTCACAGAAAAAATTGCCTGTCCCATTTTGAAATAACTGAATTGTATAACTGAATTGTAAAGGTTTCCGGCAGTGGAAACACGAAAAAAACTGTCTCAATAACATTAATTTTCATATACAAAATTAGATTTTGACGAACTTCGAAATATTTTTTTCCTTAAAGATACTGTAAGATTTCACGTGACCGAAGTTGAAAGGAAACATTTTGTAATGTTTCATTAATTTTCCTTAAAGTCTATAAAAAAATAAATCCCGTCAAATGTTTCCACGTGCCAACGATATTAATATTTCTTAAGTATACACGAGGTTGGTAACCGTATTAAATTTGTCTTTTAATAAACCGCAATTTTCGCTTTTAATGGAAAAAAGTTTTTGTTAGGGTGTCCTTGATTTCAGCCGGACATTATTGGAATTTTTAAAAATTATACTATAATATAATATGTATATTCAGTTTTTTACTCTTTGTTACTTTTACAGTCATAACTTAACGTTCTTTGTTCACTAATAAATATATTCGCTATTAAAAGTGGAAAGTGGAAGAGGCGAGTCCGTAGTCGCTGCCTCTCTCCTCTGGATTACTGGCATGAGTTGTATTATTATATTTGTTGCTAAAGACTAGCTGTCGACCGCGACTGCGTCCACGTGGAATTAAAAAAACATAATTAGTAGCCATAATACTTCCAGCATATGTTCTATATGTATGCCAAATTACATCAAGATTGGATTAGCCGTCCTGGAGAAACCTTCATCCATCGAAGCATTCGCCTTTATAATATTAGTAAGATATATGTTATATCTATCCATCGAGTAAATGGAATGTTCTGTAAATGACAACGACATGGTGATACTACTGTCACATGGCAGTTGCCAACGAGGCCGCTCTGTCATAAGTTTGACATGTGCCGCTGATGGAGAGAGCGTGGTGCAAACAATAATTGTTAGCGTCAAATTCCACTGTAGTTATGTTTGTCATACAACATATAGTTGTTTCTGTTTCTTTAAATAATAAGATGTAACATAAAATGCTTTTTAAAAGTGTTTAGGCTGTGGGAAACCACATTAAGCGTTAATTAAAACTATGTCGATTTTACGCGATATTAAAGAAAAGATGTCACCAGTCTTTGCTTTACTGAGCATAAATTCATTTCGTTTTTATTCAATGAGATGTATAAATACATGTAATAAAGAATAAGCCTCATGACTACAAATTAAATCACATCGGTTCGTAACTTGCACACTAAAAGTGTGTCCTAGTTGTAAAGCAGTGGCTCAAACTGTCAGATATTTGCGCGGCAGTGTGCACACCACGCTTACATCTGAATGCTCTTTAATTGTTTACATTTATTATATGACGTATTTTATACATATACGTCATTAAAGAGTAGGTAATATTTTAAAAAATGTTTCCGCTATTTCAATCGCATTAATTTAATATAGTTTGTAGGAGCTGAAGGTATTTTATATTGTAATGTAACAATTATTCAAGTCAATCTACTTCAGAAATTTCAAAACCGTATAATTTTCAGATCCTTTGAATAATACAAAGTATTGACCAAGGTTAAGAATAAAATGTAAATAGCGCCTGCAGAAAAATTATTGAATAGCGAGAACGCCATATTGCGCTATTGACGCGGCAGGCACGTAAGACTGTAAACATACGCGGTGAATTTCAAATACTATTTTATATTAGGATTATTTCCAAGGTATACTTGACTTTGTGAAGAAATTAATTTTTTTAAACAATTTTTGTATGTACATAGAGTCTTTATGTTCAATATATGATAAAAATAGTCCTTATTATGTTAACCATTTGCTCGTTAACAGTTTTCTGCTGTATAAAAATCCTCAAACAATGCAAACTAACTGTATTTACCTTTTGTAATATTATATCTACTTAACATTGTATTGTGAGAACTATTTGATGAACCCAGATCCAGATTCAGGCGCCGAATACGTAAAGAAGTGTTTGAGAGATTCTACCTTTTGTATTAAAGATAAATTACACATTACCTCAAAAAAAGATGATTCAGCCAAATTGTATTAGGAAATTTATTCGTATGTTCCGAAAGTTAGGAAATAAGAATACAAAAAAATGCGTATTTTGTTCGCTGCTGAGTAGAATGTAATCAAATGATTTTCAAACATTTGTTCGTATCCGTGGAATTAATGTTACTTAATACTTATAATTAAGCAACATCAGCCAGTCATCATTATCGATGTTTTCCTGAACCTCTCCCAAGGCAGCTAGTGTTGCAACATTTCGGATAACGCGTTGTGCAATGCGGCCGGTTTTAAAGCCGCATCCGAGAGATGCCTTTGTCCAAATTACATTTAATTTTTCCCGCTCTAAATAACCTCAAAAGTTCAATGTACTATGATGTTTAAATTATTTTATAATTTTAATATTATCTTGAAAATGAGCGGATTGTATCAAAACGACACATTTTTAAAATGTCACGCATAAATTGTTATGCAGGATAAAGGTGACTTACGTTTTTTTTATTTCTTTATAGAAGACACCTTAAAATCAATCTCACACAGGGTCTATTGGTAACGATAATTATACTATTTTTCAACCTCTGGTTCTCCAGTTACTCGTACCAAATTGAATGATTCATATTATTCTAATTTGGCTACATTGCGTCTAGACGCTATTAATTTATTTTAGTACATCACTACTGCGATATAAATGTATTAATTTCTTTATTTTACAATTATTCTCCAACAACGAATTGACTTGCATATTGCATTACTAAAGAGAACATGCTTATTTGTATATTTTATGTTACTTACACTAGGACCACCCTTCCATGGTCTAAGATCAACCATAACTTGCAACTTACCGCTTTTTTAATTAAGTTACAAGCGTAGATGATGAATACTGTGTAATTTGTCTAAATAAACAAAACTTAATTAAGCAGAAAAGGTTAAAGTCGAAGAGATGATACTAGATAATAAGTCACTTTCACCTATGATCTATCACAGCTTTACAAGAATTTAATTGGCAGCAGAACCGCTCGTATATTTTGATTGTTGTTCCCGAGCCCACACGGATAACGAGTTGACATTTAAGGTTGACGATACGCAATAAAGCGACTTTCTTCTAACCCTTGCATCAGACAATGATCGGAGACAGATCCGCGTCACTCTGACGCTCCCCACTGGCACAGGAAAGTAAAAGCACGAGGCAAAACGTCAAATGTCTCACTGCGCGCCAAGAAAGTAAGCGCGCGCGACGCGTTCCTTAAAAATTTCCCTCCAAAAAAAATCAATTTGTCGTTTTAACTTTTTCATTTCTCGCGCCAGCGGCTTTTCGGCAATTCGTCTGAAAACCACTCTCGGACTACTTTTTTCCTTTTTTTTCTTTCGACATTTTTTTTTATATTTTTGAACCGTGCGTTGAACTTGTTTGGTGCAGTGCGCCGTCTTCAGATCGTTTCATAAGTGTTACCATGTTATTGTACTCGCAGTGAAAGTGTTGTGACGCAAGCGTTACATTAGAATTGATCTATTATGGCGGATATCGTTCGCTTTGGGAAGTACCTTACCGTTTTCGGTGAGTTAATAATCTGGCTTACATAATTAAAGAAATAAACGGAATTTATTAATAATTATTATTTAACATTAATTATACTTTTTAATAATAACACCAGGTGATAGATTTGGGGCTAAATTATAAAATAAAAAATTAAAAATAAATATGCTTTAATTGAGGCAAGATAAAAAATTATTATCGTTTTAATGTACTTTAATTTCTTCTAACTCTCTTTTCAGAAATATGTGCAAAATGAATTCAATTTTTTTGGTTAGATACGAATCGATTAAAGAATAGAAATATTTACAACTGGAAAAATATATCCATTTTGATAAATTCCAAGACTTTGTTTTTCCGTTTCATGAATGCCTAATAAAATAGATATAACCAGTGACATGTTACCGCTATCCAGGATCGTACAGATTAAATAAAAGCTTATTTTTAATTCGGTCCCCAAAACAATTTCACCGATTTTCAAATCACGCCAATATTTATTAATGGTGCTAATATTATAATTAATTGATTTATTAAAGTAAATGGCCAAAGAATTCCTGACTTGAGGAAGTATTTTATGGATTTTAATACCTACCATTGTATCCGTAAGTGTTGAAGGTCCATAATTATAGGGTTTCGTGAACATTGACTTCCAATCCTTTACAAGGTCAATAACCGGAGGACAAAGATGTGAGAAAAAATGCATCGCATTTTTGCAACTTTTATAATCTTGCAAACCATAATAAAATTTGAAATCGATTGTCATTGTGGCAGAATGTTTATGATACTGTCCCTTTATGATAAAAAAAAAACTTTTCGCGCCAAAAGTTGACAGTTTTATTTTTTAGTTCATTATTGCTATTTATATTTATTTAATTAATTATTTTAAAATATTGATAATGCTATTGGCCTAATCACTCTTAACTTAGGGTAGGCTCCGAGCCCCTCGGTGGGGACGTATAGTGAGCTGATGATGATGATGAATAATGCTTCTTTGTTTGATAAATATAACATTTAAATTTACAAGCCTAAATATGTACGAATTTATTTATTGTACGAAGCAATATAGAAAGGTAACAACTATAAAGTTACTTTTTTCTATAGTCTTTTCTTTCCGATACATCATTTTGTTTAAATAACTTTAAGCCAAGATATCAGAAGACAATGGTCTATATCACGGCCTAACACGCCATGTCTGATTGATTCGTTAACCTTGCCCTAGTGATGTGCAAACATATAGATCGATATCGATAGCAATCATCGAATGTATTTATTATTTAATTTTGATCATCAATGATTACTATTTATATTCTTTATCAATGATTAATTTCAAAAATTCATCCTAAAAATAAGCAATTTTCTAATTTTGATGCGGTTTTAAAGATTGCAATACGACACATATTTATCGAAACCTAGTAACACAATATTTTACTAGAAAGTTAACTTGTTTGACTTAGATTAGGAACAAAGTTTAGCCCAGCGACAATTCGAAAAGCGGACAGTTGCTTGAATGAGAACTATTATACTTTTTTTACGTAAGTAATAGTAGTAACAGCGAAAGACTCATGAGTTAGTTAGTTTCTTTAAGTTCGATTAACACGGTACATCACTATTTACCGGGAAGGCAATTTTCTTTCTAAATAAAACAGAAGCGAGTGAAAGTGACGCCCAGTTTTCTTCAATTGTATTTAATTAAACAAATAGCGGCGCAAAAAGTATAAATCGACACTTGGAGAGCGTTACAAACGCCTTTGATTTATTTACTTTTAATTTGAATGACGTGAAAAAGTTTCCCCGCCTTCATGGTACAGATTAAAAATTTACTTTCGCGCGCAAATAAGTGAACATTGTAGTCGTGTAGTTTTCGGTTAATAACGTCTATTGCTTACTTTTTTATTTATTTTAGTATCGTTATTTAATCAACAAAAAAAAAGTATGAAGCAAAATTAAAAATAAAATATTACCCCTTTCATAGCCCGCATGGCAACATTCCATCAATAATATTTTATTAAATTATTTAAATTATGTTTAAACATTTATGTAAATAATATTTAAAATTCCAAACGATTGTTATCGATATTCTGAATTGTGGCTTCGAATGAAGTTAAATGATTTATAAACTAAGTAACTGTCGCCCGCGACTGTCGGCGCGGAATTAAAAAAACTTAATTAGTAGCCTATGTCTACTTTTACACCATGTTCTATATCTATGATAATTTTCAGCGAAATCAGCGGGAACCATCCATCCATCCATCTATCCATCCAAACATTCGCATTTATAATATTAGTAAGATTTAAGTTTAACAAAATAATACAGTACATTAAAAATATTCTTTTTAATGTAAATAAACGGAACAATAAGTATTTTCGCGTCATATTTCAAGGAAGCGTAATTATATCTCGGCCATACAAAACTGGAGTAGATATGGTCGTGTACAATCTGTGGGGAAACGCAACGGAAATCGAATCTGCGGCTTAGGATTAGATATTAATGGGACGTATAACGCAATCTCCAACCGCACTATTGGAACACGCTGTATACCGAAATGTATAGGATTATGAAACGTGTATGATAAATATATTTAAACA